CGCCGTCGACCTCGGCTTCGCCGTCCGCTTCGCCGTTCCCGTCCACCATCGTGTCGACCCCTCAGCCATCGTCGTCACCCTCCGCGTCGCCCTCGCCCTCGTCGTCGCCTTCCCCGTCGCCGTCGGCCTCGGCTTCTCCCGCTGCGTCGCCCTCGGCTTCGTCGTCGGCCGCTCCTTCGCCTTCGTCGTCCGCTTCGCCCTCGGCTTCGTCTTCGCCCTCCGCGTCGCCCTCGGCCTCAGCTTCGGCGTCGCCTTCGCTCTCGCCCTCCCCGTCGGCTTCCGCCTCCCCCTCGGCTTCGCCCTCTGCGTCGCCCTCGTCGTCCCCGTCGCCCTCGGCTTCGGCTTCGGCTTCACCCGCCGCCCCGTCGCCCTCCGCTTCGGCCTCGCCCTCTCTCGCGCCTCCGTCCCCCGCCCCCTCGACCGCGCCCTCGTGCCCGCCTTCGTTCTTTGGCGGCGCCGCGGCCTACAACGTTTACCTCACCGGCAACCCTTCGCGCGCGGTGGCCTTCAACATGACCAACGGCGACGTGTGGGGCAAGGTGGCCGTCGACGGCAGCGTCGTGGCTCGCAACTTTGGCTTCGGCACCCGCATCCAGTGCACTGCTGACGCGGCCAACGCCGCCACGCTCATCGCCTCGGGCTCTTCGGTCAGCTTCACCGCCGGCGCCGTGGACTGCGGCAACCTGGTCACCCCCGCCTCGACCACCGTCAGCGGCGTCAACTTCAACAACGGCAAGGCCGTGACAGGCGACATCGAGACCCTCACCCGCCTCGACTTTGCCGACGTGTCGGCCTCGCTGTCGTCGGCTTCGAGTGCGCTTTGCAGCGCTGAGGGCATCGCGGCCTCGGTCGGCTCCGGCAACCGCATCACCCTGGCCAGCACGGCCAGCGGCGCCGCGCAGATCACCTTCACCCTCACCACGGCCCAGCTCGCTTCGGCCTCGTGGGTGCGCTTCGCCATCGCTGACGTGGCATCGGTCAAGCAGATCGTCGTCAACCTGGTGGGCGACGACGCCGTCGACTTCTCGGGCTTCGACACCGACCTCGGCGGCGTGTCCAACGGCCTCATCACGTGGAACGTCTGCTCGGCCACCAGCGTGACCGTGACCGCGTTCAACTTCCAGGGCAACCTGCTGGCCCCGACGGCCGACGTGTCGCTGTCCAACGCGCAGATCAACGGCAACGTCGCGGCCCGCACCCTGACCGGCAGCGGCGGCGGCGAGGTCCACACGCCCGTGTGCCCTTGAACAGGCGCCATTCGACCACTCCCAAGCGGACCCGTCGACACCTTCTCTTCTCTTCTCTTCTCTACTCTTCATGATCGCTGCAGATGCCGCGCGTGGGAGGTGCCTGCTTCTCTGAGGCACCACACCCACCCTCAACAGACAGTATGCTGTCTCTCCTACTCTCCTCTATCTTCTCCATTCAGCCCTCTCTATATTCGGATGATGGTTTTGAAGTGTTCAAAACAATCACACTCTACATAAACATTTTATCATACCTGATACAGTGCTGGCCAAGGTGTGACGTGGCAATCGAAACTGCGATAAATCGCAATGATAATAAAATTTAATAAAAAGAAATAAAGTAAAATTGTCAACCAAGGCACAAGAGATGGCAGACTGCTCGCGGTTGCTGCAGCAGGGGTTGGGGCTGGTGCAGACGGCTGCCCAGCAGGATGCCGCGGGCAACTACCAAGAGGCAGTGCGCCTCTACTCCCTCGCCCTCGATGCCTTCCTCTCCGTGCTCAAGAGTACCCCTCCCCCCCCAAACATCTTGCATCCTTTTTCTACTTGCTTCTTCTTTTGCACTCCAAACTCACCACAACGCACTACTTTGGCGAGATGTGTAGTGGAGCGCAACCCGCGGATAGTGGACACCCTGAAGGGGAAGGTGGTGGACTACATGAACCGTGCCGAGGAGCTCAAGACCCTTCTCGCCCAGCAGCAGTCCTCGTACCGCCTTCTTCTCCACCAACGACACACTAGCACCACTACGGAATGCAGCCGCGGCTTACAAGTGCAGCGGATGATGCAGGTCGAGAGGTGGTGGAGGCGGCGGCGGTGGCAGTCTCGTGACGGATCCGGGCGCGCTGGTGCTGCCTTCTCCGCCGGCCGACCTGCCCTCGCGCGGGTCCTCATCGGTCTCCACACAGCCGCTTGGTGCGCTCCGCGTCGTACCGCTCGCTCTTGTGGCTTTGGCGCAAGACTTCGCTAAACATCCTGCGGTGTGCGTGCGGTGCGTGCGGTGAACGCTACACAGTTACGAGCGCCAAAGCTTCCTCTCCCTCTTTTCCGTCCTCGCCGGTTCCCTATCGTGGCGCAGAGCCCGGTGCCCCGCCTTCGCCCTACATGTCCGGCGGCCCGGCTCCCGCGGCTCCTGCGCAGTCCGGCTCGCTCTCTCTCCCGTACCGCCCGCCGCCTCCTTAAAGCCGGCGATTATACCGCCACCTTACAGCGACGTTCTAGCATTTCCTTAATGCGGCTGCGTGACGCGTGTATAACAGAACGCCGCACGAGGGAGGGCTGATCAATATCGAAGAGGGCCAGCTGGGCCGCAACTTTGAGTCCATCTTCGCGGCCTACATCGTGGACAGCCAGGAGATATGGATCAGGGACCCCAACCTGTGCCACACTCATCAGGTGCGCACACGCACGCACCGCACGCACCGCACACGCACGCATTGTGGTCTGAATAGTGTCTCCTTTGGTCAACAGGTGTACAACTTGATCCGGTTCTGCGAGCTGGTGGTGCGGATCAATCGCAAGGTGACCCGCCCGTGCCTCCGCATCCACGTCGTGACGGCCTTCGAGAACGACATGCAGCTCGACACCCTCCAGTCCGCGCTCAACGAGCTCACCGACAGCCTTAAGGTACGATGCCACACACGCGCGCGCACGTTGTCCCCCTTCAATACTCGAATGGCCGTGTGACACCACGTTGCTGTGCAGGCGCACGGGGTCGAGCTGCTCGCCAGCTTCGACAACCGGGGCGAGCGGGAAGTGGTGTTCTCGAGCGGGTGGACCCTGGTGCTACCCCACGGGCTCGACATCCACCAGAGCCCCGCCGGAAAGGTAGGCCTTCGTCTCTTCCACACCACCTTCATCCAATCTCCTGAGATGGCCTGACTCGATTCCGTTGTCGCGGTTGGGGACACACGACACACACGACACACCAGTTTCGGCTGGGGGCGTGTGACCTCATGTTGCGGCCCACCAAGCAGAACATCATCCAGGTCTTCAAGCACTCATAAACATCGCACATGTTGTACATACCACCGCGCGCGAGCATGACACACGACACACGTTTAGAAGAGTTGATTGGCGGATTTAGTGGGTAATTTTTGTGTGGCTGGAGGGGCGTGGGCGGGCGGGGCAGGCTCTCTCTACCGACGCCGGTGTGGCTGGTTGGATGGATGGTTGGTTGGGTGTGGCGGGCAGTTCGTGTGGCGGGCGGGGGGGCGGGGACTCTCGCGTGTAAGCTTACACGCGGTGCTGGTACTTGTAGGTTACATAGCCCGTTTCGATGGCCCTCTTGGCCGTCGGTTCGACCAGCGCGCCATCGTTCACCATCCTCATCACAATCTACCACGACACGACACGACACGACACGCACACACACGACACACAGCACACAGCACAGCACATACAGACACAGAGTAAGTCATCAGAGTGCGAGCAAAAGTGGTTGCACAACAGTGGGCACCTTGCAGATGTTGTGGACGTCGTCCTTGCCGCTGTGGTGGTCGCCCTCGAGCTGGATGCCGAGGCCGGACAGCATGGACCTCATGCCGAGGGCCTTGTGCTTGTAGAAGTTGAGGTAGACGTCCTTGAGGTTGACCCACTCGTGGAAGTAGCCCGGCATGTCGAACTTGGAGATGGCGCACTGGCGCGGGATCTGCGTCTTGATGTCCCAGTTCCCGCACGTCACGAACAGGAACGAGTAGGCCGCTTGCCGCTCCTCTCCCGTCTCCTCGCCGTCCTCTATTTATCGCACACACAACACACGATGGCACACGACACAACACGACACGCACGACACACGCACGACACGTACGACACACAACGTCAGAGACTGGGACATCGTCTGGGCGGTGGGAGGCAGGTGCTGATGGCGGATGGGCGGGCGTACCACTCCTGAGGATAGAGTGGAGGAGGCCGTGGTGACCGAGCCAGTCGTTGAACTGGACCAGCACATCGGTGAAGGGCATGGCGCTCTCGAACCACTTCTCGGTCAGCCCGAACTTGCCGTACTTGCCGTTGATGTACTGCGCCAGCTGCTCGTCCGAGAAGGTGACCGGACGAACGTACCTTAGAACAACGACGTTGACGTTAGCCAATCGAAAATCTAAATCAAAATCAGATTACGGCGCAAGAGATGAAGCAGATGTTGATGTCCAATGGAAGGGGGCAAGTGAGCATACCTGTGGAAGAAGTCCTCGACCTCGAGGGTCTTGACGTTAACGATGGCGACAGGGAATTCGAGGATCTCTTGCTTACCCTCGAGATCGAGCACGAGGAAGAAGTCGACGATTTGCTCCTTCCGCTCCTCCTTCTTCTCGTAGTCGGTGCCTGGTGGCTTGCCGTACGGCCGCTGATCGCCGCCATGATGATAGCCGCCCCTCCCCCGGCCCATGTAGCCGCCGGCTCCTCCATAGCCGCGGCCGCGAGGGACGAATCCTCCTCGATTGTTGTGATGATGTTGAAGCTGCTGATGCTGGAATCCTGGATGTTGGCCGGCGCCCATGTAGCTGCGCTGATGCTGAGGAGCGATGCCTCCCACGGCGATCATCCCAGGCGCGACGCCCCCATCTGCAGGCGCGGCCATTCCTACTCGACCCCCTCGATGACCACGGTGCCCTCCCCTGCCCCTCGTCCCATTCCATGGTCGCTGGGGGATCTTGATTCGCCAAAATGGGTCCAAATTTTAGCCTCAAAATCGAGATTAAAGCCACAATGGAGGGCACGTACGAAATGGGCGAAGCGACAGTTCTCGCCGTACTTGCAGATCCCCATTGCAAAGAATTTGCAGGGAATGGGGAGGGGGCCAGCAGCAGTCTGGCCCATGTGAGGCGGCAGAGGACCGCTGTTGTGCTGGTGTTGATGGTGGTGGTGTCCGCCTTGGTGATGGTGCTGGTGGTGATGTTGATGGTGGCCGGCGGGGGCCAGCACAACATGCTGGTCCTCCAGCTGGTCTCCCTCGCCCACCTCACCCTCGTAGGACGTATCTTGTTGATGGTGTCCCTCCATGATTCAATAAGAGAACAAGAGAATAGAGAAGAAGAATAGACCTACAGCAAGCCAGCCACCTACAAGAAGAAGAAAAGAAAAAGCCGTTCCTTGGCCTACTTCATCCAATCACCAAAAAAGGAAAGCGTTGCCTTTTTTAGCAGTACGCGAGGGGGCAAGAACAAGAAGAGGAAGTGGAGAGGGTTGATATCAAAAGAGCTCTCTTCTGTGAAGAGAGAGGAGACGATGCGTTGCGTTGTGGTGCTGTGTTTTTTGTTTTTCGTTTCGTGTGCAACGGCCAAGTCCGGCACGTACAGCGCCAAGGCGCCCTACGATCACCTCCTGGCCCGCAGGATGGTCTACTACTCTGCCAGCGCCTACGCTCCGCCGAGTGCGGTAAGTTTTTGACGCCTCCTCGGCTGCTCCCCCCCAAGGTCTCTCTTTCTCTCTCTCTCTCTCTCAACGCCGCTGCCGTCGGGGTGCTGAACGGCGGAGAACACCACCAGATCCTGTCTTGGAATTTCAAGAACCCTGAGATGAACGGCAACCTGTCGTCCACCTTCCACCCACTCCAAACCTTCGCCTCCACCGCCGAGACCAGCGACGCATTCGCCTACATTGGCGTCGATGATGACAGGTCACGCTGCAAACTCCCTCGCACCACACGTGCTGCATAGACCAACTTGCGAACTATGTGCGACTGCAGGAAGGAGATCATCGTGGCCTTCAAGGGCACCAACGGCACGCTGGACGCCCTGCACGACATCGTGACATCTCTCGACAACGTCTTACACTACGTCGACCTGTGCGAAATCACCAGCGAGGTGTGCACCATCTCTCCCCGGGTTTGAGGTTACTGCTCGCCGCCTCATCTTGTTCTTCAAACAACCAACAACAACGACAACCAATACACAACCAATACACAGGTCAAGTTCAACATTCACAAGGGCTTCTGCTGGTACTACCAGAGCCTTCTGGAGTCCGGGCTCATGAATGCCTTCGTCGGCGTGACAAGCAAGTTCCCCGACTATCAAGTCATGGCCACGGGTACCCAAGTCAAAATCAATAATAGCAACAACAATAACAATAACAATAACAATAACAATAAATATAAATACAACTAACAATAACAATAACTAAACAAACAACGCCTCCAAAGCAAGCTTGTCTCACACACGACGGCCCCGCAGGCCACTCGCTCGGCGGAGCGCTGGCCTCGATCTTTGCTTTCCACGCCGCCTCATCGGAGCCTAACGGGAACCAGATCAAGGTCTACACCTTTGGCTCGCCCAGGTGCGCCTAGACCAGTCCACGCTGCGCTAGCGATCTTCGCTTATCTGTGTGCCGTGTGTGCCGTGTGTGTCGTATGCGACATCAGGGTCGGGGACACGGGCTTCGCGAAGGCCTTCAACTCGCTGGGGATCGAGTCGTGGCGGGTGGTCCATTGGAAGGACATCGTCGTGCACATGGCGCCTTGCTGCAGCGGCTTCTTCGGTTCGTACTGACGCTTGCGCCACAACTCACCAGAACTGGAGCATCAAGTTCCTGATTTCTCGGTGTCGTGGTCGTGGTCGTGGTCGTGGTCGTCATGTCTTGAATCACCAGGGCTCGGCCCGTGCGATGCGGATGGGAATGGGTGTCCCTTCCATTTCGGTGGCGAGGCATTCTATGGCGACGGCATGAACAAGGACCCTTTGGCCATCTGTGACCTTGGTACTCTTCCGGGGCTGTGTGTGTGCGAAGCGCTCGGCGGGTGGGTTGAGGGGCGACACGCAACCGTACCTGACCGTGTGTTGTGTTGTTGTGTGGTAGGCGATGACCCAAAGAGGTGTTCAGATTTGCTGAGCATAGATCTGTACGAGGGCGTGCGGTACCACGTCGACTACTTTGGGATTCGCGTGGGCAACTTCGCGACAGTCAAGCCCGACCCCGCGCGCGAGCGGGAGCAGGCGGACGAGCTCGCAGCCTATCTCGCCACCCACGGCAGCCGACCAGTGGGCCTGCCAGGGCGACTCTAAAACAACAAGACAGCAGGACCTTGCGAGGTTGTGCAAACTTATAAATAATTAAATAAATAATAACTCTTTTTTGTGTTTTTTGTTTTGAGCAGTGAAAATAACAATAATTGTTAAATATTAAAGTCAAGTAAATTTGACGTACAATACATACGACGTGTTGTGTGGTGGGTGTGGGTGAAAGAGAAAGAGAGAGAGAGATTGGGGTGAGGGGGGCAGGCGGTGATCACTCGTCGCGGTAGCTCATGTCGCTGATGTTGAGGGTCTCGCTGAGGAATCCCACGCCGATGGTGATGGCCATCGCCAGCGCACCGCCGTACGTCACTCGGAACGCGCCCAACAGCATGTTCGCGCCACCAAAGAACGCACCGACAGCACCTGTTTCCGCACCACACACGACACACGACACGCGCACAACCGCACACACAGCGCAGGTAAGACATTGGGTTGCAATACATGGGGCTGCGGGGGGTGTGTGTGGCGTACCGGAGATGGCGAGGAGGATGAGCGAGACGCCGGTGATGGCGCCGATGGCGTACCAGCGGTAGGGAATCCAAGCGCCGACCAGCAGCGGAATGCAGCCGAAGGTAATGAACATCGCGAACGACACCATACCCGCCGCGAACGGACGTGCCTATGACCACAGCCCACCACCCGTCAGCAACGACACGACACGACACGACACGACACGACACGACACGACACGACACGACACGACACGACACGACACGACACGACACGACACGGCGACACACACCTGAGAGAAGTCGCGGATGCCGAGTTCTTCGATGGCGTGGGCCTGGAGGGCGTCCTTGGCCATCAGCTGACGGGCGACTTCGGTGGCGGTGACCGGATCGACGCCGCGCTCCTGATAGAGCAGGCTCAGCTCCTCCAGCTCGCCCTCGGGATTGTTCTCCAGCTCCCACCGCTCCCTACACCAAAATCGCACACACGCACGACACACGACACACGACACACGACACGCATGACACACGCGGGTTGGCGATCGCACACGACGCACGACACGCGCGGGGCAGGAAGGGTACTTTTCGAGATCGGCGTCCTCCATGTCCTTCTGGGAGGCGACGGAGACGTATTCGCCGACGGCCATCGAGAGCGCGCCGGCGAAGAGGGCGGCGAGGGCCGCGATCAGGACCTGGCCCTGCGAGTTCGACTGATTGGCCGCCACGCCCACCTATAATTTTGTAAAATATTTATTAATAAATATAAGAATTAGCACGTGAAAAAAATATCGCACAGATTATGCAAAAAAATTAAAAATATAATATAAATATTCTGAAAAATGAAAAAAATGAAAAAAAGAAGAGACGTGCCATGACGGCGGCGACGGAGACGATGGCGTCGTTGGCCCCCAGCACGCCGGCTCGCAGCCAGCCCGCAGTGCCCAGCTGGATCGCAAAGAAAGCAAGTACTCATAAGATCAGATGATTAAATCCGCGAAAGCAGAGTCGGCGATTTAAAAAAGCTAAAATCAATAATAATCGTTCATTATAAATGAATTGATTCGCGATTGGGAGGTCGTACAGTTGACTTGTGCTTCTCGCCATCAATGGCCGGGTAGAGACCGAGAATGTCCTTCAGCAGCTGAAACCTGCTCGTCGGCTGCAGCAAATTCGTTTCCTCTGCATCGAGTACAGCGCATAAATTGAAATCAAGATCGAATTTCCAAGTTGGAAGATGAGAATCTCGATTTTTGACTTGATTTCGAGATTGTTTGTAGTATACCTGTGTGTTCGGCCATGGTGAATGTTGTTGATGGGGTGCTCTGGAAGACGAAGAACTGGCTTGGAGATGGAACGAGCAAAAACACAAGTGGGGGCCAAGAACGTAGCCAAGACGAAGAAATGGTCGGGAAATGAGTGGCCCGCGGTCACAAAGGCGCGAGAATTGTGCGCTCGCATGAAAATGCACGCCAATCGCAAATCGCACCTACTCTGATTGCCCATTGGGCACGTCTCTTCTCTCTGAAGCCTGAGCTTGGGTATGGGAGGGGTAGTGGCACCAAAGCTGTTGGGTGAGTCTGCTATGAGGTTATGGATGCACACTCAGGAACACAAAACACACATTACATCTCTTGGCACACAGCCACATCAAGATTGGCACAGTGATGAGCTGATCATCTTTGTTGTCAACAGAAAGAAAATGAATACAACAATGACAAACTAACTACAGGGGTAGGATGAAGGAGGGGCGTGTGTGGGTCAAGAAGAGGAGCAGGAGCCGGTTGGTGGATGTATGCAGTGGATCGTTACATGCGTTGGCTCATCCTGCTGCGCAGGTAGGCGCCGCGCTCGTGGAGGCCCACCTTGTCGCACAGCATGGAGATGTAGCCCAGATCGAAGTAGGTCAACGCATTGGTTGCCAATATGCGGTCTAGACACAAGCAAACAACGCGCATAAGCTCCATGAGACCCTCGTGCCGCACACCACCGCACAGGTGCAGGGGAAGACGGGTACCTGCGATGGGCACTTGACCGGTGGAGAGCAGCATTTCAAGGAATCGCGTCTGCGCGTGGCTTTGCTCTGTGGGGGGAGTGCCAAAAGAACGAAGACGAAGGCGGCGTGTGAGCTCAGGTGGTTCTAATGTTAATACAGAAAACAATGGGCCGTACCGGGCTTGTTGTTCTTGAGGGCCATCTGGAAGACGCTCGTCAGATCTGGCAAGCGCTGCGCCTGAACGAACAGCTCAATGATCTGCATTCCACACATTCCACATCAGTCTGACAACCTTGCGTGGTGTGCGGTGCGGTGTGTGCGGTGTGTGCGGTGTGTGCGGTGTGTGCGGTGTGTGCGGTGTGTGCGGTGTGTGCGGTGTGTGCGGTGTGTGCGTACCTTCTCAACGGGAAGGAGCGGTGGTGTCCGTTCGAGCACGCCAATGGCCAGCGAGACGGCCTGCGGCGGGTTGGTCTGGAGGAAGGTCGCGATCTGGGCGGCGAAGTCGACCTTGGGGGCGTAGCCCGTGGCGTCGCAGTAGGGCACGATCCGGTGCGACTCGCCCATGTCAACGAACGCGCGGATGACCTTCTCGTGGGCGCCCACGCGCTGGTAGATGGTCGACGCCACCCGCGGGTCCAGCCCGGCCATCATATCGCCCAGCTCCTCGCTGCAGTCCAGTTTGTCCTCCTGCATCCACGTCGTGAGCAGGTCGCCTCTGTTCTGCTTCACCACTGTCGTGTGTCGTGTGTGTGTGTGTGTGTGTCGTTGGTTGTGAGTTTAGACGATGGCAAGGCAGAGCTGAAACGATGGCAGGTACCGGCGCGGGCGAGTTCGAGGGTCTCGTATCGGTTGAGCTTGCCCTTGGTCAGCGCGAAGTTGAAGTACTGCATGGCGGGCGTCGTCTGGCCCGGCGTGAACGGCGCGTTGAGGAACTTCTGCAGGTTTTCGGGCGTGCGCAGGTCCTCGTTCGGGTACTCTGTTCGGCCCGACACGACACACGGTTAAAGCGAAGCCTGCACACGTACACGACACACACACGACAAACGCGACACGACGCAAAGCAGAGAGCGGCGTACGGAAGATGAGGGTGGCAGCATCGGTGTACTGGCCCTGGCGGATGAGCTGGTCCAGCTGACGCGGGAGGTGGGTGAGCGCCCAACCGTTCCTCGCCGCGAACCGAGACGCCTGAACCACAAGAAAAGAAAAGAGAAAGAAACACAAAGAAAAATAAATGAGCTCTAGAGCGTAGGATCGTTGTTGAGTAGTGACCCTATCGAGGGCGCGTACCAGGCGCGGCTTGTCGAGCTTCAGGGCGATGTAGGACACGATGGCGTCTTCGTTGAGCCTGACCGACAACACCTGACCCGACTTGTTCAAACCCACGATTCCACCTGTGACCATAGCTGACGTCAGCACTTGGACACACACACACACACCAGCAGATGTGCAGCTCACCATCCAAGCTGCACCAGAGGTGGTGGAGGGCGAACCGTGAGAGGCGGGAACGGTGGTGAACACGGTGTCGGCAGAAATGCGGTTCATGTAGATGAGCTCGGCCGAGTGGATGTCGAAGATGTGGAGGTAGCCATACTTGGTGATGATGTACGCCACCTGCGCGCACACACAATGACGAAGCATTCAGTATAGAAACACACACGACACGACACGACACACGACACACGACACACGACACAGGCGTACCTTGTGCTTGTCGCTCACTTGCATGGCGACGGGAAAATCGGCGGCGGCCTCGGGCGGGAAGTAGATGGGCGTGCTCTTCCTCTTGAAGGGCTTCTCGTCCTTGGGCGGCGACAGCTCGTACACGTGGAACTGATCACGACGTCACCCAGTCACCCGTTAAGCATGCGTGTGCGGTCGTGTGCGGTGGTGTGCGGTCGTGTACCATGGATTCGGAGGGGGTGCGTGTGGCATAGCAGAAGAGGCGCTGGGTGTTGTTCTTGCCCCAGCGGACGAACGAGCAGGCGTGGCCTTCGAGCGTCTGGGTGGTGTTCTTCTCTGAGGCGAACAGCTGCATGCGGCCCGCGATCCGTTCGCCCTCCTTGGCGATGCCCACCAGGCAGCCCACGGGCATCGTGCGTTGCGGGTTGGACGGGTCGGGCACGCTCGTGGTGCGGTAGTTGATCATTTGCATTCCCTTCATTCCTACGTGTCTGTCGAAGAACTTGTAGGGCTGCGGGGCGGCCGGGGCTGCGCCACACACGACAAAGAGTGAGAATGCGAACAGTTCGTGTGTCGTGTGTCGTGTGTCGTGTGTCGTGTGTGTGTGTGTGTGTGTGCGTGTGTGTGTGTGTGTGTGTGTGTGTGTGTGTTACCTCCGTTCTTGTGCACAGCGGGCCAGTGGAAGACAGCACTCTTGGTGACGAAGGCGATCATCGTAGTGGAGACCCACCGCCAGTACACCACCGTCTCGGGGCTCTCGCACTGGGTGACCCTGGCCTTCTTGTCCATGTCGTAGATCTCAATCTTCTTGTTCGCTGCCGAAGCCCACACAACACACGACACGACACGACACGACACACGACACATGACACGACACGCGTCAGTCGCGGTAACCACTCACTTGCCGGCGGCTTGGGCGCTGGAGGGTACCAAGGAGGGCCAGGAGCGAGAGCTTGGGGTTGATGATGGCTGAGTCGGCGCCGCTGGGGAAGCGGCCGCGCAGCGACGCGGTGGGCACGTCGATGATGGCGATGCTGCCCGTCGTGCGTCCTGGAATCGGTGGCTGCGTGTCGGGCAGGCACGAGTGGATCATCAAGAGGCGAGTAAGAAGATGACAGCTTTCATGGAAACATGTGATCTATGACATCTACGCCGGCTACACAAATCACGATTTATTTTTATTTTTTATTTGTGAATGATTGCACAATTAATTCTGCGTAGGGAAGGGATGGCGAACCTGCTCCTGCACGCAGATGCGCTTGTCTGACTCCATGCTGATGGCTGTGAACGAAATTGAATCGCCACTGATGCCCAACGAAGGCAACTGCACCACCCAAGGCCACATTATCACAAAAAAAGAAACAAATGAGGGTAAAAATCATCCTAAACCCCATAAAAATGCGCGAGGCGCGTACGAAGGCCAGTTCTTCGAAGATGATGGGTCTCTCGTCCTCTCCCGCATTTTCAATCATTGCCTCCGCGTTCATTTTTTTGTTTTTAATCTCCAATCCTTCCTTTGGGCTGTGCCGTTGCAGTGCTCTGTGGTGATCGCGCCGATTGATCTGTATTCTCGCCCCTTCTCCGTCCTCCTGGATCTCTCTCTTCCTTTGTGTGTTAGGTTTTTGAGTGTGGTTGTGGTTGTTCTGGCTGCCTCTTCTCTGGTCACCAGCGTAGCTCTAGCGGCGACGGTCATTTTTTCTGCCCTTCATTTTCGTGTTCGGCGGAATTTCACGTGAACAACATGCACGCCGCTTCGATTCCCGCCGCCGCCAGCACTATTGGCAGTTACGCTCCGATTGGCTTTGCGGCTAAAAACCGACCAATGGCCTCTTTTCTGTATCTTTTCCTTTATTTCCTATTTTTTGCTGAACCCTTTGTTTTCTCCTTTCGTCAAAAAGAAAGAGGAACCATGGAGCTGCCGCTGGTGCCGATCGAGGTGGTGGTTGAGTTCGTGCTGCCCCATGCCTTCGACTCCTTCGCCCAGGCTCTCGAGCTGATGCTCCTCTGCTCGGACGTCTACGAGTTCGCCACGTCGCGGTGCGCCTTCTGGGAGCCCTTTCTCGGGCGGCGGCTCGACGAGGTGGTCATCCCGCGACTCCAGGCCGCCTACCACCGCTACGCTCCGACGCTCATCCACCTCCTCCGAACGTACGCGCTTTACTATTTCCTGTCGTGTGCGATTCTGCGAGTGCCTAACACACCGCACACACGACCGCACACGCACACGCCGCACACAACACACGCAGGAAATACGTGATGTGGCCGAAGAGCATCATGGCCGACGAAACGTTGGATGTGATGCAGGCGGTCCGGTCGAAGGTCTTCGTGGTGGAGCAGGTACCCGATCGTTGGGGCGACCTCCACCCCGTGTGCTGCAAGAACTGCCGCATGATTATCACCACTCCCTGGTGCGTGTCCCATTTGCGAGCCACGACACGACACTCATGACACCAGCACTCATAGAACACAACAAACTACACGACTCACCTGACACACACCTGACACTCACCTGACACACACATACCTTCACATGACATGCACGACACGCACGACAAGCGCAGGTGGCGCTGCCTGGACTGTTCGAAGCCGTACGTGCTGTGCGTGAGCTGCCGAGGCAACGGCGAATCACCTCTGGTCTCGATCGAGTTTCAAGAGTACCACGAGTCCGACGACGAAGAAAATGAAGACGAAGAAGCCGAAGCTGAGGCCGAGGAATCCGAAGCCGACGAAGAAGGCGACGACGACAAAAGAGAAGAAGAAGAAGAAGACGTGCAGGAGCCGCAAGACGAAGACGAAGGCGAAGAGCCGGCGGAAGAGGTGAACGAGGAAACCAAAGAGGGCGACGGCAGCAAAAAGCCGAAACACACCAAAGAACACAAGATGCAGCTGGTTGTCGACAACGAGATGTGCAGGTCGTGCCACAATAGTCGTCCTCTCCGGTATGTGCGCCCTTTCGTGAGAACGTTTCATTCTTTTCTTTTCTTTTCTTATTCTGTTCTTTACACAGGTGGTGTTGCAAGACCTGTCTGGAGAGGGGCTTCTTCTTTGGCTTCTGCGATCAGTGTCACACCGATCCGCTCGTGCAGGCCAGGACTGAGCAGTACTCACCGCGCTCCTAGTGAGGCGTCACTTGGCTGCTAACCAGGAACCCTCCCGTGCGCCGTGTGTGTGCGTGTGTCGTGTCGTGTCGTGTTGCGTTGCGTTGTGTGTTGCATGAGAAGTGCGGTGGCCGTCGGCAAAAGGCTGCGGCACGACAGCACGCACCTGGTGGAGGAGTGGCGCGAGGGTGTGGACGGGGTCAACAGGTGGGACACCGAGGCGCCGCACCCCAAGCTCACCTTCGCCGACGCCTGGGCCGACAGAAAGGCATACACCCCGCTCTTCCTGCTCAAGCTCTACTCGCCCACCTTCACCGGCTACGGATCGTACGCAGGCCTTCCCATGCCATGGTTTGCACATGAGCGGCCTAGCATGAATGTCGTGTGTGTCGTGTGTGCGTGTGTGCGTGTGTGCGTGTGTTGTGCAGGTATGTGTGTTTCTTTGAAGACAGGCCGAGTCTCTTCGAGGGACTGATCATCAAAGGCTGCATCTCGCATGGAATCAAGTACACCGGCTGGAAGATGGAAGTGCACATCTACGAAGGGTGCGCCCTTCACACCACACCACCCCGGCCGACCCGACGCCTTCCACAACACCACTAATTCACACGGTACACGCGACACACCACATTGCGTGACACCACCAGGTCGTTTGGCGAGATGGAGGGCTTCCCGCAGGGCAAGGGCCGCATCGAATGGGCCAGCGGGGTGCAGTTCGACGGCTGGCACAAGATGCACGCGCTGCTCGGTCGCAAGCGGTGCTCGTTCGTGTTCGCCGACGGGGCCAAGTGGGAGGGGCAGTTGATTGGCGGCCGCTTTATGTTCACCTCCAATGGCCCAGGCCTGCTCACCCTTCCCGACGGACGCCAGATTCAGGTACACTTGCCCGCACACGCACACGCACACGCACACGCACACGCACACGCAGCACATGCACACCAGCACACGCACCGCACACGCAACTGATCGCTTTGGACACAGTGCAAGGCGGAGGCTGGACGCGGGCGAGGTGGGCATTGCATACATCTGTGGACGGAGGACGGGAGCGAGAAGTACATCGTCAACAGGCGGCTCCGCGGCGTTGTCGAACCCATCGAGGACGAGTTTGAGGAGACCGATTTCGAAGATCAGACCTACAATGAACAATGGAGCGATGACGAAGCGGCCAAGGACAGCGACGACAATGACGACAATGACGACGACAATGGCAATGACCTCGTTGGCAGCACCACCGCTCCATCTTCGGAAGAGGCCACCCCTTCAACTGCTGATAAGGAGACCACCACGCCCTGAACTTTCGTGGCCGCAGCCACGTGGCGTTCAACTTTCTGGACACAACCACCCCCCTTAGTTTGTGTAATGTTGACAAGCACCAGAAGAATTGGAACAGCATCACCATCACTGTCTTCATGCCACAAGCCAGCTACAACCACCATGGCCTTCGTTGGTCCAACCTCTTGAGAAACCGTACAGAGGAAGCTCGTGCTCGGTTCTACTCCCCCCCCCTCTCTACTTTTGAAGAGACAAAATTCACTGTTTACCACAGGCGCAGTTGTTTGGTGGACGTGCAAGAGCGGATTGATGTGGTACCAGAGAGGTGCGGAGGCAGGCCCTGCGTGGCTGGGACTAGGCTAACGGTGGAGGACGTTGTTGGGACGGCTGCGAATGGCGGGGTGGAGGAAGGATACCTGCTGGAAGAGTACCCTGAGCTTACCAAGGACCACATTGACGCCTGCTTGCTCTACGCGGTGGAGCACGGGTACTACGATCACTAGTGGAAAGCACAGTGTAAACCAAATTCTGGCAACAAGAAGGTGAGGGGCGATGAAGATGGTGTCATGTGTTCGACCTTGAAGGAAACTGCTGACGTCATCAAAAAATGAAACTCGAAAACAAAAAACGAAAAACGAAACACAAAACCGAAAAATGAGCGTCCAGCTAAAATCAACAGATGCTGTGAGGTTGGCACCCACCCAAGTCCAAGGCATAAGTCGGGTCGAAGTCTTGGAACCTGCAGCCCGCCACAACCTCACCTGGGACAGATACGTCCGACTGCATGCGGTCGCTGAAGAAGTGCAGAGATGCACCGCGGATTGGAAGGAGGAGGAGATGAAGAAGGCAATCATCCTTGACGTCGGTGGGTACGAAGGCGCTCTCGGATTGTTCTTGCCCGACTTTCAGATGGAGGTAATCGACCCCGCAACGACCGGCTGCTCCGGCACCAACATCCCCCTCGCCGACAAATCTCGCCCCATCATCACGTCCATCGATGCTCTGGAACACATCTCGCCAGATCAACGCCTTGCGCTTCTCTCCGAGCTGGCGCGCGTCACCGGCTCGCTCTGTTTCATCAACTTTCCGAACCGCCACACCGCGCCGGCGCAGGAGCTGGCGCTCGGCCTCACCAACAACCAGCTCGTGCGCGAACACGTCGAGTTCGGCCTGCCCAGCTCGGCGGAGGTCGCTGCCGAGATGGAGCGCCACGGGTTTGCCTGCGAGGTGGTCCACCACAGCGACTCGATGGTGTGGGCGAGTCAGTTCGTGCTGCAGCACCGAGCGCCCGACGCTGCCGCCGAAGTGAGCAGGTTCCTCATACAACACCACCGACCGCACCGAACCGTACCAGAGCCAGTCGCGCCGCTGTACGACCTCGTTGTGTGCCGGCGCACATAACAAACAAACAAACAAACAAACAAAACAAAAGCAATGATCATCGTTGATCACCGCCACACGATTACACGAAGCGTTCCTTGCGGAGGTGCGAGGCGGTGAAGCCCACGGCCGAGTAGCGCAGGTGCTGCATTCGCCGCACGGCCTCCCGAATGTGCAGCGGCTGCAGCGGCGCCTTTTCGCTGTCCTGTGTGCGTGCGTGCGTGAGGAACCGTGAGTGTCGTGTGTCGTGTGTCGTGTGAAACGTCAAACGTGGGTGCGTTACCTTCTGGTAGGGGGTGAGACGGAGGGAGAGGATGGAGCCGCCCTTGTGTCGCCAGCTTCCGTAGCCCGTCTTGTGCGCTTCGGCCTCCTTCTGCTCAAACCGTGATGTACCGAGGGAGGGTTACTATGCAACGCTACCAAAGGCGCGCGGGACGCGAAGGCGGGTACCTTGATGCTGAGGCCCAACTGCGTGATCGCACCGACCATCTCCCAGGCCAGATAGCCCAAGACCTGCCACAGCACCACCAACAAATATATTAGAGGAATTAAAACAGCTGTTTCTCACTCACCCACGCGTGGGTGCGTACCTCGATCACGTCGTCATGCAGCTTGAGGGCGGAGATACTCGGCCCCAACCAGTCTCTAAACTGCAGGTGCTTGCCGAGTGAGTGTGTGCGTCGTGTCGTGTCGTGTCGTGTCGTTGGTCGTGTCGTGTCGTGTCGTGTCGTGTCGTGTCGTGTCGTGTCGTGTGCTCCCGTGTGTGGTACCTTTTTGGCCTTCTTGTAGGTGAAACTGGCCTTGCGCGCTTCGGTGTACTTCATGTACTCCTCCTTGGACATGTTCTTTGTCATTTCGTCCGCTTGCTGTAACATGAACCATAAGATCAGCACAAAAACAACAAATAAGAAACACAGCGACATACTATGTCATATAAATATGTATATATTGTATTACAACCAATTAAAAGATTAACAAAAAAAGTAAAAGTCATGGGGTGGATGTATGGTACCCTCAACCGTTCCTTGTTCCTGGAATCGAACTCGGGCTTGGTGAGGATGTCGTCGTCCAGCAGGTCCGCGTCGTCCTGATCATGGCACACCAAGCGAGCGCACGTTATGAGGTGCACGGATCGCACGGGCACAGGCCTTGGGCGAGAGGGGCTGTACTTACCTCTTCCGCGCCGAGCGGGTCGCCAGGCGCGACCAAGTCGTGCATGATCTCCCAGCTCCAGTGCGTCAGCGCCTTGCTGCCCTTTTTCGGGTCGACTGTGGACAGACACGTAAGAACGGAGTGACACGCACACGACACACGACACACGACACACACGACACACACGACACACGACACACGACACACGGCACACACCACGAAAAGCAACCTTTGATTTTGGTGACGGCGGCCTTGGACGTGCCGCTGCCTTCGTCGGGGGCAAAGTTCTTGCGGATCTCCTTCCACTTGAGGAACTCCTTGAGGTTGTTGAGCTTCGTCGGGTCGTGCCGGACCTGGAAGGCGATGTGCTCCGTGGTGATGCGGCTGCTGCCGCTCCTGAACACCGCCGTCGCCGCCTCGTTCAGCTGCCCAAAGGCGCGCGTAGAAACTCAAGTCAGTCATGTGCGGTGTCGTGTGTCGTGTGTCGTGTGTCGTGTGTCGTGTGTAGAGGGAGGGCACCAGGTTGAGAATGTAGTCGCGCACGACACTTTCCATGAGGGCGGCAGCTTCGCCCGTGCCGTTCCGAATGTGGGCATCGCCAAAGACGTACATCATGTCCGTCACCTCTGCCACGTAGGAGACCTCCTTACGGCTACGCTTCGCTGGTGGTGCTCGCCTGGCAGCGAAGAATAATATTTATAATTAATATTTATTTTTAATTTCAGTAGTAAACTTCAACGAGGAGTAAATAGACAGATCTTATGCCTGGATTGTCTAAAAAGCAATAATAATAAATGGTAATCGAAGGGGGGGTACCCAGGAGCGCTTGAGCTCTCTGCGTCGGCGGCGTTTGGCGCGGGTGCCTGGCCAGTTGCCGGCTGCTCGAGGCCTTGAGTGGGCGGTCCCTGGCTTGTCGGCCCTTGGGGCGGTGCGCCCTCCACCGCTCCCGCGCTTCTCTTCCTCATCTTGTAGGGCTTCAAATCAATTTCTCTTTTCATTTCTTTGTTGACAAAAAAGAAATGGCCAGGTAAAGTTGCTCCAACCAACAGCCTGGCATCGCCTGGCAATCCTGATCGGTCAGCCAAGGCCTGCCGGGCACAACAACCATTAATCAGGACCAATGGCCGACGTTCATGACGAAAAGCCAAGGACGCACAAACAGCGACATAAGGTGAGTGACCGACAACCTGACCGACCAGGATTGGCTCCAGGGGGTAAACAACTGCAACGGCACAAAGCGTATCCTTTCTACTTGTACAACGACCACCATCAAAATCACACGGACACACAATGAGGCGTCGGTTATCCAGAGTCCTCCTCCTGACTTTGCTGATCCTCTTGTGTGGTACGGAACACTAAAGTTCTCGCCTTGATCCTCTTTTATCTTAGCTTCCGTCAGACCTCTCTCGCCCACCCACCTTACGTTGCTTTTCGCTCTTTGCTTCATTCTTTGGCACAAAAGCGGCAGCCTGCGCGGATGGCCTGCAGCTCTCGGGAGTCGGATCGCCCAACGCCGCCGCCACACTTTCGCAGTGGGGCAGTACCTACCGCTACTTTCGCGATGACGTCAAGTACACTTCCCCTTGACCTTCCTCTTCAGCTATCTGCCCACCTTTCCTTTCTTTAGCATCGTTTGTTCTACCGGAGTTCGTGCACCACGTGTTGTAATTAATGATTTTTGTTTTTTCATTGTTTAATCTTTGTCGCAGGGTGTTCTACGCTGCCGAAGATGTGGACGACGCCCTCTACTCCTACGCCACCAACCAGGCGGTACGGCTCGGGGGTGCCCAGTGGTGCTCAGAAGGCGTTAAGCTCAAAAAAAAACACACAATACAAAACAAATCAGGACTTTGTGGTGGTGGACCGGGGCGTGACGCCCGAGCTGGCGGAGCAATACGGGGAAATGGCCCAGTTCCCGCTCATGGGCCAGGCAATCGTGATGGCCTACAACCTCCCCACCTTCAACACCTCCGACCCCAGGCTGGTACTTCTTCTCTTGTCTTCTTTCCAGTCTTCTTCTCACGACCAACCACCACCTTGGCCGGCCGTCCGACCAGGTGATCGACCGCGCTACGCTGGCGGCGATCTGGGCCGGCGAGATCACGATGTGGAATGATCAGGCCATCGTGCAGCATAACTTGGGGCTCGAGCCCAAGCTGCCAGCGCAGCCGATCGTGCTGGGCTACAACCGGGAGGCCAACGCCGTCTCGGCCACGGAGGTGCTCAAGCGCGCCCTGGAGGGCTTCAGCGAGGGCTTTCGGAGCGCCCTGGCGGCAGCCAACCGCACGTGGTCCCTCATGCCCCCGGCCCTGAACGGCACCGCTGTGCTGGCCGGTGAGACCTCGCAGGCCCGGCTCGCCTGGCTCAAGGTCTGTGTGTCGTGCGTGTCGTTTGGCGTGTCGTTTGGCGTGTGCTGACTGGGCATTGCGTGACCGCAGGCGCAAGACTATGGGCTCACGTTTGCCAACTACGGGGCGGCGGTGAGCGCAAGCGTGCGGTGGATGCACATGAAAAACAGGGCCGGGCACAGGGTGCAGCCGTCGGTGGCCTCGGTGCAGTCAGCCATGAGCGACTTCAGCGACGAGTTCACGCAGAGCAACTTCAGCATCGACATCTACGACGCGCCGGGCAACAACTCGTGGCCGCTCGTCTACATGAGCTACCTCACCATGTTCCGGGACATGAAGGCCTTCGACTGCGCCGGAATCCAGGAACTGCTCGCCTTCGTCGCCTGGATTCAGACCAACGACGCGTACGCATTTCTCGCCCAGCAGCTCTGCATGCCATTTACTCACGCCGCACACGCACACGCACACGCACACGCACACGCACACGCACACGCACACGCACACGCACACGCACACGCACACGCACACGCACACGCACACGCACACGCACACGCACACGCACCCAGTGCGTCAGAAGCGTCGGCAGCGGCGAATGTGGCGCCGCTGGAGGCGCGTCTGCGCGACCGGCTCATCGACCTGCTGACCACTGTGCAGTGCAACCGAGCCCAGGCCTACTCGACCGCCTTTCTCATGGGCATCGGTTCGCCGCTGCCGCTCTACACGTCGTGGGCCGTGTCGTGGACTTCGGCCTCGACCCGCATGAAGTACTTCCTGGGTACTTCGAACAACGCCAAGCAGTACCTGTCCGAGTACGACGTCGACTTTGGCGTGGTGAGCGACGGCGTGTCGGACGAATGGCGCGCCCGCATGGACGACGTCGAGGTCATGCCCCTCACCGCCTACGCCGCCGCACCTGGCTACAACATACCCGAGCTTGCCGGCCGCGAGCTTGTCCTGGACTTTGAAACCATCGCGCTCATCTATTTAGGTCCGATTATTTTTTTTAGCATTAAGTGTTAGTATATCTTTGAAAAAATTAACTTGTCAAATACTGATTTTGCATTAAATGCAGGTAATATCACGCATTGGAACGACAGTCGTATTGCGGGGATCAACGAGCCCGAGGTGGCGGCTCTGCTGCCCGATCGGCCCATCACGGTGGTGACCATGTCGATCGTGTCTGCGCTCACGCAGCTGTTCACCTCGGTGCTCGCCGATCGGGTGCCTGAATTCCGCGACCGTGTGGGCGCCGGGCCGCTGGTCGCCTTCCCCGTGCAGAGCGACACCAACCGCTCGATCGTCATCGCCAGCAACGGCGTCGCCGCCGAACTCTCGGCCACCCCTTACTCCTTCGCCTTTTGGGTCTACTACGACATCATCCTGGTATCGCACCCCCTACATGCACACCGACGCACACACGCGCACATACGCACACACGACGCACTGACGAGTTGCGAGTCGGTGACAGACGCGGCATATCGAGGCAGCGGCGATGATCAACACGGCGGGCCACATCACGCGACCCACGACGTCGGCCCTCGTGAGCGCGCTGCAGGACTACCTGGCCTCGGGCGCGCCGTTGGACTTCAAGACCCTGGCGCTCGGGCCGAGCAACGACAGCTGGCCGATGGCCATGTTCGGCGCCTTCATCTATCGCCAGCGCACCATGCAGGACTGCAGCGAGGCCGCCGCACTCGCCAGCTTCCTCTACTGGACCCAGACCGACATCGCCGCCACACGCACAGCCGAGAGGTACATATCTTTTATATTAATAACATTGCATTTTTTCCGAATTTTCAATAACTGTTGTGAGTGCAGGCAGGGGTTCGTTCTGCCGACGATGGCGACGGCGATCAAGCGCCTCTTCTTGAATCAGCTCAAGAATTTCACGTGCGGCGGCGTGGCGGTGAGCGACGTCCACAACTGCATCTTCGACGGCGAGCTGTGCTCGGGGGTGGGCGAGTGCGTCAACAACGCGTGCGTGTGCGCGTCGGGCCGCGAGGGCCAGTACTGCGAGGGCTTCGTTGCGGCCAGCTCGTCCGCCGGCAGCGACCAGGCTCTGCCCATCGCCCTCGGCATCGCCATACCGCTGGTGGCCCTCGTCATACTGGGCCTGTGCGCGCTGATCGTGGTGTTGGCGGTGGTGGCCAAGCGACGCGGCCGCGGTGGCGACGCGTGGGAGATCGACTACGACGAGCTCGAGGTCGGCGAACAGCTGGGCGCCGGCGGGTTCGGCGAGGTGCGCAAGGCCACGTGGAAGGGCACCGAGGTGGCCGTCAAGGTCATGGCCTCGGAGAAGATCACCAAGGACATGGAGAAGAATTTCAAGGACGAGGTACGTGCTCCGCATTCTCTAGACATTAATTCATATAAAAACAATAACATAAAACCATTCATAAATCAGGTGCGGGTGATGACGGCGTTGCGGCATCCCAACGTGGTGCTGTTCATGGCGGCGTCGACCAAGCCGCCCAAGATGTGTATTGTCATGGAGTTCATGGCCCTCGGCTCCCTCTACGACGTACGTTGACTCCCTCCCAGTTCCGTTCCTTAGCCGCGCAATTGAGGGGATCGACCACCACATCGTTATTTCGCGTCGCATCTACACTGCGCAGCTGCTTCACAACGAGCTGATCCCGGAGCTGCCCTTTGCACTGAAGGCCAAGATGGCCTACCAGGCCTCCAAGGGCATGCACTTCCTCCACTCCTCCGGTACTCCCCCCCACCCACCGCGCTTCGTTCTTCTTTCTCCTTCGTTCTTCGTTCTTCTTTCTCCCCCAAACCCTGCACTCACTCTGATGTGTGGCCTGCCAGGCATCGTGCACCGCGATCTCAAGTCGCTCAATCTGCTCCTCGACAGCAAGTGGAACGTCAAGGTGCTCAGTTGGCTCACACTAACACGCACTCGCACAACCGCACACGCACCAACTTGATGGCACTTGTTGTCGACAAATGATGACTCCTACCCAACGTAGGTGAGCGATTTCGGCCTCACCAAGTTCAAGGAGGACAGCCACGCAGCGAAGGACGTGGCGGGCAGCGTGCACTGGATGGCGCCGGAGATCCTCAACGAATCGCCCGACGTCAATCTCATCTTGGCCGACGTCTACTCCTTCGGCATCATCCTATGGGAGCTCCTTACCCGCGAGCAGCCCTACGCCGGCCTCAGGTCCGTCACCCACCAATCGTGTGTTGTGTCGTGTGTGTGCCGTGTGTGCGGCTGCGGTGTGCGTGTCATTCATAGCTGACTTGTGATCTCGAGGCAGCCCCGCGGCGGTGGCTGTGGCGGTGATAAGGGACGGAGCGCGACCGCCGCTGCCCGACCTGGCCCCATCGGGCTGCCCGCCCGAGTTCGAGGAGCTGATCACCAGCTGCTGGCACCACGACCCCACCATCCGCCCCACCTTCCTCGAGATCATGACACGCCTCTCCTCCATGCACGGCGACTCCAAGCTCTCGGCCGGCGCCACGTCGACTATGTCCTCCACCTCATCATCGTCGGGAGGCGAGCCGCACCTGGCCCGCACTTGGGGCTCGTGGACCTCCACCGGCGGCCCCTCACAGTCCGCCACGTCATCAGGCTCGGGCTCGGGTTCGAGTCCGGGCGCGTCACGCAAGGACTCGTCAGCAGCGGCGGCCGGCACTGCGCTGGCGCGTGCGCCCAAGGGCGAGGTGGCGATCGTGTTCACCGACATCACGCGCGCCGCGTCGCTCTGGGAGTTCAACGCCGAGGCCATGCGCGACGCGACGATCCTGCACAACGAGGTCCTGCGCGCGGCGCTCAAGCGGTACCGGGGCTACGAGGTGGTGTTCATCCGCGACCGCAACAGCGGCGAGGGCTCGTTCTGCATGGCCTTCCAGCAGGCGAGCGACGCGCTGGCCTGGTGCGCCGACGTGCAGCAGGCCCTGCTCAAGGTCGACTGGCCTGAGGCCCTGCTCGACCACCCGGGCGCCTCCATCGAGTGGGGCGACACCGACGATCGGTACGCCTTCTTCTCTCTTCTCTCTTCCTCTTCGCTCTTCGCTCTTCGCTCTTCGCTCTTCTTCACCATCATCGCTGACCCAGCGAGTTGATGGTGGTCAGTGTGGTGTACAAGGGCCTGCGGGTGCGGATGGGGGTGCACGTGGGCACGCCCAAGGCGGTGCGCGACCCGATGACGCGGCGGGTGGAGTACATCGGGCCGGTGGTGAACGCCGCGGCCCGCATCACGGCCATGACCCACGGCGGCCAGATCGTGCTCAGTCACGCCGCCCACGCCAAGCTCGGCACGGACGTCGGCTTGAAGGACAACCTCCGCGTTGTGTGTCTGGGCCGGTTCGAGATGCCTGACGCGCCCCGAGGTACCCAAAGCCTTTTCTTATTTATTAACAAGTTCTTTATTCATCCATATTATTTATTTATGGATTTAAACGATTTTCGGCGGAACGGGGGGTACTAGGGGCCAAGCTGTACGAGCTTAAGGTGGCGGGGCTCGAGGGTCGTTTCTTCGGCGGCGTGACGGGTGACGAGGACAGCGATCCGCCCAACAACAGGGATGACAACAGCGGCGACGGCCAGCCCAAGGCGGCCACGAGCGGGAACGCGGGCGGCGGCGGCGGCGGGCTGGAGCTGCAGACGGCGGTGGGCGAGGGCATGATGTTCAAGGAGGACACCTTCCTCACGTCGGCCAACCTGTGCCGCTGGATCATTGACTTCCACGAGATCCAGGTGGGCCGTCAGGTGGGCCTCGGTTCCTACGGGGCGGTCTACCGCGGCAAGTGGAAGGGCGTCGAGGTGGCGGTCAAGCGGTTCATCAAGCAGAAGCTCGACGAGCGGCGCATGCTCGAGTTCCGCGCCGAGATGGCCTTCCTGTCGGAGCTTCACCACCCCAACATCGTCCTCTTCATCGGTTCGTTATTCCTCTCTGATGTATGTGTATATTTTTCATTTGATTTATTATCATTAAACTGGTTAACATTGATATTAACGTTATATGTTAACAGGAGCGTGCGTGAAGAAGCCGAATCTGTGCATCGTGACTGAGTTCATGAAGCAGGGCTGCCTTAGGGACATCCTGGCCAACCACTCCGTCAAGCTGGCCTGGAAGCACAAGCTGCGGCTGCTGCGATCGGCCGCGCTGGGCATCAACTACCTGCACTCGCTCCACCCGGTCATCGTGCATCGCGACCTCAAGCCCTCCAACCTCCTCGTACGCCAGCGTTCCCCACGTCGTGTTTGCGCGTGTGTTGTGCTGACACGACACACAAGGTGGACGAGAACATGAACGTGAAGGTGGCCGACTTCGGGTTCGCGCGCATCAAGGAGGAGAACGCCACCATGACCCGCTGCGGCACGCCCTGCTGGACGGCGCCCGAGGTGCTGCGCGGCGAGAAGTACGACGAGCGCGCCGACGTGTTCTCGTTCGGCATCATCATGTGGCAGGTGGCCACGCGCAAGGAGCCCTACGCTGGGCGCAACTTCATGGGCGTGTCGCTCGACGTGCTCGAGGGCAAGCGGCCCCAGATCCCCAACGACTGCCCGCCCGAGTTCAAGAAGGTGATGAAGAAGTGCTGGCACGCCCAGCCCGAGAGGCGACCGCGCGCCGACGAACTGGTCACCTTCTTCGACCAGCAGGTGGGCGACGACGATGCCGATGGCAGCTTCATCGCTTTGGCATGATACGTGGGAGCGCAGCCACCACCACTGCGTGTACTCCTCCCGAAGCGAAGAAGATAGAGTCCCGCATTTCACTCCAACAGAGCTACCTTCATGTGTCTGCAACCGGTACACACACATTATGCGCTGTAGGGAATGAACCGGCCGCCGGCGGCGCACAGGCCGACGTCGCCCAGGTCGGGTTAGAACCGCGAAGCGAGGAGACGTCGGCGCCGGTTCCGTCCGCCATCTCCACCAACAGGGTCTTCTTGATTCTCTTGACTTCCTCTTCGTCTGCTCGCACTGAACGAACAAGTCTCGCTTCTCGCCAGTGTTGGTTGAATGGCCGTGGTCCGTGGCGTCACGAGCGTCATGGCGCGAGGCCGTACTTGGCGCCTCACGAGCGTCATGGCGAAAGGCACGTCGAGAAGCGATCAGTCAACTCGATGAAGTCGCGAATTGGAGTTGAGTGGTCGATCTACTATAGTCCGAGCAAAATGAAGGCCTTCCCATTGGTCCCGACACTTTCTTTTGCTTGGTGCAGCGTATCAGCACACGCCACACGCTACTCACTCCCTCAAGCATGCATCGGGTGGAGGAGAGGAAGGCGTACGTTTGGGGAGTGGTGGTGGTCGTGGTGTGGTTGGCAGCAGTTTCGTGCCCGGCCGATGGTGCCATCCTGCCGGGCGTACGGACCCTGAGCCCCCACGGAGAAGCCACCACGCACCAGTCTGCCCCTGGGCTTCCGCCTCCGCCAACCTACCGCACGCTCTACTTCGACCAGACGCTCGACCACTTCAACTTCGCCACACAACCTGCCACCTACAAGCAGCGCTTCCTGTTGGCCGACGAGTACTGGCGCGGCTCCTACCCCGGCGGCTGCCCAGTACCTCCCTTTCATCTTTTGTGTTGATTTTGTTTTTGTAATATCATTAATGATTCTATTTTATGTTCTATTCCTACCGCTGTTTAGGGGCCGATCTTCTTCTACACGGGCAATGAAGCACCTGTGACCGACTACTACAGCGCGTCTGGTTTCTTCACGCAGGTCCTCGCCCCCAAGCACAACGCCCTGCTCGTCTTCGCCGGTACGGCCCTGGGTCCTACACAGGAGTACCGCCATCTCGAGAGCTGCTCACTCACTGCGTCGACTACCACCCCCACCCCCACACCACACAGAGCACCGGTACTTGGAGAGAGCATGCCGTTTGGGTCCAAGTCTTTCGACCCCGAGAAGATCAGCTACCTCTCGCCCGAGCAGGCGCTGGCCGACTACGCCGTGCTCATCACGCACCTCAAGGAAACACTGCCCCACGCCCGGAACTGCCCCGTCTTCGCGTACGCGCCATGCGTTGGTCTCGCATAAGTGGTCTTTAGTCACTGCGTGGTGCTGATTCGAGTTCTGTGGGTGCATACATGTGACGTTGATGCCGTGCAATGCAGCTTCGGTGGCAGCTACGGAGGTATATTGACGGCGTGGTTCAGGATGAAGTACCCCGACATTGTCATGGGAGGCCTTGCCGCCTCTGGTATGCAACCTCCCAGAGCCTCACACATTCTTCTCAGACTCTGGAATGTAACGACACGTGTTGTCCGCTGCAGCGCCGCTGTCGTTCTACGGCACCGGCATCAGCCCCTACGCCTTCACCAACAGCGCCTCCGACACCTTCGCGCAAGCGCGCCTTGGTATGGCCACACGCCCTCCGCCCAGCACTCGCCCTCACTCCCTCTCACCGCCGTCTACCCCGCGTGCAGGTTGCGCGCCACTGATCGCCCAGGCATTTGAGACGTTGCAGCGGTTTTCGGCCACGCCGGAGGGTTGTGAGCGCTTCGCCAAGGCCTTCAAGCTCTGCGGTCCGCTCAACTCGCAGGCGGAGGCCTCGGCCGTCGTCTATTGGGTGGAGATGGGCCTGGCCAGCATGGCCATGCTCGACTACCCCTTCGCCAGCAACTACGGTGTCTCGCTGCCCGGTACGCCCTTCTTCTAGTGGCATGCATGGAATGCTGTGTTCTGTTGACGACCATCATCATTACTACAGCGTGGCCGGTGAACAAGACTTGTGATCGAATCCTGGAGAAGGCCGCCAACAACAATGACCCCGACATCCTGGCTGAGGCCTTGGGCTACGCCATCGGAGTGTTCTACAACAACACCGGCGACCATTCGTGCTATGACATCAAGCGGTACCCACACCACTCGTATTCCTTTCATATTTCAAAATACACAGAACATGGTCGTTGTTTATATTAACAGGGATGTGCCAGAGTGGGAGAAGTGCTGCGGCTGGGACTACCTGCACTGTACTGAGGTGCGCCTCGATCTCATCATCACGCCAAGCAGGAGTTTTTTTTTACTTTTTCTTCTCACACCCTTTTGCTGGATTGGGGATCATCGACCAGGTCTACATTCCAATCGGCTTCTCTGGCTTCTTCCCCCATGCCACGTACAACCTGACTGCCGACATTGAGCAATGCCGGCAGAAGTTTGGCATTACGCTCCGCCCCAACTGGTATGCCACCATTGATGGTGTGGGGGGTCACGCCCCGCACATGTGTGACATTCCCCCCAATAACGGACAGGGCCCGAATCCAATACGGCGGATTCAACATCACCTCGTCGAGCAACATCATCTTCTCCAACGGGCTGCTGGGTATGTACTGCACCATCTTATCTAGGCCATTGCCCACCTCCCCATCGCAATGGCTGAGCTTTGAGCTGACGACGCTTTCTGGTCTAACAGATCCCTGGCACTCAAGTGGAGTGCTCCACTCCCTGTCTGACTCACTCATTTCGATCATGATTCCCGAGGTGTGTGTCGTGCGTGTCGTGTCGTGTCGTGTGTCCAAAGACATACTCACGCACCTATCTGCAGGCTGGCCACCACCTTGACCTGTGGGCGCCTTCGCCCGAGGACCCAATCTACATCCAGCGCGCCAGGGAGCAGGAGGCCGTGCTCATCGACAAGTGGCTCAAGGAGTACTGGGCCAAGCTGCTCTAAGCCAAGAGGTTTTAGTATTTTAAAAAAAAAGCCAAAAAGAATATAGATTTATTTTCACTTTTATATTCCATGACGCAGGCTGGAGTGGTGGTTGTGGGTGCTGGAGCGGTGGGGTGCTTCATAGGAGGCTGCCTCGTGCACCACGGCCACGGGGGCGCGGTGACGCTGGTCGGCCGCCCCACCCTCCAAGCGGCTGTCCGCGAGGCCGGGCTTACCCTGTGCGGCCTGGGCTTCGAGAGCGGGGCCGTCCACCTCCCGCCCGACGCCGCACCCACAATCGTCACTGACCTCCACCAAGTCCGTCCACCACTGTTGTTTATTAGAATTTACTTTATTATTTATTATTTATTATGTATTTATTATTCATCATTTTCTTATGTGTGATTATTCGTGCAGTGCGACTGGGAGGGCGTGGGGTTCGCTCTGGTGGCGGTGAAGAGCGGCAGCACGGAGCAGGTGGCCAAGGAGCTCGCCGCTGGTACCCAATTCTATTTATTAATATAATATAATTTTATTGTTTATGATTTATTTACGCCTCTGAGGCGGGGCCAACGAGTAGCGGAGCTGCCCGAGTCGGTCGTGGTGGTGAGCATGCAGAACGGGGTAGACAACGCGCGGGTCCTCCAGCAGCACCTGCCCTCGCACACGGTCGTGGCCTGCGTCGTGGGCTTCAACGTCGTGTGGCGGCAGCCCAACGCCACCTTCCACCGCGGCACCAACACCCCGCTGGTCGTCGGCGCCCTCCACATATCGAGCGACGGCGCGGCCAGGCGTGTGGCGCGGCTGCTGAACGAGGCCGCGCGGCTCGAGACCCATGTGTCAGCCCACATCGCCCACGTCCAGTGGACCAAGCTGATGATGAATCTCAACAATGCGCTCGACGCGCTGTCGCGGCTGCCGATCAGGCGCCAGCTCGGGCGGGAGGCCCATCGGTGGACCCTTGCCGCGTGCCAGGCCGAGGCCCTGCGCGTGTTCGACGCGCACCCCGACATACGGCTGGAGCGGATGGGGCTCTTTATACCGCGCATCACGCCGCACCTCCTGCGGCTGCCCAACTGGCTCTACCTCCGCATCACCCCGCTGCGCGTCACCGACGAGGCCCGCGGCTCCATGGTGCGCACACGCGACACGACGCACAAGCCACACATGACACACGCACACAGCACACACGCACAAGACACACGCACACATGACACATGACACGCGCGCGATACACGGGCTGACACATAACGACACCAAAGTGGCAAGACTTGGCAGCAGGGAGGCCGACTGAGGTGTACCACCTCAACGGTGTGATCCAGCGGCGTGGACGGTACGCGTCCTAGGGCCTGCCTCTTGCGCGTAGAGACGTCCGAACCAAACATGTGTGTCGTGTCGTGTCGCGTCGCGTCGCGTGCAGGGAGAAGAACATTCCGACGCCCGTCCACGACGCGGTGGTGGCCACGATTCGGGAGGCCGAGAAGCGGAAGCAGAGCCCGCGCCTGGAGCCGGAGCAGCTCTACGAACGGATCGTTGGTAGCCCGTTCAGCCACCGCCACCGCCAGTCACACGCGCTGCTTGCGCTTCTTCTGCTGCTCGTCGCGGCGGTAGCGGTAGTGGTCGCCTTGCGCTACGTTGCGCTTCCATAGTCTATGGTTCTGTTTATGGTACTCCTGGTGGAAGTGGCTTCATTTCCATCATCATCATTATCATCATCAGCTATGTACAAGAAGCGCGGGGCACGGGCACGGGCGCCTTGCACTCACTGCGGCACGCTGCGAGCGCGACGATGAAGAGTGTTTAGTGGTTAGTGGTGGCTGCGATGTCGCGCAGGCTTGGCTGAATGGGAGGGAGGGGGGGTCGGTACCCATCTTCGGCGGGCATGTGGGTGCTCCCCGTGGAGGCCCCGGATCCGCTGCCATCGCCCCGCATGGACGCCAGGCTGGGCGCGGTCTCGTAGAGATCCAATATCTGGCTGCTCACCTCTGCGCGAATTCCAGAGATGAGACGAAGAAGAAGAAGAAGCAGAAGGCGTGAGGGTGTACCCTCGATGAGGGCCTTGGGCATGTTGATGACTTCGAACAGGGTGGCGGGCGCGCCATTTCGCGTGATGTTGAAGCCGAGGCACTTGACCGAGAGATACAAGGCCGCGCCGGCAATCAACCGCGGGTCGTAGTTCAAGCACACCTCCGTGCGCAGGCTGTCGTTGACAAAGTTCCACGAAATCTGTATCAAGTCCTTGTTGACAGCTGCGCGCGGTGGGAAGAGAAACAGAACCTTAGACGATAACACGCACGCACACACACACCACACACGACACACACACACGACACACGACACACACACGGCGAGTAACAAAGTACGATCGACGGCTTTGGCTAGGCTGACGAGGTAGTGGTACGGGTGGTCCACCGCCAGGCTGATGTTGGTGACCAGCAGCCGCTCGTGACGAATCACGTCCTCTCTGAACCGCGCGAATTCCTTTTGGTTTGGGGCCATCGACACGGTGAGGTGAGCACACACCACACAAGCTGGTGGTCATCGATGGCAGGTGCAGGTTGGAGGCCAGCGGTACCGCTGAGTCGGCGTGGAGCACTTCCTTGCGAGCGACGTAGTGGGTGGCGAGGATGACATCGCGCGCCTTCTTGGGCACCTCTTCCACCTTGGAGGCGAGGAAGAGGCACGCCATGACCATGACGAGGCGATCGTGCTCGTGCAGGGGGTTGCAGGCAAAGAAACGATGGAAGAATGTCGCTGCCGTGGCGATCACCATCTGCGGGCTTTGGATGTGTTGTGTAGTGCGGCCATTAGATTGAAATGGAAAATAAATCGTTTTGTTATTTGGTGCAGGCGTGTACAGCTTGAGCTCCTGGCCAGCCTTTTGGATGGTGACGATGCAGGCACGCACGCGAAGGGCTCGCTTCTGCTGCTCCGTCTTACCGTGCACCGAGGGCGACATGGGCGTGCGACCTGGTTCCATCTTGCTGCTGTGCTTGACAAGAAATTGTCTTTTCTCTTCTCTCTTTCACAAAAGAAAACAGATTTCTTCGGAAGATTTCAATCGATAGACGATTGAAGTTGATCGACAATGGCCACCCTTCTCCGACTCAGCCCCCTCAAGCCCCTGCGCCACCTGCGTAATGGAACCCCGCTCGGCGCTGCGTTCGACCTCCGCGCGACCAGCCGCCTGATCAACGGCCCCACCGAGTTCGCCCAGGTGCTCGATGATGCCCCCCATGCTGCCGAGGCTGGCCACGCCCTGCCGTCGACCGCCCCCGGTGCCCTCCCTTCGCTCCAGCTCACCTCCCGCACCTCGGTGGGCGTCACCCGCGGCCCCCGCGTCCACGTCTTCTCTCGCAGACAATTCGAGTAGAATATTGAACGATTAAATCAATCCCCCGGTGGTTTGCAATGACTTCGCTTTATCAGCTTTATGAGTTCAACACTCTGAAAGATGAGCGTAATTGGTCCTCAAGGCGAATGCGGTCCGCCCATTGCCTCCTCGCCGACTCGGTTATTCGTGATGTCGGCGTTGTTGGGACGTCTCGCCGAAGTACGACATTATTTAAATAGTGCCGTGCGCCTTCAATCTCGCAACAACAACAACCTGAGCCCAATACAGCAACTACACTACTCTAGCTTTGATTCAAGATGGCCCAGAGCGACAGCAAGCTTACCCTCTACACCAACCCTATCTGCCCCTTCGCGCACCGCGCCCTCCTCACCGCCACCGAGAAGGGCCTTTCTTCGAGACCGTCATCATCCCTCTTGGCGGTGACAAGCCCGACTGGTACGAGAGCACCAGTGGGTCCACTCTGCAGCTCCTGCAGCGCTGCATCTTAATCTTCGATCTCGCACAGGTACTTGAAGGTTAACCCCAGGGGCACCGTGCCCACGCTCGTCCACGGAGAGCACACGATCCACGAATCTGTAAGCCTCATTCCCCCCCCTCTTTTCTTCTTATGAAGGGCTCACAATGATTTGCCGCAGCTGTTGATTACCGAATACCTGGACGACGCCTTCTTCAACGCCAGCCCTCGCCTCCTCCCCAGCGACCCGTACCAGCGGTACTTCATCTTTTTCGCTACTCGCATGAACAAGAAGCCCACCACATGGTCATGAGCAGCTCATGACCATCGTCTGGCTGCCTCCTGTGCACAGGTACGCGTCGAGGTTCATCGTGGACCAGTTCGGCTCTCAGGTCATCCCCGCGCTGTACCAGCTCCTCAGGAACCAGGTATGGTTGCCCTTTACCATTCTCTCACATACTTGCGGTCTTGTTGAGACCTCTTGAGTGGGGTGGTGTGTGGTGGTCTTCTTCTTCCCCTGTTCTGATGCCGGCGTTGTGCGCTGTAGGATCGGTCCCAAGACGACAAGATCAAGGAGGAGATCACCAAGAAGCTGAAGGCGCTTCTCGACCTCTACTCCGCGCAGGCTGGCGAAGGCCCCTACTTCCTGGGCCAGCACATCTCTCTGGTACTCACGCCCCTCCCTATGAGTCTAGCCACACAACACAACACAACACAACACAACACAACACAACACAACACAACACAACACACACAGCGTGTGCACTCGCTCACAACGAATGGGATGATGCGTGTGCTCCACGTTCGACAAACAGGCTGATGTGGCCATTCTGCCGTTCATCGGCCGCTTCGCCATCTCGCTGCCGCACTACCGCGACTTCGACGTGCTGGCCGTTGACGAGCGCCTCAAGAAGTGGCACGACGCCTTCGTGAGCCGCCCGTCGTGGCAGCAGACCTTCCCCCCCACCGCCGACATCCTCCAGGGCTACGCCAAATACGCCAACCCCACCCAGTAGAGAGAGGAGAGAAAGATTTCCTGGCTCCTTCATGTTTATTTATTATTAATAATTAAAAATATTTATGGTCGACAAAAATAGCGTTAAGATGACGTGGGCAGTCGACACAAATAACTCGGATGACGTGGCGCAGGGCAAAGCCCAAACTGCAACTGTGCAAGCAAGGAATCGAACAACGTTTCTTCTTGGATCTCCTTGTCTGCCGGCTGCTGTGAAGGGGACACGGCTGCAGCATGAAGAAGAGGTGGAAGGGAGGCGGGGGCTGCAGCTGCACAGCATGGATAAATTATGAATCGCCGCCGGCATTTGGGGCGATTCTGCTCCTGCTCTTGTTCGCCCTCCCGCTGTGCACGCTTGCAACGGCCAGCGTGGTTGGCAAGGACCACAAGACCACCTCGGATGCGAAGCTGAAGCCTGGGCAGCTTGCACTCACTTCCACCGCTGCTGTTTTGACCCCCACGAACGCCATCGTAGGCACCAAAGAGGGAGAAAGGTGCACCACCATTTGCCTTCTTCTTATTTATTTACTTATTAATTCAAAAATATTTAATTAATTAATTGTATTTGTACATTGTGATTGATTTCGAATTGTAGGCAAGTGTACGTGGTTGCAACCGCGGACGGGCGAGTGTATGGCGTGGAGGGCAGCACGGGCGAGCAGCTGTGGTCCTTCCACTCGGGGCGTTCCCTCTTCTCTGGTTCTTCTTCACAGGTCTGTAGAAGCACGTCCCCCCCCAAAGCTCTGTGTCTGCTCCATGCATCATCATCATCACCACCACCACCACTGTGCTTATCCATTGCCTGGTGCACTGCGCTGTACAGGTCGCCGGCGGTGCTTCTGGCCGCTCTGAAGACCCTCTACTGATTCCTGGGCGCGACGGCTCGCTCTACGCCTACATCACCAGCACGGGCATGCTCAAGGTGTGTGTCGTGCGTGTCGCGTGTTGCTCGTGTGTCGCTCATGTGTCGCTCATGTGTGTTTGGCTGCGTGCGGCAGAAATTGCCATCGTCGATCAAGGACATGGTGAACAACTCGCCGTTCCTGGCGGCCGACGGCACGCTGTTCGTGGGCAGCAAGGACTCGCAGATCTTCACCCTCGAGCTCGACACCGGCAGCCTGGCCTCCGTGCACTCGACCAAGGGCCTCTCCACCCAGCTCGTGCCCGCCGACCCCGACGACGATGAAAAGAATGCCAACCAGGTAACCAGCTGCTTCGCATTCCTCACCAACACCACCATCGTCACACCGCCAACATGTTGGTGCCATCATCGTCACCATCATCGTCGTCAACACAACAGTTGTTCGTCATGCGGACGGACTACACGGTGCGCGCAATCAATCACAAGAGCGGCGAGGAGCGATGGAATGTCACCGTGAGCGAGTTCACCTCCGATTCTCTCGAGGACCCGAGTGCGTCATCGTCATCCGTCTCTCCTCGGAACAACAAACTGATCGCGCTTTCCTTCGTTCTGTTGGTGTGGGCGGTCGTCGCTGTCAGACATCACGCTCATGGCCTCCCTGAATCCCAATGGGGTCCACGCAGTCGACATGAACAACGGTTCGGCACGCACACGCACACGCACACGCACACGCACACGCACACGCACACGCGCGATACGACACGACACGCACGACACGATTGAGATGTGGGAAGTGTCTGACTCGTGCGAGCTGGGACGACAATGGTGCGACCAGGGTTGCGTCTGTGGAACATGAAGTTCCCGTCACCGGTGGTGTCGGTGTACCAGGTGGCCTACGACGCGCTCGTGCGGCGTGCGTTCCTCCGCACCCTGCGCACCCCGTTCGTCATCTCGCACAAGCACTCCCTCCACTCCGTGTCGAGCCCCGACGAAGGTAATGCGCTCTCTCTCTCTCTTCTACTTCTTTCTCATGTGCGTATGTTTAACGTTGTTGTGTGTATGTGTGTGTTCACTTACTTGCAGACGCCGATGGAGTGTTCATTGTGGAGCACGAGGGCAGTCTGATCGCGTTTCCCGACCCGCAGGTCATCTACCCGCAGGACCGAATGCTGTCATCGGCCGACCACCACCACCAGCAGCAAAGCGTCTACTCCCTCCCCGCGCCCGATGACGTCACACAACAGGGCCACAGCCAGCTCGTGACGCCCTTTGTCGACACGCGCTACCAGTGCGACCACCATCGAATATTCGATGACGACGACGACGAGAGCGATGACGTCGACGAGTACCGCACCAACAACAGCATCGTCTTCGACAACGGCCGCGTGTGCCTGGTTAAGGGCCTCCACTTCATCGAGAAGACCGCCGCCGGTGGCCACCGGGCCGACCAACCCTTTGGACGGCGGCGTGCGGGCAACGACCAGGACAAGTCGACGGCCGTCATCGCCGCCACCGCCGCGCCGCGGCCCAACGACGACGACACGGACACGGCGCTGGTGGAGCGGGTCGCGCGGATGCTCGACGCGCTCGGCATCGGTCGGGCGAGCGTCATTTCGTCTGTGCTGACGATGGCGTCGATGGGCCTCGTCTTCTTCATCTACGCCTCGGCCCGGCGCATACGCCAACCGACTGCGGCAGCGAGCCTGGAGGTGCGAGGCGGCAGCAGCAGCCGCGTAGCACCCAAACTAAGCGGCGGCAACAGCAGGCGCGCGCGGCGGAAGGCGCGCAAGAACTCCCAGAGCCGCAACGACGACGACGACGAGAACGAAGAAGGCGATGATGGTGAAAAGTACGAAAGCGGCGGAGGCGGCGACGGCGGCGGCGATGAGGCAAGCGAAGGCGAGGAGAGCGGTCGGAGGAGCAACGAGGACTCGGACGAGGGCGGAAATGACGACCATAACAATGCGAAGAAGAAGAGGAGGAAGCGCGGCCTGTCGACGACGGCGGCCAAGAGCAGGTCCACGCCCGTCATCCCCTCCGAGAGGCTCAACCCGCTGGGCGAGGACGGCACCCTCCGCGTGGGCCAACTCGGTACCCGCCCCACACGTGTGCGATCGTGTGTCGTGTGTCGTGTCGTGCGTGAGTGCGTGAGTGCGTGCGTCGATTAGCTGACTGCCCTGTGGGGGTGGTGGTGGGCAGAGATCCACATGTCCAAGGTCCTGGGACACGGCAGCAGCGGTACGGTGGTCTACGAGGGCATGCTGCACGGGCGCAAGGTGGCCGTGAAGCGCATGCTGGCCGACTTCTACCAGCTGGCCTATCGCGAGATCTCGCTCCTCCTTGTCGCCGACGAACACAACAACGTCGTCAGCTACTATGCCAAGGTGCGTGTCGTGCGATGTGTTCGTGTTTGTCGTGTGTGTCGTGCTTTTCGTGCGTGTGCGGCTTAGCGCTAATCGTGTGGTGCAGGAGGAAGACGACCAGTTCATCTACCTGGCGCTGTCGCAGTGCGTGACCACGCTGGGCGGGTTCATCGAGGACAAGACGCGAAGAGCCCGGCCGAGCCGGCCCAAGACCTCGCCCATCGCCGAACGCATCCTCCCTCCAGGTATGCTTCTTATTCGTCGTCGTCGTCATCGTCGTCGTCATCGTCATCGTCGTCGTCGTCGTCGTCGTCGTCGTCGTCATCGTCATCGTCATCTTCTTGTGTTTCCATAAGTGGGGTGCAAGCAATCAATGACGCTCAGTCGTGTTACGTGCTGCGCAGTCACATCGGAGACCAAGAAGATGGTGCTGCAGATGGTGGAAGGCCTGGCCCACCTCCACTCGCTGGACATCGTGCACCGCGACCTCAAACCGCACAACGTCCTCCTCGACCGCAACAACTGGTTCCCCCTCCGCTTCCCTATTTTTTTATTTTTATTTTTATTCTTGAAATGTTACGTTAGGGTTATTATATTTATATTTATATTTATTATTATTATATTATTATTGAAATGTTACACAAGGGTTATTAGTATTATTAGTATTATTATTTGGATATTCATTTATTACTACTTCCCCCCTCCCGTAGCATCAAGATCTCGGACATGGGGCTGGCCAAGAAGCTGGACAAGGACCAGTCCTCCTTCACCGCCTCCGGAGGTGCGCACACAACTCGCCACCACGACACCACACGACACACACGACACACATACGACACACACACACGACACACACAACCCTAACGCCACACGACGCGACACACACGACGCGACACACAGCGACACACACAACGACACGACGCACAGGGAGCAAGGGAACGCTGGGCTGGCAGGCGCCGGAGATATTGGCCGCCGCGGACGAGGCCGAGGAGCGCCGGGAGGAGGCCGAGGAGACCGACACCGCCGCCGAGGAGGCCATCCGCAAGCGCGTCCGGGTCACCAAAAAAGTCGACATCTTTTCCATGGGCACGTCACCAGCACCCACCATCGTCGTCATGTTCGTCGTCGTCGTCGTATTCATCTTCGTCGTCGATGTAGGCTGTCTGGTGTACTATGTGCTGACGGGCGGCCTGCACCCGTTCGGTCCGAGCTACGAGCGCGAGTTCAACATTCGGAAGAGCCAACCGACCCTCCACCCCTCGCTGTCGCCCGAGGCAAGGGACCTGGTCTTTGCCATGATCGAGTGCAACCCCACCAAGCGGTACGCGGCACGAGACACACACACACGCACACGCACACGCACACGCACACAGCACACGCAGTTGACGTTTGTGATGTGTGCGTGTTATTTATGTCAACAACCAAAGACCGACGGCACACGAGATTGCGCTCCATCCGTTCTTTTGGTCGGACAGCAAGAAGCTGCTGTTCCTCAAGGACGCGTCGGACCGACTGGAGATCGAAAAGGTGAATGCCCTTTCCCCTTTTTTTGTTCGAACAATCCCATGTGCACCGTGCTTTTCTCATCTTTGTTTTCTCTTCGTTCTTCTGCCATTTGTTCTTTTTCGCAGCCGACCGCGCAGATCGTGGTGGAGTTCGAGGACCACGCCCACTACCGCATCCTCCAGCGAAAGGACTGGATGCGCGTACTGGACCGCAAGCTCATCGGTACCCAACCAACCATCAGTTTGTTTTGTGTTGGCTTTCTACTTGCAACGTCGATGGTTGGTGAATTGCAGATGATCTGGGACGATACCGCAAGTACAGCGGGATGCTGGTGCGAGACCTCCTGCGAGTGATTCGCAACAAGAGCCACCACCACCGAGATCTCGCCCCCGAAGTCCGAGCCGCCCTCGGCGAGCTGCCAGGTAAACACAAGGCCTCCCCGCCACGTCTTGCTGAACCACCACCACAACAACAACGACAAGAACGAGACGTGAAGCTGAATTCCGTTCGCGCGCGACCCAGGCCCCTTCTTGGGCTACTTCACGTCGCGCTTTCCCAACCTGCTGATCGTGACCTACAAGCACCTCAAGAAGTACTGCCCCGACGAAGAGGCCTTCAAGCAGTACTTTGCTCGTGACGCCGAGCACTGAGAGCGCCCACCACGTGGGCCTGGCATACCACGCAAGTGGCCGGAAGTCTGTACAGTCAATCATAATAGCCTCCTCTGCGGTGTGGTACAATTATTTATTCTTCAACAACGTCACCACCAAGAAGAGGCAACAACGGGAGTGGGGGTGGGGGTGGCGGCAACCCAGATGTTGAAGAAGAAGGTGGGTCCGGAAGATGAGGCGCCGTGGTGGTGCTGGTCGTGGTCGTCGGCAAAGTAGAGCGGGAGCGTGAGGTAGAGCGCCAGCCAGAACAGGCCCGCGCCGGCCCACTTGCGCACGTTGGCCGCAGGCAGCGCCACATCGCGCGCCTTCTGGAGCTTCTGGCCCACGAAGAGCAGCAGGTTGGACGCCGGCGACGCAGAAGATGACGTCGCGTCGGCGTCGGCTTCGGCGACGAGGGCCTGGAGGAGGACGAGGCACGCGTGGATGGAGAAGAACAGGAGCACGGAGAAGACCAGCTGACGCTCGACCACGAAGTAGATCACGAAGTTGAGCAGGCCCACCACCACCAGGTACAGCGGCAGGCCGGTGAGCGCGCGTCGCACCGCCTCCGTCTCCTTGGTCGCCGGTGATGATGATGATGACGACGACGACGACGGTACGACCGATCGGATGAGAATCGAGAGGGTGTCGTGGAGGCCCGTGTTGTAGCGGCGGCCCCAGAAATCGCCGAGCGACGCGGAGAAGTAGGGATCGTAGATGGCCTCGGCGATGTGGTAGTACACCGACGACGGGTCGCTGACGCCTCCGGTCTGGGCCTCGGCCTCGCGCACGATGGCCCAGCCGAAGCCGGCCATGACAAAGTCGAGCAGGGCCGAGAAGGCCAGGAAGTGGACGGCGCCGTGGACCAGCAGGAAGCGGGCGTTGGCGAGCCACGGCAGGTAGTACACGGCCCACGACAGCGTGAGGCCCACCACGACGTAGACCAGCCGCACGACCAGGGCCAGCGCGAGCTTGGTGGCGCCGCGGATGCCGCGCTTGATGGCCAGCTCGCGCGGAAAGATGAACACGGAGCCGTCCTTGTCATCGTCGCTCTTAAGGATGACCTTAAGAATGCTGGCCACGTAGTAGACGAGGCCCTTGAGGTCGCCGCGCGCGAGGAGGTCGGCGGTCTTGCGCTGGATGGAGGCGAGGTCGAGCGGCTCCTCCTCGACGCCCACCTCGACGGTGAAGCCGGCCACGGTCTCCTTCCGGTGGCGACGGATCGAGAGCGGATTCTTCACGCGGACGCTCCGCTCCAGCTCCGGCTGGCGCAGACTGCGGCGGTCTGTGTGTGTGTCGTGCGGTTAAATTTACGTAAGACGAGCCATTGTTATGGGGAGTTCTTTACCAGGACGGGCCAGAACTTTCTGGGTGTTGTTCTTCTGGTCGAGCACCGCTTGGATCCACCATATCTGACCGGTAACTATATTAGATATCAAATATAAATCATATATTAAAATACATTTATGTGTATTTTAATTATGACGAGAAAAGTAGTTTTTGGTTTTTGGATTGGAGGAGGCGTGGGCAGGCGACGAGCGCACCACCCACACGAACATAAATTATGCTGTCTGCTTACCCCGTGGGGCAGCAATAGACACTACCACGCACAACCTGGGTGCAATGGAAGGGGGTAGTGCCTAAAAGGTCCGCCTGCTTGATCGCAGACCCTTCCAGCAAGGTACGTATGCTTTCCACCACTGCCGCCTCCGCTATTTGTACCCGGCAGCTCCACAGCAAAAGTTATGGGTCGTAAAAAGAAATAAATAATTTCCATATTTTTAGGTCGACGACGGCTAAACACCGGACCGCCACCTTACGACCAGGCCGGAAGGAACACGAAAGCGATGAAGAAGAGAGAAGAGAGAAGAGAGGAGAGAAGAGGGGCACGAAGAGGGTCGCGGGGGGGGGCGCACCTGATCGTTCCTGGTGGCGGCGCCAAAGTAGTGCGACTCCTTGGACTTGGTCAGCACCCGGAACCCGTGCGGCAGGTCGACTGGGGAGATGGTTGAATAAATGCGCCGCGTACAACAAAGCAGCCCTCCTGGGGGTGCGCGTACCTCGCTGGCCGCTGGTGTCGTCCACAGACTCGATGGAGAGCAGATCGATCTGTAACGAGCTTGATCAGGGCGCATGTGGACAGAGAGCGAGTAGTGGAAGTGGTAGTAGTCGTAGTCGTAGTGGTAGTTGTACCTGGAAGAGGAACTTGTACTTGTGCTCCTTCTTGGTCTTGGGCTTACCGCAAACGAGGGTCTCGTTCAGGAGGAACAGCTGCACGTCCTGCGCCTGGTTCTTGTGCAGGTACTTGACTGTAGAGGGGGGAAGGGGGGGTTCAGTCGTGCGCGCGTGCATTGGAATTGAATGGTCAGACACGGCAAAAGGCCGTATAGGGAGCGAACGCGCTTCGGCTGTCGTACCCTTGGCCTCGTTGACGAAGCGCCGGCTGGGCGCCACCAGGACCGGAGCGTCGCGACCAAAGCTGCGCTGGATGTCGGCCACCTTCTGCATGTTCTCTGCCACCTTGAGGCTGTGGTGTGACAAGACGTCAGGCGTGTGTGGTGCGTGTGTGGTGTGTGTGTGTGGTGTGCGTGTGTGGTGTGCGTGTGCGGTGTGCGTGTGCGGACATGAAAGGGTGTAAAGTACCGCTCGTTGAGGTAGTCGGCGACTTCTTGGGTCATCTTCAAGGCCTTGGAGAGATCGTCGTAGTCCACGTGGCTCTCGTCAGTGTTCTTCAGCAGATCCTGCACGCGCAGTCCAAAACGAGCCGGGGTGAGCTCCGGTGCCTTGGCGCCAAAGAGCAACAAAGCAAGGACTAAGGTCGAGCAGTACCCTCAACAGAAGAATGTAGCGCGGCACTCTCTGGATGGGCATGACTGTTGGGTGGTGGCACGCACGCACGCACGCACGCAACGTCATCGCGAGTGTTAGGGTTTTGTTGTTGGAGCAAAGCGAAGGTGGGAGCTGAGGTGCGCACTGAGGTAGTCGCTGGCGTCGTGGAAGGAGCATTCGGGGTACTTCGCGGTGTCCTTGATGAACTGGGCAAAGCCCTTGTTCTCCTTCATGCAGCGCAGGTACGTTTGCAGCGCTGTGCGCCGCGAACCAACGACAAGCACGGCATGAGAAACAACCCGACGACGACGACAACGACAACGACAACAACAACCAACAAACTGGTGTGTGGTTGCGCGAGGGAGTGAAGGTGATACCGCTCGAGTAGTTGCTGCTGTAGATGGTGTAGGTCTTGAGGAACGGCACGAAGGTGAGGAACACGTCGCCGATCTTCTGCTCGGGCGACCAGTTGTCGATCCTGCCCTCCAGCTCCTCCAGCAGCTTCTCGTTCACTCTGTGCGTGCGGGTTAGAGCTTGTGTCGTGTGTGCGTGTGTGCGTGTGTGCGTGTGTGCGTGTGTGCGTGTGTGCGTGTGTGCGTGTGTGCGTGTGTGCGTCACGGGATGGTGCGCTACCCGATGATGGTCTCCAGGTTGGAGAAGATGGTCCTGACCTCATCCTGGTTGTACGTAGCATGGAGGGAGGAATTGAGGGCCAAGAAGAAGAAGAAGAAGAAGCAAAGGTGGGGACATGAGTGGTAGAAGAAAGAACCTTGGAGAGAAGCGGTGTGTCGCGCATGGAGAGACGCTTCATGAACCACTTGTCGAAGGTCTTGAGGTAGCCCACGTAGGCCTTCTCGGTAGACAGAATCTCCTGCGCGATGTGCTGCCTCCTCTTGGCCTTGCGCGCCTCCTCGCTCGATGGATCGAGTAGAGCCTCCGAAGATGTGGAAGCGAGCGAGTCGGTGCCCAGATTCCTCGTCATCTTGGTGATCTTGGCCGGGATGTAGAGGTAGGCCGCGAATCGAAGGAACGAGGAGATGTAGTCCTTCTGCAGATCGGCATCGATGAAGAGCAGCTCGAAGGTGTGCAAAACGAGGATGAATTGCTCGAACACGAGGAAGTACGTGAAGAAATTGTTGTAGGTGTGGCCCTCATCGATGAGGAAGAGGGGCGAAAGAAGGAAGAGCACCACGGCGGGCAGAAGGAGGTAAGCGAGGGGCGGCTGGATGAGCGCGGCCAAGGGCGTTGTTGAGGTCGCCGCCTTGGGCTTCAGTTGCGGCAGCACCACCCGATGGACGAAGAAGGGGAAGGCCACCAACTCCAACAAGTACACCAACCAGCCCCACATCTTCACCTCACCCTTGCTGGCGTCAATCAATCTTGCGCTCCTCCGTTCAGTTCTTGTCTTGTTCGCTTCCCGCAGGTGGTGGTTGCTCTCGAGCTCCAATTAATTTGATGTTTTTCCTCTTTTCCTGAACGTTGCAGAGAGAAAAGGGAAAAAGAAATTGGATCGAGCTCATCGAACGAGAGAGATGGAGGGAAGAGGGGGACGAAGGAGCGAGGAGGCGAGCAAGGAAGGTGATGAACAGGAGGAGCAGGAGCAAGAAGAGTTACAAAGCGACGAGGAGGAGCTGTGGGTGGAGACCAGCCTCGATTTTGCGCCATTTTTGACTGTGGCCGGTCTTCGTCGGTCACAGCAGAAGGTGGGCGCCAGCCTGGACCTCAAGGCCAAGAAGTCGCCCCACAACAACAAATCAAAGAAGAAAGGTACTCCATACTTGCCCATTCATTTCAATTAAATAAATAAAATTAAACACAAGTAATAATAATAAATAACAGAGCTAATAAATGCGTACAGACGGGTTCGAGGAGCTGAAGCGGCGGCAGAACGAGGAAGAGGAGGGCGAGTGGCCGGGAGAGCGGTACGGCCACACGGCGGTGGTGGAGGAGCGTGGCGGCGGGGTGCTGCTCGTATGGGGCGGCTCGGACCCTCACGGCACCTTCCTTCGCGACCTCTGGCACTACAACTTTGGTACTCTCTCTTCCTCCTTTCTCTTTCTCACTTGTCCTCCTGAGCTCACCTGTTATGTCGTGTGTCGTGTGTCGTGTGTCGTGTGTGTCGTGCTGGGGGTCGTGCGGCAGAGAGCAAAAAGTGGGGACGAATCGAAGCGGAGGGTGGCCCGCCTGGGCGGCACTTCCACAGCGCGGTCATGTACGAGGGCTGCATGTACGTCTTCGGCGGCACCTCCAACGGCTACTACAACGACCTCCACCGCTTCGACCTCAGTACGCACCCACCCCAATCACCCACCTACCCATCAACTAACGTCCGTTGCCGCTGCCGTTGCTTTGCAGATAATGGCCAGTGGTCGGTTATATCGCCTGCCAATCGGGCGCCGTCGCCTCGGTACGGCCACTCGGCGGTCGTGCATCGCTACTACATGTACGTGTTCGGCGGCTACGACAAGGTGCGGTCCTCTCCAGCTGCAACCGCCCAGTTTATATCCACCTCTGCAATGAGAAACCACATGTGAGCTGACATCAGCACCATCATCCATGGACGTACACGGGTAGGATGGGTTCGAGTGCAACGACCTGTACGAGTTCAACTTTCTCAACCGTCAGTGGCGCAAGGTCAAGACCAAGGGCATCATTCCCAAAGACCGGTACCTTACCTCCACTTTCTTTCGTTCGTTCTTTCTTTCGTTCTTTGCGCCTTCAGCGCCCTCGACTCGACTCGATGCGACTCAAACGTTGCGACTTACGCGCGTGCGCTGTGGACAGATATCATCACACGGCGGTCGTTCACGGGGGCTCCATGTACGTCTTCGGCGGCAAGAAGTCCTTCAACGAGATCGTCGAATATCGATTCAGTACGCACGCATCCCCTTGTGCGTGGCACACGGAGGCGGGTGATGATGATGACGATGATGATGGTGAGACTTACCTGGCACTGTACGTAGGCACGGAGACGTGGTCGCTTGTGCAGTCGGAGGGATCGGGTCCGCGGCCGCGATGGGGCCACGGGGCGTGCGTGTGGCGTGGCGGGATGTGGATCTTCGCCGGCCGCGACAACGTCTTCTCCTTCAAGGACCTCCTCGTCTTCCACTTCGGTTCGTCTTGTCCACATCCACCTCGGTTCGAACCGGTTACCTCTGAGAAGAAGTTGAAGAAGAAGAAGAAGAGGCTTACCTTCACATACGACTTCGTTCGGCGTGCAGAGAGCGGTCGATGGCAGCGCATGGCGACGTCGGAGGGCATTAGCGAGCGGGCGCACCATTCGTTGGTGGCCTACGGCGACCACCTGTACTCGTTTGCCGGATGCAACATCTTCCACTTCTGCTTCAACGACCTCTTCGTCTACAATCTGGGTACGTACCTGTCTCTCGCTTACGCTGAAGCAGTTCTGGCTTCTGGCCTTGATGATGATGGTGATGGTGATGTGTTGTTGATGCGCGATCGTGATGTCGGTCGGGGAGGAGAGCAGTCGACGGCCACGGAGGAGCGCCGAATACGCTCGTCGACGACTTCAAGCACCTGCTCGACGATCCATCGCTCAGCGACATCGCCTTCGTCTTCCCGAACGAGGGCGACAAGAAGATTCGAGCCCACAAGAACATCCTCTCCGCCCGATGCGCACCAATGCAAGCGCTGCTTCGCTCGGGTACCCGCGAGTCCTGCTCTTCCTCCTCTTCGAGGCATCGCCACTTCATGTAGCAGCTCCATCTCCTAACGCCAGACTACAACAGGAATGCGAGAGGCGTTTAGTGGTGTGGTGGTGATTGACAGCATCGAACACGCCACCTTCTACGCGCTACTCGAGTTCTTGTATACGGGTACGCTCGATCATACTTGTAGCAACCGGCAAGGAAGCAGAGAGGAGAAGACTTACCAACAACATACTTTTACGCGGTCACAGGCCAAGTCTTCATGCAAGCGGATGGCCTCGTCGACCTGTTGCAGATAGCGGATCAGTATCAGCTCGAGCGACTTAAGTACCTGTGCGAACGCAAGATCATCGGCTACGTGGACGCGGAGAACGTGGTCAATCTACATCTCCTCTCCGAGCAGGTGCAAGCGCCGGACCTGGCCAAGCACACGCTCGAATACCTGGCCAAGAACTGGGCCGCCCTGAGAGAGCAGCTGCAAGGAGTATCGTCGCTTGGCAAGGAGCAAACTGAGCGCATCGAGAGAGTCTGGCGAAAGCGATACAGCGGCGATGACGGAAAGGCGCAGAGCTCTGCGAAAGCGGGTAGTGTAGAAGCGACTGTATTGAACGAACCGTAGTACTGTGTTCATGCTATCTAAGCTGAACAAGGTGTCAACCTCTTCAGATGGCTTGGACCGGCGTGGTGGAGGGAATACGCAGATAGTCGATACCTTCCTCTTCTGCGTAGTCGAAAGCGTTCCGTCCCTGTACTCAGGAGACGTAAGGCACGAGACGAGATGAAGGAGTAAAGAAGCCAGAAGCCAGAAGGACCCATACCATGTGACACGTCAAGCAGGGGTCTGCGTTGAACTCGAGGAGGAGCTTGATCATGTCCTGGCCAAGTAGACGATGAGTGAGCGAGGGGCAAAAGAACACTTGGCTGAGTGGTTGTACCTCGTCCTTGTTGCGTACGGCAGCGATCAGAGCGGTGTACTTAGTCCGCGACGTCTGGGCGTTCACATTCGCTCCGTGTTCCAGAAGCATCCGGGCCGTCACGAGGTCGCGAGCCTTGACCGAGAAGATGAGGGGAGTGATGCCTCTCTTGTTGGTCTTGGCATTCACGTTGGCGTTGTGCTGGAGGAGGACCTCCACCGCCTCACTCCGCGCTTTCTCGGCTGCGAAGGTGAGAGCAGTGCTTCCGTTTTGGTTGCACTCGTCGCTAGCTCCATGGCGCAGAAGACACGACACAATCTGGTGGTATCCCTCCTAAGCCCACGGGCGTGAAGGGTGAGTCACCTGGCGCGACCTCATGCGTTTTAGGTGTACCTTGGCGGCGATCATGAGGCAAGTGCTTCCGTTGTTCGTTTTGGCGTTACAGTCCGCGCCGGCAGCAAGCAAGGTCTGGAGCGGAGCCAAGTGACCTTCGCGAGCGGCGTACATGAGAGCCGTAATGCCGTGTCTGTCGGTCAGATCTGGGAGCAAATAGGACAAATTAGAAGGTGCATTGAACCAGAAAGCTCCATAGAGAAAGAGTTTACCGAGGGCCGCGCTTTGCGCGCAAAGCATCGCCACGATATCGCCGTGCCCTTTCATGGCGGCCACCATCAGAGCAGTGCATTCTGATTCCTTGTCTTGCGTGTTGACGTTCAGGAACACTGCACAACAGCGAACAGCCAATTAGCGGAAGAGCAGGAGCGAGCAATGCTTCGAACGTACCGTCACGTGGACGAAGCATCTGCTCTACGAGCTTGCTGTGCCCCTTCTTGCAGAGCCAAGAGAAGTGCCTCCATTGAAATAACTCCCTTTTTCTGGCCTGAGCTTCTCGACACATGTGCTGGTGGAGATGCAAGGCATCGAGGGCAGACCTGCATGCTGTCTTCCAACCGTGCTTGGCTATGGTCGCCGGAATGTCAAACAGACGCCGAGAGCACAAGAGTATGAAGGACCCTACGTACGACGGAAGTCGGGGTTGCCTACGTGCCGCCCATAGACTAAATGCCAGAAGCTTTCGTCGCAGCTGATGCTCTGCCACGCATGCGACACCGCTTGTACACTGCATAGAAGATTGACGGTCAGCTGGCGCTCGGTTACACGCTTCGATGCGAACTCGCCGTGGGTGTACCTTTGAATGATATCCAGCGGAGGCAGGAAGTGCAGGATTTGCATGAGGATCTCTGTTGGGAGTTCAGAAATCGAACTCTGGGAGTGATGGCTTCCGTCAGCGAGACTGCAGTCGAAGAGACAGCTGCGTAGTCACTCGCACCTTTTCATGGACGTGTTGCTGGGATGATGCTGCGGTTTTCGCCACCTTCTGGCGGCGGTACAGGAACTCGAGCTCCTCGTCTCCATCGCTCTGCGTTTCGCCTTCTTGCTCCCAGCAGGAGTCGTACTTCCTGATGTAGCACGTCGGAAGTTGTAGCGTCGCCATGTCCGAGAGCGCGTATGGAACGTGTTCAAACCTTTTGGGCCGCTGCTCAGGCGTAGGTCCGAAGGAGTCGACTGTGGGCTTCGCGGCTACTCGCACGGAGATCTAAAGATGAAAAGAAAGCGGCACGTGTTGGCATCTTCAAAGCGCAGGATGTTCGAGTAAAAGGTACCTTGCTGCTGTGTGCACTCTTGACTTCCTCGTGTAGCGACAGTGGGGCAGTCGATGCATGACGTACTTCGATGTTGACGTCGCGCTTGCAGCCAGGATTGACCTTGACGCGGACGACGAACGTCCAATCTTCTACGATAATCTTCTTCTTGATTTCGGCCATGCTGCGCTGTCACCGTCTCGAGTGCGTTTATACAAATGCACTTCACGGCTGGTACGCATCTTCTACACCTTCCTACGCACTTTGCCTGCGTTTGCTCGTGGCCGGGAGGCGGGAAATAATTTCTTTTTATTTCCCCCCTATTTCCTTGCATAGCTGCGGAGTGGCCGCTCTGCCTCGGACGTGTGGTATGTTGATATTGTACACAGCTCAGTTGCTGCTCTTACCGACCATGACCCGGACGAACTTCTCGTACTCGAAGTTGCCCGAGGAGTCGGCGCCGGTGGCGAACATCTCCCTCAGCTGTTGAGAAAGGAAAAGAGAAGTCAGAGACGTGGACTGGCTTTGCCGAGAGGTGCCGTTCGAACAGTTCGCAGCTGTACCTCCTTGTCGGTGAGCTTGTCGCCGAGAGTGGTGAGCGCAGTGCGGATATCCTCGACATTGAGCACTCCCGTGTCATTGAGATCGAAAGTGTTGAAGGCCTTGAGGATGGCGTCCTCGTTATCCATCTTGCCCAGTTTTCTTCATCACCAAACGGGGGGCGTGAGATGATGTTCGCCTCATCGAGTAGAAGCATTGATTGAAAGAGGGAAGATGGGGGGGGGGTTCACCTGGTCAGAACACCAACGAACTCAGTCAAGTCGATCGTTCCGGTCTTGGAGACGTCGGCCTCCTTGATCATGTTGCGGATCTCACTGTCCTTGGGGTGCATCCCTGTTCCCTCGCTTGAGTGCCGCTTCAAGGAAAGAAGCGCGGTAATGGTGTGAAACCAGGAAAAACGTACTCAAGGCCATCATGGCGGTCTTCAGGACATCGAAGTCGACAGTACCACGACCCTCCTTGTCCATGAGGGCGAACACGCCCTGGTACTCAGCAATCTGCTCCTGGCTCAAGAATTCCTACAAGAAGAAGATTGGGGTGGGGCATGAAGGTGAGTGTCCGCTCGAGGGGATTATAGAATGAACTTGCCAGCAAGAGTTCTCGCGCCGCGGACCATGTGTTGTAGAGCGATTCAGAAGTAGGGGGGATGGTTTCGATGGTGTTGAGCCAAACGTCCTTCGTCGATCCTTGTTGTTGGGCAAAGGGACGAGCTGGGTCTCTTTTTTAGGCATCAACACAACTGAATGATGAGTGGACGTTTGATTCCGAACTGGACAAATAATTACACAAAATTCACAAGGAGAAGATGAAGGTGGCTACTGAGGTGAGGAGTCCCCTGGTCATCAGGTGACGAGGGACACCTGGGTGCCGTCGTGGTAGAGGGTGGCCGTGAAGTAGAGCGGCGGCTTGTGCTTCTCGCTCACGTGATCCCACGAATGGACCAGAACCTGCATGTGGCGCACACATTAGCCAGAGACGACTTGTGTGTAGCACACCACGAGCCGCTGGAAGTCGCACTACATTACACCAGAGTGGTGGGGGGGGGGCACGTACATCATTGAGGAAGACGTGAACGGTGAGGTCCAGCCCCGGGTAGAAGTACTCCAACCAGAAGCCCACGCGGTCGCCCTGGCCGTAGGTGGTGAAGTCCTCGTACTGCGTCGTAGCCCGCATCTTCCCGTTGGACGTGTACCCGTAGTTGAAGCTCTCCTTATCGAACCCGACGAACTTGATCTCCAACTGTACAGTATCGGGAGCGAATGAGAGGCCCGTCGCACGACACGCACGAGACGGGGGATATGGGGGAGGGGGAGGTGGGGGGGGGACGTACACTCCACTCGCTGTCAGCGATGCCGAAGCCGATGTTCCAGGGCGGGGGCTTCTTGTCGACCGCCGCCTCAAAGTACCAGAACGGCTCAGCCCCGGCCTTGCATTTGTTGGAGTGCACGTGTGAGGGCCAGGGCGCCCTAAGTCGTGTGTCGTGTCATGCAAGAGGTGGGGCGATTACCTTGATGGGACGGGAGGTCTGCACCGAGACGTTGGTGGCGGTGGGGCCCTTGACCTTGGCCGTACGGCCTTCGTTGGTCACCTTGACCCCGCTTGGCTTTCGGTCCCTCGACCACTGCGCAAGGAGATCGACGACGACGACGACGATGAGCCATAAAGGCGTGTTTGTGTGGCCACGCGCGCTGTCGTGGATGAAGATTGATAGCTCGAGTGGTGACGTACGCGGTGCGGGTAGGCGATGCAGCGATAGAGGGTGCGCCAGGAGGCCTTCTTTTCTTCAGACACTCGCACCAGCTGATCCCTCAGGAAGGGCTTGGCGTTCAGGCACTTTTCGCGCCACAGGCTGCGAGGCCACAACGAGGGAGGAAAGCGTTAACGAGGGCGCATGAGCGGGAAGGGCACAGGAAGAGAAGTAACAACGCGTGACGCGGTACCTGTTGTCCTCGGAGATGCGCTTCCAGGATTGCGACACGAGGGCGACAGCGCAGAGAGTGCGCACCTCGAGGAACGAAAAGATGCGCACCACGATCTCCTCCCCAAAGAACTCTGCCGGATCCCGGCCAATTCCTGAACAAGATGACGAGTTGGTACAACACGCACACGCACACGCACCACACACGCACACGCGGAATGAATACCGTAGGGAGAATCGCGCATCAGAGTGTAGACAAGGGCGGCGCCGGTGAGCGGACTGACCACGAGCAACCGCCAGCCCTCGCGAAGGACGAGCGGCAGCTTGGTTCGTCGCACGCGCCTGCCGCGGTGGTCGACCACGCCGACCTCGATCCCTTCGCTCTCAAATACCTCTTCCAGGTACTCACCGGGCGCCCACGGCCACACCTCGTCGTCGATGATGATGTCGCCGCCGGCAGCACCGGGCATGCCCACCGCGACTTGGCCCGTCGGGAGCAGCTCGTCGTTGAGCGCGAGAAGCCCATCGGCGCGCGGGTCGTTGAATCGGAACAGCGCGACGCGGGGCAGGGCCGAGGCGAGGGTGGCCGCAAGCACCTGGCTGCAGGTGAGCGAGTGCTGGGCTCGAGGGGAAGCGGGGAAGGAAAGAGAAGGCGACTGAACGAAAGACGCAGACGAGGTCGCCGTGGGCTGGTCGCTGTCGTCGCCATCATCGCGCGTCGGTGGGGTGGGGTGGTGGATGGTGTCCTTTGGCAGCGATCGCTGGGCTGGCGATGCTACGCGCAGCGCCTGAAAGTGGCGTCGAAAGGGCGAGGGCGGCAGGGGGAGAGCGGCGGAGGTGGCGAGGTGGGCGTAGGGTTGTGGGAGGCCACCGGTGCTCCCAAGATCCTGAAACTCTGCGGCTCTGAAGGGGATCTGGTCGACATCTGCTACGCTTCCATCTCGCTCCTCTGGGTTGTTGGGCGGATTTCCCATTGGCATCACCGCGTAGTGCCTCATCGGGCTCGCCATGGGCCTGCAGTAGCTGGGATGCAGCGGGCTAGCGGGCAAGTAGTGGCAGCCGTGTTGTGGAGAAGCCCCCACGAACGAGGGGGGGATGGGGTGCTGATGATGAATCGCCGGGTAATGGCGGGGCGGCGTTGCGAGGGCCGTGTAGAGAGAAGAACCAGAGGACCCTTTAGAGGCTGCACCGGCAGCCTCTATGCTTGGGACGGGCTCTCCATTCATTCCTAAATTTAAAGTAATAGCCAATGCGATCTCGGAATTGAGCCAAACCTGTAAGTAGTTTAATGCTCTAATTGGAGGCACCTTCGAAGAGGAAGTTTGAACGGTTTGAACGGGATCGATCTTGTTCGTGGGGCAATTCTTTGCAGATTTCTTGTATTTTATTTTATTTTTCTCTTCCTGTTCGTTGTTGCTGCTTCGTCACCTTCTCCAATTGGCGCCGGGCTGCTTGTAAACACTCCAGCCATCGTCCTGGTCCATTGGTGTGGCGGCGTCGGCTGTGGTGTTGGCCTGGGGCTGGAGGGCGAAGAACGGGTGTTCCGGCGGAAGCAGCCGCTCTGCCCTGATGACCTCTGCGAGGTTTTCCTGCACCGTCGCAACTTCCAGCGGCAGCCACTGGGCGCGACCATCATACTTGTTGATCTCGCGCCACAGCTCGAGCGTTTCAGTGGACCCTTCACCATCGCCCAGCAGCGCGTCAAGGGCAGCGCCCACCTTGTCTCGCAGCTCGCGGTCGGGCGCGCTGTCTCCGCTCGGCGCTCGCTCGGCCTGGAAAAGCCAGGCCACCAGGGCGCGCACCATCTTGACCCGGTCGGCGGCCGAAGTGACGATGTCGGCGTGTCGGCGCACCAGGGCGGCCATCATGTTGGCCATACCCTGGGTGCAGGCGGCCAGGTCGTCGTGGGGCGTCCAGTTGACCTGAACGCGCACGTGGGGCAGCAGCTGGAGGAGGTCGGCCCCGAGGTGGTCGGCGTAGTGCAGGCCCACGAGCTGCAGCTGGCCGTAGGCAAAGTCCCAGACGAAGCGGCCGAAGTGCTGCGCCAGGGTGGTCGACAGGTCCTTGAGCCATGGGCGGAGTTGAGTGGGATAGTGTGTCGCCAGAAGGCCTATAATTGCGCGGGCGTGTGCGTGTGTGCGCGTGTGCGGGTATGTGTGCGCAATTAATACTGAGAGAAGGTGAGGAGTGGGTTGGAAGTACCTATGCAGGCGAACAGAGGTGCGGACTGAAAGATATTGGGATCCACACTGAAGCCAGTGCACTGGTACTGTGCCAGGGCCGCGATGTGACCCGGAATTAGTCGATCCAGGCAAGCCTCCACCACGCCGGGAAGGCACGCGGCGAGTTGCTTGAGTAGCGGCGACCGAGTGTTCACCTCGGGGTTCGCCTGTACCGCCATGCGAGAAAGGAATTGGAACTACGCCTCACGGGATACAGGGATACGAAGAGAAGGCATACCGAGATGACTGTGCGCAAGCTTGCTTCAATGGTGTCGTCGGTAGAAAGCAAGCGAGTTGGATCTTGCTTACACAACTCGAGCATCAGGCTCAGCAGACCTGGCACGAGCTGAGCCGTGTCGTGTGTGTGTCGTGTGTCGTGTGTCGTGTGTCGTGTGTCGTGTGTCGTGTGTCGTGTGTCGTGTAAGAACCTGCACAGCCAACGGTGAACCATGCGTGTTGCTCACGTATACCTGACTCTCGGGATCAGAGACGGCGAGGCGATTAACAACTGTCACACAGGCCCTCACCCCCTGCTCCGACCTGCCACCTGCAGAATTTCCATAATATTAGGACCCAAGGCCGAATTGGGTGATCGCAGGAGTGGCGTACCGGAAGGTGGTACCAGCGAGTGGAGGCTCTTCACGAGAACACACAGCTCGCCTTCGTGGATGACGTCATCCGGGGGCGCTACGAGTGCCTCCAGCAGCTGACCAAGTACCCAGTCAAGGAGCTCGAGGTGGTTCGGTTCCACTTGCGCCTGAGCGCATCGCGCCTGGCCCCAGATTCGCACTGGAACAAGGGCGATCGTGAACGCATGCCTGGTCTGCGGATTGATGTGTGTGAGCCGTCAGGTGTTCTGATGCGCTGCGATCGATGTAATTAAGTCGGACGGAGCTGAGAATTGCGGCCTACGTACTGGAGGACGGCGGATCAAGAGGACCAGCGCGCGAATGGCTGCGGCCTCGAGCTCTGGACCGAGGCACGCGAGATCGCCGGCTGCGATCAGCAGGTCATTCACGGCCCGGCACGTTTGCTCGGACGGGCTGCTGGACGGCGCCAAGAGCGACAGCAGCTTTGACACGAGGTCCGGGCGTTGCAGTACCAGCTCTTGGTGACTCTTGAGCGCCACGCAGCTCGCCACTTTCACGTCAGGCTGTGGTGTATGCTCACACAGAGTGGTGGTGTTCGGTCAGTTGCCTGGGAACGCAGGCGTGTGTTGATAAAAAAGGATTTTTATGTCAAAACGCACCTGTGGATCGGACAAGCAGCGCTCAATGAATTCGAGGTGAAACGTGGTGACCTTTTCGTCGAGCGTCTGGTACAAGTCGCCGCATTGCAACTTCAAGCAGCCGAGAAGCAAGAGGCCACCCTCCCTGGTTTAACACCAAAATAATTAAGCAACTCATACGGCATGGGAGCTGAATGGTGCGCACCTCAGTTGCCAGGGGCGTTCGGGGTCCAGCCAAGATGAAACGAGCCCCAAAACGAGTGGCCACATCTCCTCCTTCAGTAGCTTGACCAGGTGTTGCAGGCATTCCACGCTCCAGTTAAAGACAGCCTTTCGCGAATCCGTCGCGTGGCGAGCTAAGAAAAACACAACATCAGCCAATCGGCAAAGGAAGGGTGAAGAGGGGGGGGGTGTAATTGCCTCTTGCTGCACTGTCATCGATGCGCTGTTGGAGTTCGCTTGGCAGAGCTCGGATTGTAGGAACGTTGGTGGACTCCGCAGAAGTGTGAAGATGCGCCACTACGGCGTCCACTGACAGATCTAACAGTGTCGGAACCGTGGCCTCCCAACGGGCGTGCTTGGCTACAGCTGCAACCAGCCTGCCGACCACCAGCCAGGAGACAGTTTGTCAGCATCAAGACCTGCGAGGCCCTTTAGCATGAGAATGACGATGTGGGATCGATACCCTGCCGAGTTGATCAAAGAGGCCGATTCGGCCCTCTGTTCTTCATCGGAGGCCAAACGGTTCAGGAAGCTGGCCAGCAGTACAAGGAGCGACATAAGCGCCTCTTGATCTGTTTCCTGTGGAATGACACCAGGCGGCCAAAGAAATTAGCAATATAACACCACGCGATCTAATCGGCGTCAGGGCCAAACCACCTGGTCCAGCCGGACAACCATAGATGGCAGCGCCGAACTGAGCTCGATGGCGGCCTCATGGATGTAAGCCACGAAGAGGCGACGACACGCCACCGCGCGAACTTGCGCGTCAGAATCGTCGATGCACATCCACCAGATCTGTGTGGAGAAGGACTTTGTGAGAAGGCCCCACGACTGAAGAGTAGCGGTTACCTTGCTGTAGCTATCGTAGCGGTACGCCTCCAAGAAGGCTTCGTTGGATGGCTGTATGAGTTTGAGAGTCGCGAGTCGCACTTGGCGCTCCGCGTGGCCAAACAGGTGCAGCAGGCAGGGGTCGTCTGCTCGGTCCCACAGCTGAGCGGAGGACGAACGCAAGACCTCATTAAATGACGACGACGATGGTGGTGATGAACGACGGTGTAGAATTGAATGGTTGCGTACACGACTCGTGGCCGTGGCGCGTACCAGTTGGAAGTCGGAAAGGAACGCCCACACGCCATTTTCCAGTAGACTGGCCACCACGCCCAGTAACGCCAGCCCCTCTGTTTGCCATTCGTTAGGCAAGATGAGAGGAGATCAACGTCGCCAGCCTCCCTCATACTCGATCATTATGGATGTCCCCCCCCCCAAAAAAACCCAATGTGTAGAGGAAGTGCGTGCCCAGGACGACAGCAGTACTGGCGTTCTGAAGCACTCTCTGCTTGAACTGAGTCAAGAGGCTCGTAGCCAAGGGCGTGCAGGATTCCCAAAGCCCTGCAGGCCAAAGTCATTCCAATACACTCATGGTGCCCACAGCAGCAAAGCAAGAGATGCGCACTTTGGCTCGGTGTGAAGAAGTCATGGATCATGGTCAAGCAGCGCAGCAACAGCACTGCCACACCTTCAGCGTGGGCGACTTCCACGTCATCGCCCGTCGCAGTCCACAGGCGTTGCCACAGGCTGGCCGAGTGCTGCGCGTAGAGGTTCGACGCTTTCTCCGAGCTGCCGCTCGCCTCTCGCCACCGCTCCAGCACCTGCGAGCCGATTGCTGCGAAGAGCTCCGCCTTCTCCCCTTGGTAGCCATCGATGGTGGTACTGGGAGTGTTCTTGTTGTGTCAGCTTCTCAACCCACCCCATCAACAAACGTAGAAGACAAAAAGTACGACGAAGGCGGTCCATCAAGGAATGCGAGGCACGCATGAGGCGAGGCGTCGAAGAAGAGCCAGTCGAGGAGCGTGGCGAGAGGCCCCTCGGTCGGGGCGAGGCGATCCAGTATGCACTGCACCAGGAGCTCTCCCTCTGTAGTCGAGGCCTCCAGCCCACTGTCATGCCGGCGCCTCCGCCACACCTCCAGGGCACAGCGCTCCACGTCGGCCGCCCCCGCAGGGGCCTTCAGCTTCTGCAGCATAGCCTGAGCCATAAGCGCGTGTGTTGCTGTCCGTCTCTTTGGTGGCCCAAAAACCTCGACTTCGAGTAAAAGAAATATGGTTTGCTTTTAACATAAATATTCTAGTAAGTGCGCGATTGGTGTGTTTTCCTCCGACAGCCTGAATGCCTCCGGAGACTAATCGCTGTTGTCGCCGCTCTCGCCACCGCTGCCGTCTTCCTCGACGCCGCTGAGGGCAGACTGCGCAGCCCGCGCCTGTGACACACATCGGCCGCACACGCACACAACACGCGTGAGTGTGTGCACAACCAGCAAGATAGAAGAAGGGCAGAAGTGGCGACGTGAGCGCACACAAACCTTTTCCTGGACGAGGATGGATTGGGCGAGATCGCTTGGCAGACAGGCGAGGATGGCCTCCGAGCAGGCCTCCACCCGCTCCGCGTCCATCGAGCCCTCTTCTGCCTTCTTCATCTGCATTCCGCCGGCGTTTAGCTTCGACTCATCACACCACACACGAGACACACACGACGCACACGACACGCACACGAGACAGTGCAAGGAGGTGTACATTGGCCTGGAAGAGGAGGTAGAAGTCGACAATCTCGATTTCAGCCTTTCGTCGCAGGATGGGTGGCACCTTGGAGCTCAGGAACGCCCGCAGGTACCATCTGGAAGGAGAAAGCATAGAGTGATGATCATCAGCGACGTGTGCGTCGTGTGTTCGGTGCAGTGTGCGGCGCACCGCTGGAGCTGAGTCGTGGCTTCGCTTTCGCGGCGCTGGAGCCAGCCGTAGTAGTTCTGGGATCGCAGGAATCGCTTGTAGAGCAGCTGATCACCCGACGCGCTGCCCGTCAAATACGCTCCGTCGTCTGCTCGCCCACCACGTCGGTTAAATGAAACGATAAATTCCCACGACGCACGCGACCCACGCGACACGCACGACACACGCGACACGACACGCACGACACGCACGACACATACACCACGTAACGGTCGGACGCACCTCGGCAGAGTGACTTGAGGAAGTTGTCTTCGCTGAAGGCGGCGATGCGCGGGGCGGGCTTGAAGGGCGACACGGTGCTGGCGGCCGGGACCAGCGAGGCAAAGTACTGCTCGAGCGGCCGCAGGAACACCTCCGTCAGCCGGTGAAAGTGCCGCCGGATGAGCTCGTTGTAGTAGGCCCCGGGCCGGTCGGGCACCAGGAGCTGCTTGAGCACCCGCTTGTTGACCACCACAAGCGGCTTCATTTTCGAGTCCACATTCTGTTTGTTATAATGAAAGGAAAATTCAAAATGCGTCGCACACGCACACGCACACGCGCACCGCGCAACCGGGGGGGGGGGGGGGAGCGTACGGTGGTGCTGTTTCGCTGGGGCTTTGTGTGGATGTGTGCGGCGGGCGAGCCCGGCAGGTGGGCAGAGCTGATGGAGCGCGAGCGGCCCACGCGGCCGGGCGAGGCCGGCGAGCGGCCGTCGGGCGACAGGCCTGCGCCGGCCTTAATGGGCAGCCGGCCGATGCTCATCTTCTCGCGCAGCACGTCGAACACGCCCCTCGTTCCGCCGAAGCTGAAGCTCGTGTTGCCTTTGGTGGTGCTGCTGCTGCTTCTGCCACTGCGGCTCGCGGCGGACGAGGTGGTGGCGTTGGTGTTGATGATGGGGATCGGGACCGAGCCCTTCCGTGGGCTGTGGTCATCGACATCGTCGTCATCATCGTCGCCACTACCATCGTCATCTCCGCTGTCGCCGCTGCTGCTGTCGTCGTCGTCGTCGTGGAGATGCGAATCGCTGAGGGTCGAGTCGCTGTAGCTGCGGCTGCTCCCATCGACGCTGCTCGAGCGCCAGGGCTTGGACGCGGGTGGACCGCTATTGCCGAGAGCGACGGCGGTAGCGGTGGAGCGCGTCGTCGGCTTGTTATTCTTGTGCGCAGTTGCGGTGGTGGTCGACGTGGAGGCCTGTGCCCTGGGGTCGCCTGCCTGCTTGCGCACGAGCACGCGCGGGGCCGACTTGCCGATGTGGAGCGTGTGGGGCCAGTGGGCCAGCACGTGGCTGAAGTGCGGGTTGGTCACTCCGATGATGGCACCGGGCAAGCACTGCGCGCGTTCATGAAACAAAAGCAAATGGTGAGTGCGCATATACAGCCTCACCGCACGTGTCGCACCGCACACGATACACGACACACGTACCTCGGGGTGGGCCTTGGCGTATTCGTTGTAGTCGCGGTCGTGAATCGTGAAGTACGGCCGGAAATCGCCGCAGTAGGACAACTGCCCAGAAACAACGCAGAAGCGTCCAGTCAACTTGGTGTCGTGTGCGTGTGCGTGTGCGCGCGTAAAGGAGAAGCGCATGGTACGGGTGAGATGAGTTGAGTCAGGGAAACGACAGCGTCGGAGGTCAGAGATGGGTCGGACGCCTCGACAACGAGCGGCTCGTTCAACAGCACCTGTGGTCAATGATTATGTGTGTCGTGTGAAAACGCGAGCCAACATGGCCACACACGAATCGCGACACGCGTGAACACAAAGAGCGCGCCGGGCGTAATAACGTACCAGTTCCCAGAGATGCCAGAGGTGGCTCAGCGCACTGCCGAGGCCCTTGAACAGCTCGGCGCCCTCGTGCGAGTAGCCCTTCAACTGCGCCCCGCCCGCAGGTTAGCCAAGACCAAGAGTGCTCGGAGAGACCACGCGCAGGGGGGCGACACGCACCGCTTCGGGAACCGTGGTGGTGGTGGCGGGCGCCGACGCCGACGGCGAAGGCCGAGGCGGCGAGGCCGACGTCGGCGGACTGCCGACCAGCAATTGTGTCGACGCTGAGGCGGGCGATGAAGAAGACGGGCAGGGTGCGGAGGTCGGCGGCGCGAAGAGCGGTGAGGCGGAGCGCGGACTGGCGGGCAGCTGCACGCGTAGGACCCAACCCAGTAGCGGCAGCTCGTAGCTCTTGCCCGGCTCCGGCTCGGGCCTACCCAAGGTATGCATGGTATGTGAGCTGACGTCAGCAGATTGAAACCAGGCCGGAGTTGGCAAGGTCACGCGCGGCGTACCACGAGCGGATGTCGTCGACGGCGGTAGCGAGAACCGACGGGCCGCGCTTAAAGTAGAGGTGGCCCACCAGCTTGATGAGCCGCTTGAAGAAGTGGGCGTGCAGCAGTGGAGAGAGCACCACAATTGATTTCTGAGTGGGTGGCCAGTGTCCGCGTACGATGCGTGAGCGTGACAGGACGCACGCACGGGACACACGCACGACACACACACACACACACACACACACACACACACACACACACACACACACACACACACACACACACGAAATCGGAGAGGGGCAGGACCGCACCTGGAGGTAGCCTCGAGACGATGTCTCGTCCTTTTGCTGTCGAAAGTAGGCGTAGCCTGCACCCAAAGGGTACAACCGAGATCAGTCATAGGCCAGGTGGGATTGCCGATGACCATGTAGCACGTGCGTAGTATGAGCGAGTGTTGCGTGGACGTGTGTCGTGTTGTGTCATGTTGTGTGTGTGTGTGTGGTGTCGTACAAGAGAGGAGCTCAAGCTGCGGCGAGGGAGAGTACCGTGATGAAACTGGTTGAGGCGTCGGTCGCCCTTGCGTGTGCGGAAGGTGAACAGGGAGTCCGAGCTGGTGTTGACGTTGCAGTCCGGGAACGAAAGGAAGGCTCTGCACCGGAGAAAGGTAAAATGGAAATATTAATTAAAGGAATTAAAAAAACAATAAACTTATAAATACGTACATGTTCTTCTGCTCTTCTGGTGGCAAAGACACCTCTGGTTGACATTCCTCGAGAGCTGCAGAAGATAAATAAATGATAAATAAATAAATCGCTCCATCATCACAAGTGATCCATCAATAACGGGGGGGGGGAGTAACTGTGTCCGTATTCCAGATCAAACTTGACGACACAGAAGCACGTAATCCACGGGCTGGCCACTATTATGGATGCCTCCTCCATCTTTCGTAGCAGCTGCAGCGTTGGGGTCCCACTGCCTCTTGGGCTGTGTGTTGTGTTTTATGTCCCTTATCTCCGTGCAAGCGACTCAACCGCCTTGCAGGTCAACCAACGCGTGCCACACTCAGGAAGCGGATGCCCGGGTAGTGTGGGATGGGGGAGCAACTGGAAGGCGCTCTCTCCCTCGTATCAACACAAGTCGGTGCTTGCTCAAGACTCTCTGGAAGGAGTTATGAACTGTGTTCCTGTCCTGCGAACGCTACGCCAATGCTATGGCAACAATGCTGAAATTCCTGGCGATCTCCAAGGTGCTCTTGACTGGAGCATGTACCAGGTCTGGGGCTACTGATCGCAGCCAGATCATGACCACCAGCTGCGGTTCATCTGCACAGGCGCTGTCAGGTCTGCACAAGCCACTGAACTTTCACCTTCTTGTTGCAGATGATCTTCTGCCAACACCGTTTAGCCTTGGTGATTGAAGTGGCCACCACTTCAAACAACGAGCACGGTGGGATCAGAGAGCAAGGCGCGTACAAGAACGAAGAGATCTGTTGATGTTGTTGGGGTTGGGGTTTGGCCCATCGTAGTGTGGTACTTACATGTAATAAATAATCATAGTCTCCTCGATGACGGCGATCATCTTCTGCTGGAGGCTGGAGGTGACGGTGGGCGGCGGCTCGATGTTGCGCAGGGTGGTGTGGAGATGGGTGAGCAACTGGAAGCCGTGCCGCTGGTGCGTGTGGAGGAACTTGTGGATGCTGCGCTGGAACTCGTCGCCGTCGTTCGTCCACGCAGCGAACTCGTGGTAGAGCTCCTCGACGAAGATGGCCTCGAGCCGCTGCTTGTCCTCGTCCGACGGTCGATTGCCCTTGGCCAGCTCGAGACAGTAGCGGAAGAGGCCGCGGCGCACCGACCCGGGGTCCCAGGTTCGGAGCTGCTTCGTGTGGAGGTGGATGCACGCCTCTTTGAAGTCGCCGTAGTTGCACTCCACCTCCACCTCGGTTCGACTCGCCTTCGTCGTCGAGGTCGACGTTGACATCGACGTCCCGCTGCCGCCACTCTTCGTGAGGCCGCTCTTCCTCTTCGGCGAAGATGTGTGCTCGCCGCTACTCGCCGCCATATCGATCCATCCCGCATCGACAGAGTAGCCTCCGTTCTCGCCTCCTGCCTCATCCGGATCGGGAGTGACATCGTCATCGCCGGCGGTGGTGTCCTTGAGCATGGGATCGAGGATGATTTCGAAGGAATCGATCGAGAAGACGAAGTTACGTCGATTTCGCTCGACGACTCGAATGTCGATGCCGAGCGAATCGCTGCCACACCGGAAGAGGGACCATGCTTCGTGCTTCTCACCTATCCGGAAGCTCTCGCGAAAGAAGAGCTGGTAGATCTCGAAGAGCGAAAGGCGAATGCCCAGCTGCTCTTCGACGAGCTCAGAGAGCACTTCCTCCTCGCAGAGCAGCACATCGGCGAAATTGTGGCTACCGCGCCGATCGTCGTCGAGGTAGAAGGTGAGATCGAGATCGTTCAGCTGGCTCTCGTTGCCGAGCGAGAGGACGCACGAGGCACCGCCGCCGGTCAATCGAATGCCCTCTGGCCGCACGATGAGCTGGAACAACCGAAACTTCTCTTCTAGCTTTGTGAGGAGGGTCTTGATAGAGCAGCTGATCTTGATTTCGCGGTCGTATCGATGCGACGCGCCCGGCTTGGAGGTGATCTCTCGTGGCCGTTCCAGCAATTCCTTCAGATTTCGCCATGCGCCCGCCCCCAGCTTCCCTCGATGACGATTCTTGTGGGATCGAGGGCTCTTGATGCCCTTGTGGAGAAGGTCATGCTTGGGGTCAGTGCCGAAGTTGAAGAGGCTGCTGCTGCTGTGCCGGCGAGGTGGAAATGACTGCGGGAGCGAGGCGATGTTGCCGTAACGTGTTGTAGAGGATGAAGGATGTGTTGTAGAGGAAGAATGAAGAACTGACAGAGGAGGGGAAGAGGAGAACGGCGATGTGTGGGTGGAGTAGGAGTAGGGTCGCTGGTAGGGCGAAGTAGTGGTGCTCACCACACCCGACGCCGATATGGAGATGGAGAGGGATGAAGCAGAAGAAGAGCGCGTGAAGGGGGTGCCGCACGAAGGAGCAGGAGAAGAAGATGGAGACGATGCTATCGAGCCCAGCATCTAGACGAGCACCGGGCGGGGGTGATTGTGATTTTCTCGGCGGCACCAGAGGGGATCCGTTCAATCGGCGCCACTTTCGAACGACCAACAGCCCCCCCTTGCTCCTCTTCTTCGGTGGTGGTGGTGAGGTGGTCGACCTTTGAACTCAGTGCCTTCCTTCGCGCCTGCCCGAGCGATAGTCACACCCCTTTTCTTGTGGCGCCCCAAATTACCACCGCAGGTGCGCTGGTCTGCAGCGCCATAGAAGGTAACATGTCCCCGAAAAGTTCAACATCGGAGCTGGCTCTCGTGACGACGATTAGCCCCTGAACATAAACCTAGTTGGTTGCTCCTTTCGTGGAGATATGTACATACGCGAACGAGGCAGATCACTGCAGCTGCTCTGCTCTTCACTGGCTCGATGCCACCAGCCAGGGGAAGGCCCCAGCGTTGGGTGCTGCCGGCGCTGATGAAGGCGCCTGCGCTGGGCGGAAAGGGAACGCATGCTGCAGCTGCTGCGCGCTCGCACGGGGCAAGTTGGTGCTCACACTCATGGCCGACAGGGCCGACGTGATGTGCTGTGTCGCGTAGCTGTTGAGCTTCGCAGAAGGCTTGGCGGCGGTGAGTGCGGCCGCTGAGTTCCGGGTCCTCCTCACGCCCTTGACCTTGCGCCTGGCCATCATGTCGTGGATCTTGCCCACATCCCTGTGGCTGTCGCTGACCATCTTCGGCACCGCCGCGGCGTGGGGGGCGCTGATCGGCGGGTGCATGATCACGCGGTCCTCTTCCCCGCGCCTGTCGTTGAGCCGCAGAATGTTGCGTTGCATACTAGCGCCGCTGCTCACTCTGCCCTGCACCACGGGGAGCGAGGCGGCCGCTTCGAGCTTGATGGGTTCCGAGGGAGGTTCGATGGGTGGTGCTGGGGCCGCCGACGAAGGGAAAGAGAGTGAGGATGCTGTAGAAGAAGACGATGAAGAAGTCGCTGGTGAAGATGAAGAAGAGGGTAGCGCGAAGAGGTGAGGGGGGAGGAAGGGATGCATGACGCTGTTCGCTGGTAGGATGGGGCTTTCGCCTCCTACAGGGCTCTCCTGGCCCAACCCGTCGGGGCTGAGGGGGAGTAGCGGCGCTGCTCCAACAGTCGTCGTTGGCCACCAAGCGTCGAATCGCCTCTGCTTCCTCCTACTGGAGTGAGTGGTGACGCCCTCCTCCTCTTCTTCTGCGAGCCCCAGTACACTGAGGTCGACGCTGTCGAGGTCGAGGTCGAGGTCGAAGTGTCGCTCGAGTTCGGCCAGGAAGTCGAGCGGCTCGGCAGCTGTCGCACCTGCACCATTCGTCGGTGTACTGGGCGGCTGGTCTTGTGAGAGTGGTGGTTGCGCCTGGCTTGCGCCCAGGAACAAGTAGGCGAGGTAGTCATCGTCCAGGTGAGTAAATGATTCGTTCTCGCTCGGTTGGTCCATCTTCTTCTTTACTCACTCAAGCTGTTCCTTCATGAGCGAAGTGCGAATTCTCGTTCTTTGGGGTGATGAATGGCGCACGCATCAATCGACCCACCACCATCACCACCGGCCGAGCTTCCTCATTGTGGCTTCGTCTTCGCACTTCCGCCTGACCAGGCTCGATGCACTCAACACGCGGTGATGCTGCTGCGTAGTTTGGGTCTCTGATCAGGCCGTCCGCTCACTCATCGGCGATGTCGAGGTGCCGTCGTAGCTTCTCGTGCACCTGCTCGGGCGTCATGGCAGTGACCAGCAGCACCTTGTCCCGCGACTTTGAGCCGCTCACCAGCTCCACCTGTTTCTTCCTCGCCTCCAACACCTTCACCAGCCGAGCCGGACCACAGGTCAGCGCTGCTGAGGCCAGTTGTGTAAAGTACGAATGGGTGGCTGGTACCCCTGCCATGAAGTCCACCAGCTCTGCGTTGGCTTCGCCGTCTCTCGGAGGAGCTGCCAGCGCCACTCCAATGGCCTCGCTGGACATGTCTAGCAACAACATGTTGTTGTGGTTTGCTCTAAGTACCGCACAGGGCCACGTCTAGTAGCTGCGAGTACCTGTGACGGCTGATATCTTGGCGTTGGGCTTGACGTGTACGGTGAGCTTCACGTTGCCCTCCTTTGTTGTTCCAATGCACTGCGGCAGGCCCGACGCTGTGCCACCCACGCCCGGTCCTGCCATCTTGGGGAGGTCAGCATTTTATATCTATTTTCCTGCCTTGATGCCTCGGAGGTGATAGCTGTGCACACCTGCGGGGTTGTCGCTGTGGCCGCTTTCTTCTTGGATGATCGTGACATTGCAAGTCCAGCCCTACGCATCGAGAGCCTGTTTTGCAGATTAAGCTCTGCGCAGAGAAAAAGCGAATAAATCAAAAATAATTCGAAGAACTTCACCGCAGCGCCAAGAGATGGACGGGGAGGGCTATGCGCTCGCCGAACCGCAGCACACGGAGCTGGCGTTGCCGGCGGAGGTCTGGTACGAGGTGGCGATGTGGCTCGACCCCAAATCTCTGGCCTTCCTCTCCCTGGTCTCCCGATTCTTCGGCCTCGGGGTGTGCCGCCAGCCCAGCATCTGGCGACATCTCTTTCGCCGCGAGCTGGCCTCTCGCCAGCACCCCAGCGTAGTGGCGCACAAGAAGAGGGGCAAGGTCGGCAGCGGACCCGGCTCGCTGCGCTACTGGCAGAACGCGCTGCGGTGCCTCGTGGTGCCGTCCGTGGGCCGCGTGGACCACGCCTTCGTGGGGTGGCCCATCGGCGAAGGCCACTACGTGGTACGCGCTTGCGCCTCTTCCTGAAACGTTGCACCCTCTGACCTGATGTTGGCCGCGCACCGCGCACACGCACACGCACACGCACACGCACACGCAGGGCAAGGCGTTGCTGGTGGAGCTGCTGTCGGAAGCGGCCGTGCAGCAGCTGGCGGAGCACACCACCATCCAGAGTACGTTTGAGGCCACAACGTTGGAGCAATGCTGTGAAGCGACTTGGCTGACGGTGGCACACAGACCTGTTTGGGCTGGATCAGCTGTGGACCTGGAGCAAGGAGAAGAAGAACAAGACGACGGTCAAGAACAACAAGGAGCCTGAGGAAGAGGAGAAGACTGCAGAAGAGAAGCAACCAAAGGCGAAGAAGAGAAAGAAGAAAGACGCGCTGTCGCCGTCTGCGCAGCCTCGAGGCCGCCCCAAGCGCCGAAAAAGGGCAACGCTGGGTGGCGACCGGCAGCTGCCGCCTCTGCCCCCGCCACCGTACACGTTCCTGGTGGCCAGCGACCTGTCGTGCGCGCAGGCGGTCAAGCCCACCTACATGAGCCGCGAGTGGGCGGCCGACGAGCAGAAGAGCCTGTGGGACCCCTACGGCTACGTCATGCAGGACCGGCGGGAGCGCCGGCGCCGCCTGGGCGTGACCATGCGGCAGCGCGAGATCAAGGACCTCGAGGAGCTGCGCCACCTCGCCATCCCCTCCGTGCGCAAGGACGACCAACTCATCCGCTGCATCGGCACCGGAAACGAAACCGTACAGCCGCCTAGGCCGCCTTATTCGTGTGTCGTGTGTAGTGTGCGTGTCGTGCGGAGTGGTAAAACGTTGACAGTTTTCTTCAGGAGGCGATCGAGGCGCTGAAAAAGGACGCAGATCCCGACGCTATTTGCGGGTCCGGCACCTATACCTCGCTGTCGGCGCTGAGCATGGCCGTGCGGCTCCGGAAGCCGCGCCTCATTCGAGAGCTCATACTCAAGGGCGCCTCCCTTAGCGACCGAGGTACCCTTAAACTCTCTCTGTGTCGTATGATGTGTGGGCGTGTCGCGTGTGTCGCGTGTGTAGGGCTAGCGCACGCGGTTAACCGATGCATGTGAAGGTAAGGGCATACCGCCGCTATGCAAGGCGGCTGAGCTGGGTGATGTGGAGTCGATTCGCGCCATTTGCCAGGCCTTTGCCAGTCTCACCACCGATGCCGAGTCCTCGGGAACGTCGATGGCCAGAAGTGGATCCGGGCCCTGCAAGCGCGGAATCGCGCGGACGTGCTGAACGGGATCTACAGCGTCGACGAGCTGGTCGACATGCCCGAGCAGTTCTGCGGCTTCACGCCCCTCATGCTGGCCGCACGCGAGGGCCACATCCACGCCGTGCGCGTTCTCGTCGCCGAGATGGGCGCCGACCTCGATGAGGTCTCCTACGACGGCAAGGTACCCACTTTGGCCTCTCACCGACACGCGCTCAGTCCAATGGTGCACTCAGTCTCGGTCGGACCACACACACAGTGGAACGCGCTGTTGATTGCGGCGTGGCGAAAGCGCAACGACGTGGTTGACTACCTGCTTTCTGCGGGAGCCAACAGGTATTGGACCAACAGTCTAGGAAAGAACCTCGACACCATCACCCAAGAGCTCGAGCAGCAAGCCCAGCTCGGTAATTATTGGCCGCCCTCTGTGTGTGTGTGTGTGTGTGTGGCATGTGACAAGAATTCTTCTTTGCTGCAGCCAAGGAGAGAATGCGGCGGGCGGACGAGGAGAGGAAGGCCAATAAGGCCCTGCTGACCCGTGGCGCGGTGCTCGAGGCGGCCAGTCAGGACTGCCGACACTGTGGTGGCATCGCAGCGGTGCACATTCCCTCGCGCCTGCTCTTTGGCTACTGCCAGGTGTGCGGCAAGCTCGCCCAACGGCGGCCGTAGAATCGTGATGGTTGTCATGGCCATACGAGGCCTAATCATGTGTCCGCCGACGCTGACTCCCTGTGCTGGAACAACCAACAAGACTTGGCGCTCTCTGATCAGCAGATCGTCACCTACGACTTTGTGAGCCTGGGGCTGCTGTGCTCAACAGGTTCCTACACCAGCAACTACTCCATCCAGGCCTACCAAGGCAATTTTGATGTCAGAAGGGAGACCAGCTCTGCAACGCCAACGCCAACCCCAATTCCGATCGCTACTTTGAGAGCAAGGACCAGCACTATGACTTGGGCTTCCTCTACCAGAACCAGTGGGCCTACTCCAGCAACTACGCCTCCTTCTTCCCCAAGGTCAACGTCTGGTGTCACTGGATTCTGGGCTGCAAGATCCAGGTCTCACTGTGCATGACTGCCAACTTTGCAGGCTCGAACGATGCGGGGAGCCTGCTCCCTGCGTGAGTGACTGCCCAGTTGTTCGGTTGCCTGTTAGCCCAGAGAGGTTACAAAAAAAAATGCCCCTCTTCATTTGGACATCTTGGTCCCCCTTCTCCTGTTGTACCCTGCAGGGCCAAGCCTACGATCCACGGGCCAGCATGGGCGAGGCACCAGAATCGCCTCTAGTACCTCAGGAGGGGTGGCGAGGTAGTGGAGTCGTGAGTGAGGTCGAGTCGAACACAGCAAGCCGGACCCAAATGTAGAGCCGTCGGTGAGGACGTGGTACCGCTTCCACAAAGTAAGCCTTTATCAGCAGAGATCCCTCGGCGCGGTGGAATGTTACATCCGAACCCACGAGCCTTTTACTCTGTGGTTTTTCAGCGCACAGAGCTGTGCCTGATGGTTTGTCTCAGGCTTGTTTGGATTGTGTATAGATTGTAGAAGGTGGGATACTCTCCTTTTGTCATTTGTGTTTTACGTACCACTTTTTTGTTTCAAATCTGAATTTTTTCCAGTAACCCACAAAAATAAAATCGAAAATAAAAGTACCTTTTTTTGGTTGATTTTCATTGCACCGATGGATCTGTCGAAACTCTTGGCAGGCCTTTCGTGGGGTAACCCCCTGACAGGGGGAGGCATGGGTGGGATAGTATGCCTCCATGCCACCTGTGTATTGAGCCCTGCGCATGCTAATATGATTTGTTCACTACATTTGCCCAGATTTCCTCGCACGCCAATCCAGACGTGCCTCTGGCCTTTGAGCGTGCTTCCAGCACCTCAACTGATGCCCCACCTGACGAAGGTTCAGCGCCTCTCGTTATTCAATCTTCGTCTTCCTTTGATCACCGTCCTCAAGCCTGCGTGCAATCATGACCGTGCTTGTTGCGTTTCTCTCTGGCCCGGTGTGGACACTCGCAGCGTGGCAGAGCGAGTTGTCCATGGCTAGCTTTGGTGGCGTTAGCCCCAGCAGCGAGGCCAACATGTGGTCCAAGCTCGAAGAGGACAACGACAGCCTCCAGTACCGCCCCTCCTTGCTTCCTTTCACTTGACGACAAGCACACTAACCCACGCAACACGCAACACCCAACACGCAACACCCAACACGCAACGCAGGCCAGGAGCGATGGAGGCGATGATGAAGGCGTTTCAAGCCTGCGACTACGTTTCTTCCGACCCCGCGAAAGCGGTGCAAATGGCCGAGACTGCGCTGGAGATCACGCATGGCTGCCCCGAGGCCTTCAACGTGCTGGCCCAGTGCAAGGCCACCTCGCTCGACGAAGCCTTCGACTTATACACGTATTTTCTTTATTCCATCTCTACCTACTCATCTTTCTCTTTTGTGCGAGTTCTAATGAGAAGAAGGCGTTGTGTGTGTCGTGTCGTTGGTCGTGTCGTGTCGTGTCGTGTCGGTCGTGCGGGGTGTCGTGTGCCTGTGCGTCGTGTAGGAAAGCGGAGGAAGCGTCGAGGCAGATGCTGAAAGACCACGAGGCGCGGGTCAAGTTTCGCACGGGCAAGATGTGGGACGACCTGCACCTGCGGCCCTTGTTCCGGGCCATCCACGGACAGGCCAACACGCTGCGCAAGATGGGCCGCTACCGCGAGGCCCTCGCGAAGTATCTCCTGCTCGAGAAGTACGACAGCAACTGGTACACCACAAGGTACGGCTACAGCGTGCCGGTTCTGCCGATGACACATCGCACGCACCGCATAAGACCACACACGGCTCACCGCACCACCGCGCCACACAGAGCCACGTACGCCAACTACCGGTACCACATGCCGGCCGTGTACCTGGCCCTGGGCAACACCGAAGCCGCCTCGCGCTACCTCGCCAGGTGGGCCGAGCAGGGCTACTCCCTCAGCTCCACCAGTACGCACGCAGTCATGCAGTGACGGACCGCACACTGCACAGACCGCACTCGCTGATCAACCTGCGGTGTCGCTCTACAGGTCTGTGCTGGCATTTCACGCGCGCGCTGCTGGACTTCAAGATGTCGGCGAGGCCGCGGGCCTGCGAGATGGGCGAGTACATTCGATACGCGGGCGACGCGGGCAAGGCGTCGCTGATCAAGGCCGTCCAGAACGCGCCGGCGGTGCTGCCCTACCTGGCGGGCCGCAAGGCGATGCCCGGCGGCCGCCTGCCGCTGTCGCTCCTGTCCGCGGGCAGCCTGTGTGCGGCGGTGAGCTACGTGCGCGCCTACGGGGACCTCTGGCGGCAGACGCCCGGCGCCATCGAATGGGCGCAGAAGAACGCCAACACCTTCTTCGCCCTGCTGTTGTTCAGGTGACCACCGCCCCATGACATGCACGACACGCCATCGCTGGAGAAATTCACTGATGGAAAAACCAATTTGATGCTCGCAGGGAGAAGGACCTCGACCAGGCTCTCGGCGAGGGAAACAAAGTGCTGGGCCTGAAGCGCGACGTGGCATCGCTGCGGCGGCTGTGCTTCGAGAACGGGGGCATCTACCCCAACGAGCGTATCGACTTCAACGGCGCCACGCTCCTCATGGAGGCCCTGCACACCCCGCACATACCCCACAACCGCAAGGCGCCGTTCGTGCGCGTGCTGCTCGAGGCCGGCTGCGACCCGTCCCCGTGCGACACTGACGGGTACTTGCCCCTCCCCTTGCACTGTACAGTTGCCTATGTGTCGCTTACGTATGTCGTGTTTGTGTCGTGTTTGTGTCGTGTGTGCTGTGTGTGTCGTCGCTCAGTCTCAACGCGGTGCACAAGGCGTGCTATTACGAATTGGACACGGAGTGCCTCAAGGCGCTTCTCGAGACCGGCTTCGACGCCTGCGCCGACGACCCCAGCGCCCCCGTCCCTTCGCCCATGCTCATGACCCTCAACCAAGGTGTGCGTCTTGCATTCCTCAACCAACTTGTGCGTCTTGTGGTGTTGTGAGTGTCGTATGTCGATTGGTTAATATTTAGGCGGCGTGCAGGCAATTGGCGTTCGACTGAGATCATCCTGGCCAGCCTGCCCAAGGACTCGCCCTATCTGCGGCAGGAGCACCTGTTCCGCTGGTACGGCGAGCTGGGCCGGTCGGGCGTCTACTTCTGCCTGCGTGGAGGCACCAAGTGCAGCCGCTGCCGCCAGGACCCCATGCCGCACACCCGCGACCCAGACACCTTCGAGCGCGCCGTCGACGTGCTGCTCCGCTACGGGCTCAACCCCACCTTCGCCATCGACCGCGAGATGGCCAAGCACCCTTTGTACGCCCCCAACACGCACACGGCGCACACGGCACACAGAATTAATTATGGGTTGCAGGCATCGATATGCAAAGGCGCAAGCGACGAGGCACAAGGCCAGCAGAGGAAACAAAGCCGCGCCGGCGACTGGCAAGCCTGCCGCGACCATCAAGGCCACCGCTACGCCGGCGGGGAAGACGAAGGCGCGAACAGGAACTGCGACCGGTGCGGCGGCCGGTGCGGGCACCAACGACAAAAAGAAGCAGTCGTGCGCGCGGTGCGGCAAGACGGCCAACAAGGCGTGCGGTGGGTGCAAGCTCGTGTGGTACTGCTCGCGCGAGTGCCAGTCCGACCACTGGCAGCAGTCGCACAAGGCCGCCTGCTCCAAGGTCCACCTCAACCGCGCCCACTAAGCTCTGTCTGTTTGTACAGTCTTCCAATCGCATCAACTGTGTGAGTATGTTGACACTGTTTGGCATTATACTGAATGTTGAAGTATTTTTTATATATCAAGGCGCCCAATCACAACTACATGACGTGATGTCAATGCCAGTACTTGGTCATCACACTCCTGGCCTGCTGCCACCCGGCGTCCAGGGCCTGCACCACCTCCTCCGGCAGCGGCCCCTTATCGCAGTCGGCCAGATTCTGCTCCAGCTGCCGCGCGCTGCTGGCCCCGACAATCACCGCATCGCCGTGCTCCCTCCGCAGCAGCGAGTGGTGCGTCAACCACCGCAGGGCGCACTCGGCCTCGGTCAGGCCGTGCCGCTTGGCCACGGGCCGCAGCAGGTCGAGCGCGTCGAAGTAGGCCTCATTCCAGTAGCGCGCCCGTGTGAACCGGCCCTGCCACCGGTCGGGGTCGAACCGGGAGCCGGGCTCGAAGTCGTGGGTGTCGCGGTGGTAGCGGTCGGTCAGGAAGCCGCCGGCCAGGGGCTGGAAAGCGAAGAAGGCGAGGCCGTAGTGGCGAAGACAGGGGAAGAGCTCGGGCTCGACGGCGCGGTGGAGGGCGTTGTAGAGGCCCTGGTACACGCTGGGCTGGACCCAGTCGTTCTTGCGGCACAGTTCGCATATCTGGGCCACCTCCCAGGCCATGTAGTTGCTGATGCCGAAGCGTCGGAAGTGGCCCTCGCGGTAGAGGTTGTTGACCTCGCGCAGAGTCTCCTCGAACGGCACGCTACGGTCGGGCCCATGAAGGTACCATATGTCTATCATTGGCACCTTCTTGTCGGCGCCATCAGCGCTCGACGATGCCTTGAGTGCGGCCTTGCTGCGCATCAGCGCCGCACGCAGGTCGGCCGGGCGGTGGGTCCAGTCTTCTCCTCCCATGTTCTTGCCCGCGGTGGGGTAGATCTTGGTGTGGACCTCGAGGCCGCGCTGTTGCCACCCGATCTCGCCCAGGTACTCCTCGGACGACCCTGGCCGTAGAAGCGCGCAGTGTCGACGTCGGTGTGGCCGTGCGCCTGGAAGATGTCCAAGAGCGCAGCGGAGTCCTCCAGCGTGTGGACTCGGGTCCCTTCAACTCCTGCGATGTTGAACATCATTTGTTTTTATTTTAAAATAAAATGTTAACGCTATCCAAGATATCTGTCCGACTACACACGTGCCCTATGGGGCAGAAGAGGAACTTGTACCAGGCTTGCCGATAGTCATGGCGCCGAAGATGATGTTCACATTGCTTTTCTGTGGTGCGGTGGTCATGGTGTTGTTGGCTCGAGAGGTCAGGTAGAGTAAGTGTTGAAGTGAGATCGAACATGCCCGGTTTTGTTTCTACATGCAGGAACAACTTCACCCAGGCCCAGCCGCAGGAATGCGGACGAAGGGATTGGTTGCGCCCCTCGAGAGATCTGCCGACGCTGTGCGATTGGAGTAAATCTGGAAAGTTGCTGCCCCTTCTACGCCAATCGCACATATCTTCCCTCGGTGATTGGCGGATTCAAGTTCCCCCCAATCGCCGACGATGCACGATTGGACAAAAATATCAAATGTGAGCGAATGTTCTCGGCCTATCAGCACCACCGCCGTTTCGGCCGCGAGACTTTAAAAAAGCCTATGACCGCGACATTCATCCAAAAGTTTACAGCTCCACCCAGATCAACTCCCTCACATCATGAGCGCAGAGGGCAGTGACAACACCGAAGAACAGTTCAGGGCTTTTGCCGCGTACGAAGTTCAGGCGAGCTGAAGCCCTTCTCCTACACCCCGCGACCTCTGGGCGAGGAGGACGTCGAGGTCCGCATCACCCATTGCGCATCTGCAGCTCTGATCTTCACACCATCGACTCTGGCTGGGGCCAGTCCATGTACCCGGGTACTCACCACAGCCCTTTTATTGGACGACATTTTCTTTATATTTAACTATTGAAATATTAATTTATGATTATATGTCACGTGTGCGCTGTGACGTAGTGGTGCCGGGCCACGAGATCATTGGCGAGGTGGTGGCTGCTGGCGCCAAGGTGGCGGGCCTCAAGGTGGGAGACCGCGTTGGTGTGGGCGCCCAGGTCTACTCGTGCCAGCAGCACGAGTCGTGCCGCTACTGCCGCACGAAGCTCGACAACTGCTGCCCGCGCAGCGTGTACACCTACAACTACAAGTACGCCGACGGCGCCGTGGCCTACGGCGGCTACGCCGAGCGCGTGCGCGTGTCGCACCACTACGCCTTCCGCATACCCGACGCGCTGCCCTCTGACCAGGCAGCCCCGCTGCTCTGCGCCGGCGTCACCACCTTCGCGCCGCTCAAGCGCCTCGGCGTGAACGTCGGCACGCGCGTCGGCGTCGTCGGCATCGGCGGCCTGGGCCACCTGGCCCTTCAGTTTGCCGCGGCGCTCGGGGCCGAGGTGACCGCCATCTCGACGTCGTCCAACAAGGCCGACCAGGCCCGGCAGCTGGGGGCCACCAAGTTTCTGCTCTTCAACGACGACGCGGCCATCGCCGCTGCAGCCAACGCGTTCGACGTGGTGGTCGTCACGACCGACCAGAACGACAACGACTGGGCTCGCATGTTGTCTCTGATCGACGCGGGCGGCAAGCTCCTCCTGCTCGCGGCGCCGAACAAGCCGCTGGCAGTCCCGGCGCTGGCGGTCCTGTTCGGGCAGCGGTCGATCGTGGGCAGCCTCATCGGTAGCCGAGAGGTGGAGGAGGCCACGCTGGCCGTCGCGGCCGAGCACAACGTGCGCGCGTGGGTCCACACCCTGCCACTCGATCAGGTGAACCAGGGCGTCCAGATGGTGCGCGACGGCAAAGCCCGCTACCGCGTCGTCCTCACCACCACCCACTAGTGTCTCTGGACCCACAATTTAACAGTAAAAAAATATGTAAAAACTTCTTTACATACCTATCAACATCGCTGGCCTTCAGGTGTGGGTCTTCTTGTGCTTGAGGATCTGGATGGGGGTCAAGTCATAGCGCTTCTGGCACACGGGGCACAGCCACCCGCTGTCGCTCTCCTTTAGGCCGCCGCCGCCGCTTCCACTAGCGTCAGTGGTGGCTGCCGCTGGCTTGGGCGCCGAGTTGTCGTCGTCGTCGTCGTCGGCCTTCTCCTTGCCCTTCTTATTGCCGCACTCGGCTTGGTGGGCCGCAATGTCCTCCAGCGCAAAGATGAAGCTGCCGCCGCACGTCTCGCACCTGTCGGTAGACGCGCCCATATGACGAGTCGACACGTCAGTGTCAACTCCACCAAAGGCGGAGACAGTGCTGAACGTACTTCCAGTGCTTGCGGAGGTGCGAGCCGGTGAAGCCGGCGGCGATGGTCTTGTGCTGGCGCAGGCTGCCAAAGCGGAGGTAGGCGTTGACGCGCCACCCGCCCTTCGTCGACTCAAAGTCGGCGTGCTCCCTCGCCCTGATCGCTACAACATGGCCAGTTGTTGTTGTTGTTGTTGTTGTTGTTGTTGTTGTTGTTGTTGTTGTTGTTGTTGTTGTTGTTGTTGTTGTTGTTGTTGTTGTTGTTAGATGACACGACGCACGACATACGACACGCGACACGCGACGCGGCACACGGCACACACGTCCGTGAAGTTACCTTCGAGCTCTTCCATGGCGTCCTTGGCCTGGTTGGCGGCCTGGGCCTGGTCCTCGGTGGCCTTGCTGGCGACGGTGAAGAACATGGCGTGGAACTCGGAGGGCTTGATGCGGCCCATCTTGAACGAGATCGCTGTGTCCAGGAATTCCGCCAATTTGCCTGCGTGTGCGTGTGTCCACCACACGACACGCACCGCACACGTCAGCACACGTCAGCAACACGCACACACGTCAGCATTTGAACGCACCCGAGAGCTGGTCTTCGTCGCAGGCGATGGTGTGGTCGCGGCTCTCGCGGTGGATGCGGACGATGGTGGGCGGCGCGTTGGGCGGCGGAGGAAGCGCGGCCGCCTGCTGCTCGTCGGCGGCGGCGGCCAGCAGCGTGTCTCGCAGCTCGTCGGGCACGATCTCCTCCTCTTCCCCCTCCCGCACTTCACCCGTCCCGCCGTCGTTGTCGCCGCCGCCGCCGCCGCTACGCCCTCGTCGCCGCTGGCGCTTGCTGGCCAGCTTCCGGTGGAGAAAGTTCTGCAGCAGCAGCCGCAGCTGATGGATCACCAAAAGCAGACGCTCGCCCGTTCTACCGCACGACACGACACGACACGCGCGGAAGCACACACAGACAGTAAGCGTCCGTTGTGTGCGCCTCGCGGGCGGAGGGGAGGGGCAGCGCGTACTTGCTGCTGCTGAGTTCGATCTCCAGCCAATTGTCGACCGCCAGCCGCGAGCAATCGGCCGTCGTGTCGACTGTAACGTAATGAAGTCAGACGACACGCACCAACCGCACACGCACACATCGCACACATCGCACACATCGCACACATCGATTGGTGGGGCGAGGGAGTACTGGTGTTGGCAAAGAGGAGGAGCGTGTGCAGGGCCGGGCAGCGGGTGACGTTGACGGCGTAGGGCTTGTTGGTCTCCAGGAGCGACACGTAGGCCAGCAGGTCGGTGAGCGTGATCTGCTTGGCCTCGCTCCCGAACACGCTGGTCGGGTGCAGGATCACGAACTCCTTCCACCTTTGCCTCCAATGTCAGCCGCTTGTCGTGTCGTGTGCGCGTGTCGTGTCGTGTCGTGTGCGCGTGTCGTGCCGTGTGCGCGTGTCGTGTCGTGTGTTACCTGGTGTGGAACAGTTGGTCGCTGTCGCGCCGCACGGAGTTGAGTTCGTCGGCAACGGCGATGTTGGGGTACAGCCCTGGTGCAACAAAAAGAAAAGAGAAAAGAGAAATGAAAATGTAAACGATTTGAAGCACGCACTGCGGGTGGAGGAGATTGCGCGCATACCAGAGGCGAGGATGACCTTGAGGAGGTTGATGTCGTGGAGCGACAGCTCGCGCGCCGAGTCCCGGCTCAGCTGGTCCAGGTCGTGCGTGAGCATAAAGTCCAGCTCTCGGATGTCCACCTCCGTCTCGTCGTCGCGTTCCTCTTCCGCCGCCGCGCCGTCGGCCTTTTTCGCATTCTTCGAGTCGCCCGGCTGGGGCTGGCCCTGGGACGGCGGCTGCTGGGCATCGGAGTCGGCGTCGGCCGGCGGCGGCTGCTGCTGGCCGGCGAGTTCGTCGTCGAATCGGAGGACGCGCTTCTTGCGGGAGCTCTCGCGTTCACGCTGCAGCAGACGAAGCTGCCGCCGCTTGCGTGCAATGTCTCGTCGCCGATCGCGCTGCGACGGCTGACCATTCAGTGTAAGACCATCGTGTGAGGTGTGCGCGTGTGCGTTGTGCGCGTGTGCGTGTGCGGTACCTGGCCGAATCCACGCGGGTCGCTGCCGGACTCGTCGTCGTCTTCATCGGCACGGGAGGCGAGGAGGCCGTTGTCGAGGAGGATGTCCTTGAACTGGCCCTTGAGCTTGGCGATCTCGTACATGCGCTGCTCCTCCACCGAATGCGCCCGACACCAGCTGCGAGATGACTAGTGTCGCCCCCAGAGCGGGGATGCGTCAGTCACACCACACACACACACACACACAACACACGACACACGCGAATGAAGGAGCGCTCGTACGCGAGGTTTGGACGTTTTGACTTTGATCCATTGGTCGAAGAGGTTCAGCAGCGTGAAGGCATCACCGTGCGGTGAATCGAACTCGTGGCGCGCCTGTGCCGAGACCACGGTCAAGAAGAAGAAGAGGAAGAAGAAGGCACTAGAAACGCGTACAGTGGAATCGAAGTTGCCGCGGGTGACGAAGGGCGACTGGACCGTCAGCGCCGCCGCCATGGTCAGCACAGGATCGAGAATGCGGAACAACTACAGAGCGGGCCGCACACGTTAGGCTCGTGTCGCTCGTGTCGTGCGTGTCAAGGCTATAGGTACCGAGCCCAAGACGAGCATCTTGCCCACGGGGATGTCGACGGGCAGCTGAGCCAGCATCCCGCCGAGCGGGGTTAGGCGGTAGGTGCCGTCGCGGCAGCCGGTGACGGCCTGGTGCTGCTGCAGGTTGAAGAGCGACGCCTCCAGCTTGTCGTCCGACGGCCGCTCGATGTACTGAAACTCCCGCGGGTCCCGCACTCCCATCGCGATCATCTGAAGAATGATCTGCGCACCACCGCACACACAGCAGCGCACGCGCACGCGCGGGTGAGCGGCGGGCTTGAGGCAGCGGCCGCGGGCGAGGTGGTGTGTAGGTACCGACTCGAGGGGGATGCGCTGGATCTCGGGGATGGAGTAGGCGAGGAGGTGGGCGTAGATCTCCTGCGAGTAGAGGCGGTAGCACACGCCCGGACCCGTGCGGCCGGCGCGGCCCTTGCGCTGCTCGGCCGACGCGCGCGAAATCCAAAAGCTCTGCAGCGACGACATCTTGGTCTCCGCGTCGTAGCCCATCTCCTTCACCTTCCCTGCAGCCGCATCCCCGGTTCAGCTTCGTGTGTGCAGTGCCGCGTGTGTGCGGTGGTACATGTGCGTGTGCGCGGGCGTACCAGAGTCGATGACGAAGCGGATGCCGTTGATGGTGATGGCGGTCTCGGCGATGTTGGTGGAGATGATGCACTTGCGCACGCCCTCCTCGACGGGGTCGAACACCTTCTCCTGGTCCTCCACGGACAGCGCCGAGTGGAGCGGGAGGATGATCCACCGCCGCGTCGTCGCCGCGTACCCCCGCATCTCCTCCGCCAGGCACATGATGTCGCTCATCCCGCTCACAAATATCTGCAGGCCGAGCGTCAGTGTGGAGTGTGTGTGTGCGTGTGTGTGGGTGTGTCGTGTGTGTGTGTGTGGGCATGTACCAGCAAGTCGCCGCGCTCCTCCTGAGGGAACTGCTCGTCGATGCGCTGCATGATGGCCAGGTAGGGCTTGGGATTGAGCGGGCCTCCGGCCTTTGGCAGCGGCCGCGCGACTGCGCCGACAACAACAAAATAAAATAACAAATGAGTCCAATACAGGGCTGTTGGTAGTAAACCGCGGCAACCCTGCCGTACCATCGGGCGCGGCGGCCGTTGCTTCGGCGTCGGCGGCCGAGGCTGGCTTGGCCAGGTCCTTGTAGAGCAGCTGGTCCTCGGGCAGCGGCACGAACTCCACCTCGACCGGGTACATCCGCCCGGGCACCTGCACACGTCCACACATTCGCACGTTGATCAGGATTAAGGTGTGGCCCGCGTGTGGTTATTGACTCCAATCAATCACCGGCGAGGGGCGCGAGCGCGCGAGACGGAGGCATACCCGTATCACGGGAGCGCCGGGAAAGGCCTCCGAGAAGAGCTCCAGGTTGATCGTGGCGGACATCAGCACTGCAGTGTGTTGGTGTGGTTATTATTATTATTATGAAATAAATAAATAACGAAAATAAATAAACACCGAAATTATCTATACATTTTTATTGTAAAAAAATTAAAAATAAACTTGCGGCGTACCGAGCTTGAGTTCGGGTCGCTTGGCGATGAGCTCGCGAAGGAGGCCCAACAGGAAGTCGGCGTGGATGTGCCGCTCGTGCACCTCGTCCATGATCAGCACGTCGTAGTCCATCAGCAGCGGGTCGCTCGCCAGCTGTCTGTGGGCACAGGACAGAGGGAGAGAGAGAGTCAGCACTTAACCGTCTTCGTTCTTCGTTACTTCTTCCTCTCTTTCGTGGGTTGAGCTGACCTGAGCAGCACGCCTTCGGTGAGGAACACGACGTCGGTAGCGAGGGTCTTGGAGGACTCGAAGCGAATTTGGTACGCAATGCGTGACCCGTATTCCTGCACAATGGCAAATCAGCGACTGTCGTGTATGCCGTGCGTGTCGTTGGTCGTGTCGCGGGCAGGAGGGAACTAGTTACATTGAGCGTTTCAAAGGCGACTCGCTTGCAGAGGGACATGGCTGCTATCCGTCGCGGCTGCGTGCAGCCGATCTTGCGCATGCCTCCGCTCAGCAGGTACTGACACACCTGCGTCGATTTCTGTGTAACGCAACACACGACAACCGCGTTGTGAGTGAGAAAAAGGCCACTCGGAGTTGCAAGCGAGCGACACACAACAAAGATAAGGAGGGAAGTGCATACACCGCAACCGGTGTCGCCGGCGACGAGAGTGATTTGGTGGTTCCGCACGGCGTCGATGATCTCCTGGCGGTATTGGGCAATCGGCAAGCCGGCCCGCTCGCTCTGGATCTTGAGTGTCTTGGCGAACTGTGATGACCAACCAGGACAAGCGGGAAGAAATCAATGCCTGAGTACTCGCCTGCGCTCTTGTTGGCCACGCCCGACGAAGAGGAGAGGAGAGGGAGAGCGTTTTTCCAACCTTTTCCTTCTGCCGGAAGTCCTCGTAGAGATGGAGGGCCTTCTTGACTTCCTGGAACTCCTCGTCCTTGATCATCACCGGCCCCTTGGCACTCAGGACTGCAAAATTGACGCTGTGCGTGTGGTGGCGTGTGGTGACGTGTGGTGGCGTGTGTGCGTGAGTGTCGGGTGAAGAAACATCATCACCATCCACAACAGGAGCGCAGTGGGTAGCTTGTGCAGGTACCGGTATCGCTGGTCATAGGGCGTAGGGAGACCCAGAGCGTTCTCCTGCTCGGCGCTGGCTCTGTCTCTGTCCTCCTCTTTTGGCCTTTGCTCTTTGGCGCTCCTCTCGCGTTTGCTGAATTGCCTGTACTTTCGATAGAACTCTGCGGGTAGGGAAATGCAGAATCAATTATTATTTATATCAATTTAATTTTTTAATATATAAAAAGAAACGAGGTGCGCCCAGCGAGCAACACGTTGCGTACCTCTGAAGTCATGATACGCCTGCGAGCCCTTGGGGTAGAGGTCGCGCGGTGAAAACAACAGCTCGTCCCACGCTCGGTTCCACCTGCTCTCGTCGTCTTCCGTTTGTGCTGCCGCCACTTTCGAATTCTCATCTGTAGCAGCGTGAACGGCCTCTTCGGCTCGACGATGCCGTTTGGGCTCCCGCTCCTCTGCCTTTGGACGTTCGTGGTCCCTCCTGTGCCAGTCGCCCCTGTGATGTCGCTCATCATCTCGCGATGTTGACCTCACATCCTCACCCCGCCTGCCGCTTCGCCTGCTGCCGCCGTGCCTGTGGTCCTCTCTGTCCCTCGACCTCCTTCTGCTGCTGCCCCCACTTCGCTCTCTGGGCGATGGCGAACGCGAGCGCCTCCGCTTGTGGCGGCGTCCATCTTCGGCCTCCATATCTAAGATCTTCTTCTGCTACACGAAGAACTTGGCGAGGTTCGAACCCCCGCCCCATTACTTGCCGACGACAGAGAAAAAGTTATGAATTTTCTTTTTTGTGGCTTTTCTTATCGGTGCCTTTATCATTGGCCATTAAAAAAAATTTAAAGTGGCCGTGTCGCTTCGTTGCTTTCTTTTTTCGTCTCCGAGTTGTAGTTCTGCGAGAGACACCCGCGCTCACTCCCGCCACTCACATTAGTAACCGAGAACCGGGGCCTTTGCCACATCTGCAACGCAACGAACATGCGTCGGACATAAAGAGCACCTTTCTTCTCTTCTTTGTGACTACACACTTCTCAATCACAACAAGCTCGTTCGGGCACACGACACGACACGACACCACACAAAAACATGAGCGAGTTCGACGCCGGCGCGTCAAGCTCGACCAGCGACAGCGAGTCTGAAGCGGGACTGCCCATGACACAAATGAACCGGAAGCGAGAGGAAGAAGTGGCCGCGGGCAAGAAGAAGAAAGATCACGCCGACGATGATGATGATGAAGTGGTGGACCCGGTGGACGAGGAGCTGGCGGCTGTGGTGAGCAAGTACGCCAAGATCCACCAGCCGGTGCCCTTCTCCAAGCAGTCGCCCAAGCTCAGGATCAATCTCGAGTGGCGCAACATCGACTACAAGGTGGTCTACCCCATGCCGCCGTCCAACTTCTTCGTCAAGCTCCTCTTCCGCCTGCCCATCCCGGCCACCATCACCACCATGCTCAAGAAGAAGCGCGAGATTCCCATCCTCAACCGCGTCTCCGGCAGCGTCCGCGCCGGCGAAGTCATCGCCATCATGGGACCCACCGGCTCCGGCAAGGTACATTCTCTTTATTTCTTTTTTATTAATATGTGCTGTGTTGTGCGTATACATTTTAATATATCAAAGAATATATGTGTTCTGTGCGATGCTAATTGTGTGGGTTACAGACTACGCTGCTGAACGTGTTGGCGCGCCGCATCAAGTCGAACCTGACGGGCGAGGTGCTGGTGAACGGCGAGGAGGTGAGCGGTCGGCGGTTCAAGCGGCGCATGGCCTACGTGTTGCAGGACGACATCTTCTTCCCGAGCATCACCGTGCGCGACACCGTCACCGACGCGGCCTATCTCAAGCTGCCCAAGTCCATGTCCCTCAAAGAGAAGCGGGCCAAGGTCGACGACGTGCTCTCCGAGCTGGGTCTCGAGCGCTGCTCCGGCACCATCGTGGGCGGCGGTTGGGTGGTACGTTTGTTATAACGTTGCCCAATCAGATGATGGCTTCTCACGACCACCATCTTAAATCATGTTCGACAGAGGGGCGTGTCCGGCGGTGAGCGCAAGCGAACCAACATCGCGACGGAGATCATCAGCAACCCATCACTAGTCTTCCTCGACGAGCCCACCTCTGGTACCCCCAAGGAATGCGCATTTCAGGAATTCGTTTATTTTGGAATGTTGATTGAGGAATGTGCGTGTTCTTTGTCTCTTGTGTGTGTGGGGGTGCGTGTCGTGTGCAGGCTTGGACGCGGCGACGTCGCTCGGCCTGATCGTGTCGCTGAAGACGCTGGCCAAGAGCGGGCACACGGTGGTGACGACCATTCACCAGCCCTCGTCGGCCATGTTCATGATGTTCGACAAGGTGCTCCTCCTGGCCGAGGGCGGCTGGGTCGTCTACTCGGGCAGCGCCGCTGGCGTGCTGCCCTACTTCGCCAGCCTGGGCCTCGATGCACCTCTCCAGTACAACCCGGCCGATTTCATGCGTGCGTTCACCGCACATGCCACACACGCGCGCACACACAGACACACACACACACATACGCACACACACCATCAGACTAATGTTGGTGCATATGCGTGAAGTGGAGGTTGTGAGCTCGACGGAGAAGGTGAAGGACGGCCGGACGGTGCGGCAGATGCTAATCGACACCTACGGCGAGAATGAGAAGAAGCGCGAGGCCGAGCAGAACAATGAGGGTATGAGAGAAGAGAAGGAGCAGGAAAAGGAGGAGGAGGCCAAGTCGCTCGAGGACATGAAGCACGGCGACAAGTTCGTCACTCCCTTCTGGCTGCAGACCTGGGTCCTGACCAAGCGCACCTTCAAGCAGCGTCGTCACGACATCCTCTCGTGGGACCGGATCATCCAGATCCTCTTCATCGCCGTGCTCAGCGGCCTCCTTTGGCTCCAGATGGACAAAGACGGTACGTGCGAAGTGTTGTTTGTTGATGCGCGTGTAGAGCCAGATGTTGCGAGTCGTGGCTGACTGCGCGACTAATTTTTCAGAGGAGTCGCTGGGCGATCGGGTGGGCTTCCTGTTCTTCACCACCATGTTTTGGGTCATGACCACCTGGTTCAACGCCCTCTTCGCCTGTACGCAGTTGCCTCTTCTTGCCACCATCCTCATCAGCCTCTACATTCCCTAAACTGTTTCGAAAATCACAGTTCCGCCTGAGCGGGCCGTGCTGACGAAAGAGCGGTCGACGGGCACCTATCGTCTGTCGGCCTACTTCGTGGGCAAGGTGCTGGCCGAGACGCCGCTGGAGCTGGTCATGCCGATCCTGTTCTCGGTCATCACCTACTGGATGGTCGGGCTGGCCGACGACGGTGGCAGCTTCGTCTTCTTCGTGGTGATCATGTGCCTCTTCGTGCTCATGGGCTCCGGCATCGGCCTGCTCATCGGCGCCATCATGGTCGACGTCAAGAAGGCCCTCACCCTCTCCACCATCGTCGTCCTCGGCTCCGTTCTGCTCGGTACACGCGCACCACCGCCCGCACACACATATGACATGCACGCAGATGATAACAAGTTTTGTCTTGGGTTGTGTTGTTGTGTTGTGTTGCAGGCGGGTTCTTCATCAGCCAGAACAACCTGAAGGTGTGGATCGCGTGGGCGCGGTGGATCTCGTTCATGAAGTACTGCTACGAGCTGGTGCTCCTCAACGAGTTCAAGGTGGGCAACGAGACCTTCGCGCCGGCGCCCATTTCCGCCTACGGACCCGACGTGCAGGAGATCACCGGGCAGGACGTGCTTGACCACCTCAACGTCGAGACCTACATCTGGGCCGACGTACGGCTGCTCCTCCCTCGCGTATGGGTCGTGTGCATGTGTGCCGCTAATGATGTGTGCGGTGTACAGATCATCTTCGTGGTGGGCGTGATCGTGGTGTCGCGAGTGATGGCCTACCTGTCGCTCCGCTACCTCAACAAGCCCAAGAGATAACAAGCAAGGTGCTGAAACATAACATCGAGAGAGAGAGGCACTGGGAAAACCTTCAACGCGCCTGTGGCGTCCAAGAGAGCAGTGACGCACATGTCCACCTTTCAAGGCGAAACAAAGGCGGTCGTGCGCGGCACCCGGCCCTAGGCGGCGGATGAGCGGGCGGCAAGGAGATTAGAAAGGCGGACGAGCCCGGCACGGCAAGAAGAGGATGGGGCGATGGGGTGTTTGCGATCTTGGTCGCCTTTTGAGAGATGAACAAGACGCGAACTTGGTTACTGAGTATTACAGACCGCGTGAGGCTGGGCGTAGTACAGTCTGTCAACCCACTCTCACTAGAACCCTCCTTGCAGCCCTCTCTGGACCGTCTCTTGACGGCCATGCAGGAGGTGTCTGTATGCTGGCTTGCTGGTGTTGCTGTAGACATGCACATCACTGCAGACATACTCTGGCTCACCATAGATGTGCACATTGCTGTCAGCAAGAATCTGTGCTGATCCCAGTTCAAGCAGTTTTGCACCCTGTTTCCTTGCCTTTTCCCCATTGTACAGGAAACAAGCTTCAGCTCAAGCTGATTAAGAGGATAAAGGAGATGCCTATGGCAGTTCTGATGACAACTTGCAGATCCCTGGTGACACCAGCAACCAAGAGTATCTACAGCAACACATGCCATCATGATGGCAGGGCCAGTGGTGACCAGAGTACATTGGGGAAGTATGTCACCATGGTAGCACTACAACATCCCTGAAAAGGAACATCTCTCCAACCACACATGGTCTACACCCTCCACAGCTGGATGGATAAAGACATCAACCAGGAGAAGCTGCAGGCCAATATGAGCAAGCAGCTGCTCCTGCAGAATCTCAGCATCCAAGGCAGCTTGCCTGTTGTTTGGCTGATCATGTCTTTCTCACCATAACACTATGTGTTTTTGATAGTGTTGTGCAGCACCCACTCATCAATAAATGGACTACAAAGACTATGTAGGTCTCTCATCGCTCTTAATACATGTTGGAGGGCGATGGCGTGCTGGACGGCGATGGCGTGCTGGACGGCGACGGCGTGTTGGACGGCGACGGCGTGTTGGATGGCGACGGCGTGCTTGATGGCGACGGCGTGTTGGAAGGCGACGGCGTGTTGGACGGCGACGGCGTGTTGGAGGCGACGGCGTGCTTGATGGCGACGGCGTGTTGGAAGGCGACGGCGTGTTGGATGGCGACGGCGTGTTGGAAGGCGACGGCGTGTTGGATGGCGATGGCGTGTTGGACGGCGACGGAGTGTTGGAAGGCGACGGCGTGTTGGACGGCGAGACCGACGAGGAGGGCGACGAGGAGGGCGACGACGTGGGCGACGGCGACAAGAAGGGCTCGCCGCCGAACATGACGTTGTCGATCCGCGACTGGCCGGTGCTGGTGATGGCGCCGTCGAAGACCAGCCGCACCTGCGCGTTGGCCACGTTGTCGAGCTCGCTGCGGCCCCTGAGATCGACGGTGACCCCTTGGTATGAGTTCAGGGTAGCCGCGGTGTAGGTGAAGCGGGAGACGTAGTTGGTGCCGTCTGTCGAGGTCTGCACGTCGAACGTGGTGAAGCCGTTGGTCCTCGCCCTGAATTCGAGGCTGAGCACGAGGCGCTGGAAGCCCCTCGAGTCAAAGGTGAAGGACAGATAGCGCCCGTTGTTGGCCCTACCGCTGAACTCGCACGCAAAGTCACTGGCGCGCCCGGTGTAGATGATCTTGGTCGGGTCGGCCCAGTTGGTGTTCATGTTGCCCGAGCCCACCGTGGCGGCGAGCGGGAGGGGTATGGGGGCGGCGTTGACCGCCGTGCCCTCTGCGTAGGCCCATCGGGCAATGCCGATCACCGGCGACGGCGACGGCGACGCGCTGGGCGACCGCGAGGGGGTGATCGACGGCGTGGGCGACGACGTGGGTGACGGCGACGGGAAGGGCTCGCCGCCGAACACGACGTGGTCGATCCGCGACTGGCCGGTGCTGGTGGTGGCGCCATTGAAGACCAGCCGCACCTGCGCGTTGGCCACGTTGTCGAGCTCGCTGCGGCCCCTGAGATCGACGGTGACCCCTTCGTAGGAGTTCGGCGTCGCCGCGGTGTAGGTGAAGCGGGAGGCGAAGTTGGTGCCGTCTGTCGAGGTCTGCACGTCGAACGTGGTGAAGCCGTTGGTCCTCGCCCTGAATTCGAGGCTGAGCACGAGGCGCTGGAAGCCCCTCGAGTCAAAGGTGAAGGACAGATAGCGCCCGTTGTTGGCCTTACCGCTGAACTCGCACGCAAAGTCACTGGCGCGCCCGGTGTAGATGATCTTGGTCGGGTCGGCCCAGTTGGTGTTCATGTTGCCCGAGCCCACCGTGGCAGCGAGCGGGAGGGGTATGGGGGCGGCGTTGACAGCCGCGCCCTCCGCATAGGTCCATCGGGCAATGCTGACCACCGGCGACGGCGACGCGCTGGGCGTGGACGACGGCGAGGGGGTGACCGACGGTGAGGGGGTGACCGACGGCGAGGGGGTGACCGACGGCGTGTTGGACGGCGACGGCGTGTTGGACGGTGATGGCGTGTTCGATGGCGACGGAGTGTTGGACGGCGACGGCGTGTTGGAAGGCGACGGCGAGTTGGAAGGCGACTGCGTCGGGGAGGGTGTGGGCGAATCGGAGACGCAGATGGCCCTCTCCATCACGTATTCCTGCTCAAGCGCCCCCTCCCCCCCAAGTGGTACCCCCGTCAGCCACCACAACGTTGTGTCGACGCGGAAATTGCTGAACGCGCGCGTTGCAGCGGCCCAAAAGACAAATTGCGCGCTCAACGCTCGACGTACCGTGACCGGTGCGCTGTTGCTACGCAGCAGCACGCCGCGGGCGTAGTTGGTGTAGATGTCGACGTGGCGCGCGTCCATGACGTTGTCGCTGACCATCACGTTGTCCACATATTCGAGCTTGATGCCAAGCACGTGCTCCTTGTTCTGTGTGTGTGTGTGTGTGTGTGTGTGTGTGCCACACAGATACCAATAATGAACTTAAGTTCCCACCACAGTTGTCAGGCTGTCGAGACGCACACACGACGCACACATGAAAAAACCACGCTGGCACACGACCACGACGTACCGCGAGGCCGGTGGGCTCGACGAGGGTGTTGCCGGTGATGGAGTGCGCGCCTCCACCGGTGACGGAGATCGAGGAGTCCTTGCTCCACGAGATGGCGTTGTCCGCGATGAGGGTCACGTAGGTGGCGTTCCAGACAGGCGCGTTGACCTTGATGCCGCACCCGTTGACCGTGTTGTCGTTGCTCAACCTTGGTGGTTGGTGTGGCGGTGGCGGGAAAAGCCGGAGGTCAGTGTGCTTTTCGATGTTGCATTGCATTGCATTGCATTGCATTGCATTAGTGCAACAGAGCCTTGTCCGAGACGGGACAAAGAAATGTGTGGGGGAGGGGTACATGGTGGCAGTCACGCCCAGCTTGTTGTTGCGGATGGTCGCGTTGGGCACGTTGTCGACGTAGATTCCGTCACCGCCGGCCACCACGATGTTGTTCGAGACCAGCACGCCGTCGGTGTTGGCAAGCATGATGCCCTGCCCGGGATGTCCGGCCAGCAGCTGTTGGAGCAACACGAAGATGGTGATGAAGAAGAAGATGGCGACGATAATGATGAAGAAGAGTGGGTTGAGTCGGCCATTCCGTTCCAGTCCAATTCAATGCGGCGGCGCAGTGTGCAGTGCGCTGGTGGGGCTGACGTACGTTGGCGCCGTCCCAACCGACCCAGTTGTTGGTGATGACGTGATCACGGGCACCCTCGATAAAGAGTCCTCTGTCGCCGCCGTTGTTGGCGAAGATGTTGACTATCGTATTGTTGATAAAAAGAGGAACATGGTTGTGTGCGTGCGTGTGCGTGTGCGTGTGCGTGCGTTCATGTGTCGTGTGTGTTGTGTGTCGTGTGAGACGACTGAGGCAACTCAGCACATTCGACCCGCTGGGGTTACACGTACGATGCTGCTCGCCATGGGGACCTTGGGTCTCGATGCGCATGTTGTGGGCGCGCAAGCCGCCCTCCATGTTCTTCAACCACCACTTGTTCAGCGAACGCGAAGCGCCCACCTGGTTGCCTGTGTGCGGGCGTTGCGCGTGTGCGAGAGTCAGCCACCCCAACCCGTCGGTTGTCGCGCGGGAGTCGACTTGGTCGGTCATGGTGGGTACCAACCATAGATGTGGCACGTCGTGGGACACGCGTCGGGCTCCCTGCTCAGCATGATGCCCCACCGGCCGCTCCCTGTGTGTGCGACGGACCACCGCCGTTAGCACTTTTGTGTCGACAAGTAGTCGTCGTGGCCAGAATAATCTTATATTGGGGGGGGGCTGGTACCGCCGATGGTGTTGTTGAACAAAGTCACGGGCACGGAACTGAAGATGCCGTGGCCTGTGATGTTGTCCCATTATTCCACCAAGCACAAGTCAGTCACTCCTTGCCAGCTGAACCAAAGAGCGCCAGCGAAAAGCGAAAAGAAAGTCGGACGGAAAAGAAAAAATAAAGGAAATGTTGATGATGTTTGCCGACCCTTGTTGCCGTCGGCGAGCAGGACGGGCGACATTCCGATGTGGTTGCTCGCCACCAGGACCCTGGCGGGGCAACCCGACACAGGGCTGCGCAGAATGATGCCGGAGTCCTGGCTACCTGCAATGTGTGCCGCGTGGTTGGTGTGCGTGAGTACTCGTTCAGTACGTACTGGTCCTACCCCTCCTGAGGAAGATTGAAGCAACCATTACGAGGTAAGAGGGAAAAGGGTAAGTACGAGGGGGAGCGTACCATAAACAAAGTTGTGAGTGATGGAGCTGCCCTCCTTGAGTACGGCTTCGATGCCAACACCCACGTTGGTGCCCTGCACTCAGACAGCACGTGTGTCAAAGTTGTGAGAGAATAGATGAGAGAAACTCTCAGTCACTACTCTCGTACGATGCTGTTGTTGTCGATGGTCATCTTGGCAGGGGTGTCGATGAGGACGCCCTGGCGGCCGCAGTTGCTGATTTGGTTGTTCTGGATGCGGTGTTCCGCATCAACGTCCGGGTGGCCCGCAACGCGGATGCCAACATCGCCGGCGGTGATCTGGTTCGACTCCACGAGGCAGCTCTTGGCCTCGGCCTCAATGCTCACGCCGACCGCATTCGAATCGAACACGTTCTGCACACCATTCAATATTGTTCAGTCATGCAATGCCTCCTGTTTCCCTAATGAAATTGGGACCCAAGCTGGCCTTTGGTTCAATACCTTCCTGATGGTGGAGGAGCCGCCCGTGACTTGGACGCCGTACTGGCCAATGACGTCGGACTGTTGTTTCGCGAATGCAACTGGATGTCAACACACCCGCGTCATTCCACCCATCAATTTGGGGGGGGGAGCGCGTACGGCAGAGCCAAACGTGTTGCCCTCCACGGTAACGTGACCCCCCTCCACCACAACAGCGGCCTGTGAGAAGCCCTGGAAGTGGATCCCGGTCACGGAACTCTCGCCTACTCCAAAAACAGGATTTCCCCATTCAGCCAGACATCATCAACCACCACTATTGGGGGGGGTGATGTGTATGAAGGAGGAGGTGGGGCGTACCAGCACTGAAGCGCAGCCCGACATTGTTGTTTCCGCGGATGACGGTGGAGGTTGAGGTGAATCGCACCGACCGGGTGATGGCAGGCAGGTCGGAATCCAGGTGGATCAGGAAGTTCGGGCGCCCATCTCCGATCGTGATCGTATGCGCGCCCGTGAGCTTGTTGGCCGAGGCGATGGCCCGCGCAAGGGACGCCGAGTCGGTGGCCTGCGCGCGTCCAGACAGGTCGCGCTTAGTCATCAATCCCCCCACAACCAACACATCATCTGTCCAACAAGAAAACGTTCACGTAGATGGAGAAGCTGAAGAACCTGGAAGTCCATGGCGGAAGCCAGGCAAAGGAAGCCCAGGAGGGTGATCAAGATACAGGGGGAACGAGTCATCATCCCTGTTCTCTTATCTCTACAACAGGTTTTCTCTTCTCTCTCTCTCTCTGACTGCACCTTGATTCTGAGAAGAGGATGAGGATGATTCGCGGATTCTCTCTTTCTTCTTCACAAGGAGAGAGGATAACCGGGTTCAAGACCAGGCTCTGGTTGGTTGGGCATAGGGTAACCAACAAATGGATAGCGCCCCCGCCAAATGCATTGTGCCACGCCCTGCCCAAACGAGGGGAGCTGCGAAAATGGAAGATCACGCACGTCTCATCAGAGAAAATCCGGATGTCCTGGTTCTGTGCGTGCGTGTGGGCGTGTGTTGGTTGACCCGCAACAACGTCTGACCTAAAAAGAAACTCTCACGGTTTTGGCTATCGAACACCTGCGAAGTTTCAGCTAAGGAACGTTGGTCTTATTAGGTCTGACCGCAGTTGTTGACTTTTTTTGTCAATGTCTCATCCTGGGCGGATTTTTCCTGAATTGTTGGTCAGTTTTGGATCTTGATCACCTCATGACCAGATAGGATGGACACAACAGTGAGACGGACAAATCTAGCTCAAAGATATCACAGGAACCCCCACAGAGTGTATAGTGCACTAGCATGCTCTATAAACCAAAGCAAGCTGTGGTCAATGTTACCACATTACAGGATTACAAAGATCTTTTAAATGACTTCCTCACCCCCATTGATTCACATCAAAACAAGGAAACAATAGAAACAAAAATGACCTTTTTTCTCACCTTCCCCCAAACAAATCTCCCCCCAAGAATATGCTTCAACAAAGCATGCATGATCCTCACAGAAGGGAAATATCTCTCAATATGATGGAATTTTAATCTGCCATTTCTCAAGATGCACTCCATTTTGTCTTGTTATTGAATAAAACCATTTTTGTGTTATTAAAACCATTTTTATGAGGTTTTAGCTTTCTCCTTCTCCTCTAACTTGTGGTCATTGGAAATGAGAGGTCCAGTCATTTTGAAAAGTGATTTTGTTTGGAGTTCAAAGCCACTCTTGCAACTCTGGGATAACATCTTTGATGTTGATGTTGCTGAGGATCAGAATAAGTTTCTCCTTTGCATTAGATTAGCATATATTGACTGCAATTGATTGGATATATGTGTACCTTAAAAGAACTATGGAAAAGGAGAACATACCCACTCTCCAGTTGCCATGTTGTTAAGTCCCTATCTGTGAGGTGTGTAGCCACCTTTCTGGTGGGGAGCATACCCTTCTTGCTGTAATTTTTTGTTGTGTATGTGTATTGTCAATTGTAAGAGTCAATATTGTTGAATTGAATGGAAATATGCAGTATCCTGAAACATGCTGCTTGTGGACTGGGTAAGGTTGTTGCTCATGACACTAACTTCAATTCTTATCCTACCCTCTCACACCACATCTCTCAACTGCTCACTCATGGAAGCATTGGATGGTGATACCTGGTTTGTCCCATACTTCTTTTTGATTTTTTCCTGTAATTCTTGACCTTCTTTATCAAAATTTTGATGTACCAAGTGAAATTCTATTTATCATGACAATATGTAACCTGTAGTTGTAATTCCTATTTTATCATCATGTACATATACATGATTATTTAACTACATTTACATCATTTTCATTTCTCTACTTGCATACACAAAATTGTCATATATGTGTACACAATAACTATCCTGTCTGAAATCATCTCTATTTTCTTACAGGCATTTCAACCCTTTTTTTGGAAATGGATATGACATCCCTGACACTCACTCCAGGAGTGATTCTGAGGATCATAGTGAACTCACCATGACACCAGTACTTTAGATTCCTGTATCCCTCATTCTGGATGTGTGCAGTGATGATACTGGTCAGCTGGCTACACCCAGCCAGCAGATCATGGATTCAGTGGACCACTGTACACCACAGCCAGCAGTGAAAGTGCTCAACAGTTGAGGCATTGGACTTTAATTGGATCATTGCAAGTCCCTGCTGTTCTGCACTCTGTATGTGCAAGTTCAATGTATCACAGATATGAGCATGCTGCATCCAATATCTCAGCATGACCCAGGCAGATTCATGCCAATGGCTGAGGACATTGATGAAGAACCAACCACTCCACCATTGACTCTACCATTTACATCATCAGGTATTGTCCACACTACAGCTCATTGGAGATAGCTTCAAGCTCATAAAAATGGTTTTGATAACACAAAAATGGTTTTATTTTAACAATAACATGACAAAATTGGATGCATCTTGAGATATGGCAGATCAAAATTCCATCATAATGAGAGATGTGATACTGTAACTGGGCCAGCAGTCAAAGTCAAATTAGTTTGGTGTGGTTGGCATAATGTGAGGATTACTGGGGTAGCCAGTGTTCTTTATTTTATTGGCATGGTGGTGATTGTCATTGAGCACAGTTTTTTTTGATGAATTGGGAAGTGAACAAAGGAGTTTATTTTAAAAGTTGGAAAGATTGGAAAGACAGAGTTTAGTATTCACTTGTATCCACATCAGAACCAGAGTGGAAAGGGGAAAGTGACCCAAGGTCAGGCAATTGGTCCTGCTCCAGCTCCTGCTCCAGCTCCTGCTCTTGTGGTGCTTGTGTTGCAATCCATGGCTGTGCTTGTGGTGGTTGTTGTGGGCACTGCTGTGTCTGTGGGTGTGGGTGTCAGTATCCTCATGATCTCAATGCTTTCTCTTGTGCAATGGTTCTGAGTGAGGGGTTGTGGAGAGCTGGGACTGCTGTTGATTTTGAGAGTCAGTGTTATATTTCATTGCATATGTGTACACAATGAAAAAAGGGGTGAATGAAAACCTGTGTAGGGGTGCTAGGAGCTGATGCTGTGGAAGAATGGGGTGAAGGTTGAGAAGAAGTGGAGGTACTGGATGAGGTGAGTTGATGTGCCACTGTCCAGGCTGCTGTAGTCCAGGATGTGATGTTGGATGGGTTGGAGTGAATGAGGATGCTGTTGATAGCACTTGCAATGATGTTGGTCTCAGTTTCATTCAGTTGTGCAGAAGCTCCATGGATGTGGTAGCTGAAGTTGAGATGGAAGCAGGCATGAAGTGGAGTAGCACAAAGTGGAGTGTAGTCAAGAACACTGTCACATAGGACAATGTCAACTAGCTTGGGATTCACACAAGTGACCTGGAGCTGTTCAATGCACTTGCAGAGGAGCTTCTGGTCAGATCTGGTTTTGTTGTGTGTTTGTGCTGGTTAAAAAGGTTCTTCTGCTGAGTCAGTGGATTTCCTCTTGCCTTTAGCCTTCACTCTACGTTTCTCCTTTTCTTCAGCTTTCTCCTTCTCCTCTTTCTCCTTTTGAATCCTCTCTTGCAACTCTTGGATAATGTCTTCAATTTTGATGTGTGGATTGCTGAGGATCAGAAGAAGTTGCTCCTGGTCACAGGCAATGTGATGATCCTAATGTAAAGCAAGCAATTAGATTGGCATATATTGACTGCAATTCATTGTGACATGTATGCAATAAAAATAATGGTGCATATATCAACTACAATTCATTGCATATGCATACACAATGAAAGAACTATACAAAAGGAGAACATACCCACTCTCCAGTAGCCACCTTGTTCTTGAGGTGGATGAAGTCCCTATCCATGAGGTGTGTAGCCACCTTTCTCACCTTGCTCAGGAACTCAACACATCTCTGGCAGGCAATGAGGAGCTCCTTGAAGGCTGGAAGGGAGTACAGTCAGCACAATGGGATAGTTATAAGAAATTACTGGTGGGGAGCATACCATTCTTGCTGATCTTGTACTTGTTGCCCACTTGGATCTGCACAGATTTTCTCATAGCTTCCTCTGTTCTGCCTTGTTGAGCTTCTGAGCCTCAGGCTGCATGAAATAGTGGAGTTAGAAAGTGTTTGGAAGTTTGTAATTTTCTGTTGTGTATGTGACGAAATGTACCATTGAGCTGATGAGCTTCTTCCAGTTGATGGCTTGCTTGCCTCAAGTAGTGGTCCAGAACTTGTCAGTGTGTAGGGTGTCATGGTACTGGAAGAAGTCCTCCCACTCATCCTTGTGAACTGCAGCCTTGTTGTGCATGTGGTTCTGGCCCCATGTGAGGATGTGAATCGTCTTCAAAGACCTTGTTCTGGAAATGGAGAAAGGGTATTAGTTGGACCAGGGACATCATCAAAGTGAGTTGGAAAAAGAAAAACATACATTGACACATTCCTTACCCTTCGCCCCAACTTCCTCCTCCTCCTTGAGCACCTTGTCTTCTCCCTCCTCCTTCTCCTCCTCATCCTCCTCCTCCTTCTCAAGAGCACTGCACTTCCATCCCTTCCTCCTGGAAACCTGACTCTCCTCCTCCAGCTCCTCACTTTCCTCAGGCCTCTTCTTCTCATTGATGAGCTGGAGCAGCTTCACCACACCTTCTGCCTTCTTCTTGAAGCTCTTGCTTCCTCCAAGATGGTTGATGAGGCTGTTGAGGTTCACAATGGTGATGTTCTCCACTTCAATCTTGCTCCAGTTTGACTTGCACCAGTCCTTCACTTCCTCAGCTGACATGGATGCCAGACTGGGAGGCAATGCCAGAGGGGTGGATGATGGAGTAGGGGTGGTGGACATGGCTTTTGCTGAAGAGGCTTGAGGGTGATGTGTGCAGTAGGTGTGAGGCTACAAAAACAGCAGAGCCATCATACTGCTTTTTAAAGCTAATTTGTTGCCAAAATATAGGCAACAGGCTCACAACATTTTCAAGTATGAAGCACACATGATCTCTCCTTTCTACTTCGAAAATGGCCATCTCAACTATCTGATGTGTGTCAGGTTCAACATTTGCCTTGAAAATTGCATCTACCCAACACTTGGTTGGTCCCTTTTTATGCTTTGTTGTTAGTGGATGACCTTGTGTT